GCTGAGTCGAAGGCCTAAAACGAGGCGAATTTTCAACCTATTTCAACAAGGCTCTTGGATGGTAGGTAGGAAAAAACTAAAAAAAAACAAAAACAAAAACAAACAAAACACCTTGAAATTGATCTAATTTCCCAAAAGTATCCTATTACGAGTCAACTCCAATATGCAGGCGGGAAGGGGGGATGTGCCCCCCTGCTAACACTAAGGTATGCGTGAAGCGACTTTTCCGGCAACCAGTGGCATTGCATGGATAATCGATTATCGATATTTCCCCATTTGAAGCTATATAGTAAATAATCGATTATGAGGGTGTTCGTTGCGAACACCCTGTTTATCGATCTTTCCCCATAGGTTTAAATGGCAGATCAATCGATTTATCGCAAAGCACGCCACGCCATTGCCACCAACCTGGAAGTGCGTTTACTTTCCGAAGTCAATCGATCGGAATGAACTGCGGGCTCGAGGGCCAGTTAATCTATGCTCCACTCGCGTGTGGTCGGCAAGTACACGGGTTCCAGGGTCTTGGAAACTTCAATGCCTGAAAAAACGAGCCACATTTATTACCTGTTCCGCTGAAAATATTTCAACCCCTCGCCCAGTTTCCGAGAAATTGAGCAGTGTATGTTCGCTGTTGATTCGACGGGAACAGCGCTCCGAACGGAGCTGAGAGTTACTCTGCCATGCTTAGGAAAAACGCCGTTTGAACCTTCAGACGTTGCCAAATTCGCTTTGATGAAAAACGAATTTTCTAGGAATCTAAGGAGTATTTTCAATCTAGTTTTTCCGAAAATTTTGTTCACAATATGATCTATGATATTTGAAAGTCTCGAGGACATATATTTGTAACTTGCCTCAAAAATGAACATTTTATCGAGATAAATTTGGCAACATTGGAATGCTCATACGCCGTTCTTCCTTATCGTGGTGGCACTAAAATGAATAAAAAGGATCTAAAATTGGTCGCGTACTTACTTGCACTATAATTTTTCTACGGGCGCGTTTCAGAAATGTATTCATTGTAACCGACCCTAGGAAAAATGACGTATGAAACATTTGAACGTTGCCTAATATTCTCTAATGAAATACGAATATTCTGCAAAGTTTGTTGTTGTTAAAATGGTTTTTAGAGTATTTAGATGTAAGTTTAATAGAACAAAAAGTTGATGAAAATAATCATAACTCTGCTCACGATTCATATTGTATCGCAAGAAACTTAGCAGCATTCTAATGATGTCGTGCTAAAAAAAAAAAACGCCGTATGAACATTCGGGAGTTGTCAAATTTCCCTTGACAGAACCTGTATTTTTGAGAAAAATGCATATTTTTCCTTGAAATTTTCAGATATTTTAGATTAAATTTTGTAAAAAATTGTCTGAAAATTTGAGAAAATAATATTCACATTTTTCCCAGTAATTTCGGCTTTTATCGGAGGAAACTCGGCAATGTCTGAAGGTTCGTACGGCGTTCTTCCTTAGCACGGCAGAATGTTCATGATGTTACCCCGTCACACGGAGGAGTCACTCACTGTGCTGCATAGAAGAAATGACGTAAGACCATGCGGATTTTGCTTGCTCTCTGCTTATAAACATCGACATTTATTTAGAATTGGACGCATTTCTGCCAAACAGATCTATGTGCACTAAGACATGCGCCCTGAGACCCATTAGAATATATGTATAATAGGGCTCACGTCGTAATGCACATAGATTCGTTTGCAGACCCTGGTAAAAATTGGCAGTAGAATTTGTGTTCCAAAATACCATAGACCTACGGCCGGCTGTAAGATTTCCAATAGCTTCTATAGCTGGCTATACAATTTCTTATAGCCTTTTATAGCCGATGGCGATTAAGCAACTCACAGCCAGGCGATAAAGTGTATGCTAAACGTCACTAATTACGGATGCTAGGACTTAGTGAGTTTTTGGACCGCTACTGTCTTTGGGCCGTAGTATCTTGATTTATTTTGCGAGGATAGCTCCGTACTTTTGATGGATGCCTGCCATTCCTAATATATTAGAGCGCCTTCTGTTTCGTATGATACTGTGCAATACCTCTGGTGTGAAATAGTTGCTTCAAGCGCCGTGGCAGGCGGGCATCCAGCGCGAAACACGCATTGGCGCCTACAAACCTAACAGGGATACTTCACGCGTTGCGCAATGCGTGAAGTATCCCTGTTAGGTTTGTAGGCGCCAGTGCGTCGTCGCTCCGCTTTGTGTGAGGCTTTAATATTTAATCTGGCGGAGTCAACGTTATTCAACTCATGATTTTGAAATGTTTGCACATCCTGTATGGATTATTCTCGTTTTAATTGATGAAAAAAAATATGTATTAAAGGAAAATATAACGTATGTTTTGTAAATATTAATGTGGTTCCGTAGGTATCAAACTTAATGATTTTCAAAGCACAAGAAATTCTACACAATTTCTTATAGCCTTTTATGATCGATGGCGAAAAAGAAACAGCCAGGCGATAAAGTGTAAAGCCCGGCTATAGGAACTATAGCCCGGCTGCATAATTTTTTATCGCTTCGTATAGCCCGGCCGTATGATTTTCTCCACATTCTACAGCCAGCTACATGATTTTCTATAGCCTTCTTCACTCGGCCATAAGAATTCCTATGGTATTTTGAAACCCAGCTCTTATCGCCAATTTTTACCAGGGGAAATGAGTCCAATTGAAACACATATCTCTGTGAAAGCCTTGCCGCGTTCGATTTATAATATGTGACGGGAAATTTAAGAGGAAAGTAGTCAGTGTTTTTCGTGACGCAAAATCTCGTCAAAGACAATTTGGCAACCTCTGATTTTTCGCACACCGTTGTTTATCAGCATGGTGAACTACCCATGAAAAATGGCTTTTTAAAACATTTGGTACTAGTGGGATGTCTGAACTGTACTACCGCGTGCTTCGGGGACGTTGTAAATATTTTTTTCAAAATTCTATAGACTACTTTGTTTCCAATTTAATCTAAGATATCTGGAAATTTCGAGGGAAAATATGCATGAATTTCGTCAAAAATGCATTTTTTATCCGGGGAAATTTAGCAACTCTCGTATGTTCGTACGGCGTTTTTCTGTAGCAAGGCAGTGTATGCGTTGGTCACATCGCATGAATACCAGCGAGCTCCATTCAAGCAGCTTTTGTAAGCACCCCTGTTATTCGGATAATTTTTCTTCGCTGGATCATATTGTACACTTTCGGAGTTGTGCACGCTATTTAAATTTCTGAAAGCTGTTCAAAACTGTAGCGACATTTTTACGAGAGGTCCCTGACTTATTAACTCTCGCTATGCCCGGTTTTATGCTACGTCAACGGGGGCCAAAGATTTTGAATGCCTCTCAACACTCAGCGGATGAAGTAACCCAGAGGCGTGGCGTGCTTTTCGATACATCGATTGATCTGTCATGTAAACTTATGGAAAAGGGTCTATAAACAGGTTGTTTGTAACGAACTCCTTAATAATCGATCCTTTACCATAGGTTTGAATGGGGAAATATAGATGATCAATCATTCATGCTTTGCCGCTACAAATGATCGGCGTTCAAATCGCCTTCAATTTATTCAATAGGCAAAACGTGCCCTCACGGGTTGAAATATTTGTATCATTGCGCCGTGCGCAGAGAACTCATCTCGTTGCTATCGTTTTGACCTCGATAGACGATCAAATTCCGAACGAATCCCGATCAAAATAGGCAGTTGACTCTTGAATAAACCTCTGAATAGATCCGTCTTACACGGTAAAACGATCGGTATTCAAATCGCCTTCAATTTATTCAATAGGCAAAACGCCCTCTCACGTGTTCGAATAGTTGTATCATTGCGCCGTACGCAGTGAACTCAGCTTATTGTTATCGTCGCGGCCTCGATAGACGATTGAATTCCGAACTAGTCCTGATCAAGATAGACCATTGAGTAATGAACTTTTGACTATTGATTCCATGCAAAATTCTCTTTTGATCGAATTTTGATTTAAAGGGAATGCCACCGTTTATCGTTCATTACGTTTCTTCCAAAGCTTTTGAAAATGAGGCAAAGTAACAATTTTAGGACGCATGACTCAGGACCAACTTCCTCTCATTTGGGTGGAAACTTCAATCCAGTTGCGGGATGTGCTTTGCTATACATCAATTATTCTATCATTTAAACTCACGGAAAAGGGTCGATAAACAGGGTGTTCGCAACGAACACCTTAATAATCTATTCTTTACCACAGCTTCAAATGGAGAAATATCGATAATCGTCATTGACGCCACGCCACAACCCCCAGTGTTGGCTTAATGTTTGAATGTCAATATCAAAATATTTGCCTGAGGGAGAATTGAGTAAAAGTTACGGGTCGTTTCACTGCTATGGTCATTAAAAACACTTGGATTACAAAAAAAGCCACTCGTCCTTTTTACATCAAACTAAACGAAAATGCATGCTACAGCTATTTCAACTCATGAGCCGCTCTTTCACAAACAGGGTTGCAAGGTTAATTAAATTCCAAAATTCCCTGATTGCCCCCTGAATATCCCTGATCCATTGGATAAATCGTCGTTCCTGGACGGAGGAACGTAACCATATACTAGTGTTGCAAAATTGACTCAAACAATTCAATTTGTTTACAAGAGTGTACTTGTAAAATTTTTGTCCAGAATTTTGCCGATTTTTTCACGAGGTCAGAGCGAAAATCAGTGAAATTTTTAGTAAATAGTGTTCAAGATTCTACCAGTAAAAATGCAATTTCCGACGGGAAATTCGACAACATTGGAATCAAGTTACCTTCTTCCGTGAGGGAAACAACGAAATGTGGCGCTGAAATTCTCAGACCCTTGCCACCTAGCGCATGCAATCGGTTTTCTCTCATCTCTGTCAAATTCACAAAAATTTCAAAACAGATCACATGTATTAATTATTTATTGATCTATTTATTTATTTGTTTATTTATTTATTTATCTATTTATTTATTTATCTATCCATTTATCTATTTATTTATATATTTATTCATTTATTTCAGACAGCAAAAGATGCAATGGATGCTTTGCAGGTGCCTTCCGGCTTATCAGTGAGTAATATTTCCAGAACTTTTTTCCTTTTTCAATTTAACGGCTGCCGTAAAACTTAAGATAAGATTGAGAAGAAAAACGTTTAGGAAATAATTCATCGTTATTTAAATTTTAACGTACAACTAGCATGGCAAAAATAATCGATATATTAATTGGTCGTTTTAATGAATGTGGTGTTAAGATGATGTTACTTTTGAATCTTGAAAAAATTTCAACATTTTTTGTGAAGTGCAGTTCATTCTGGCGGCCACGTAAATTCCCAACAACTATGTGGGAATTTTAAAAGGGCGCGGCGTGAATGATCGATCTTCGATATTTCTCCGTTTGAAGGTATGGTAAAGAATCGATCGTTAGATTGTTCGTTGCGTACATCGTAATTATCAATCCTAACTATAGGTTTCAATGAGAGATCAATCTATACATCACAAAGCACGCCACGCAACTAGAATTTTCGTGTCTGCGAAAATAAAATGCACTTTGCAGTCAATGTTGTGATTTTTTCACGATTCAACGTTGAATCGATAAATTACTGCGTTAAGAAAAACACGGTACATTATGGATAACCCACTTTTCTATAAAATCGACGGACAACCCTCCATTTGAAATATTTTATACAAAATTATGTGCACAAATTATTTAATTAGACGATATTGCTCTTTGAAACGACAATCCCTGTGCATATCATATGGTCTTTCTTATAATAACATAGCAAAAACCGTGAAAAAGTGGTGAATGAATCTCTACTAATAAGTCTATCTATAAAGTATCAGCTATGGACTAATTATGGTTTTTTTTGTCCCCTACAGACACTGATGGCGTCCCTCAAAACTTACGTTTCGGTGAGTTTGTATCTTTTATGCACATTTCATGTATCTGAAACTAAATTATTAATCTTGTATCAAACATATTAATAAGAAAAATAGACTAGATAAAGAAAAGGAAGGAGAAGAGAGGGAGACGGAGAGAGTGAGAGACAGGTGAATGCTGGCGGAAGGAGGGTGAAAGAGAAGTTAAACGCTCGAGAAGAAAAGGAAAAATAGAGGAAATATTAAAGAGCTGTTTCTTTTTCGTCGGGTTTTAATTCTTTTAATACTCACGCTGCTTGTGTTCAACAGAGCTTGGAGCAATAAAGAAACATTAAGAAGTTGTAATAGGTGGTCACCATAGAAGTCCTTCATGCTTGTTCCTCTTACATAATGCGCCGTAAAATTTACGAACGACAAAACATCCATTCGTATAGCATTGAATTCATTTTAATAAAAACAAATGCATGCTAATTCAAACCTCATTTTCTTTTTATTCCAGCCTGTCGGTACACAAGTTGCCGGCTACGCAGAGGTAAGATTTTATCTTTCTAAAAGCCAAAACATTCGATTAGGTACTCATACTGCCGCGTGCTAGGAAAGAACGCCGTATGAGTTTTTAGGAGCTGCAAAATTTCCCCCGATAAAATAAGAATTTTCAGAGGAACTCGAGAATATTTTTCTTTCATTTTCTCTACAGAATTTTAGCCGCAATTAAACCTTATGTATCTGAAAATTTCACGGAAAGATTTTCGTAAATTTCCTCAAAAATAAATATTTTATCCCGAGAAATCTGGCAATCGACGAATGTTCATACGGCGTTTTTCCTTAACACGGCAGCATTGGTAGGTACTAAACAAAGGCTTTAGCGTCCACGTGTTCCGTGTTATGGGAGTCACCAAATCACGATGAACATTCATAAAATATCTCTAAAAAAACATGAGAAACAGTTTTTGAATAGATCAGTAGCTTGTGAAGTGAGACTTCATAATGTTACAATTTGTTTGAGCCCTTCGGACCCTTACCCATTCATTCATAGAGAACGCGGACACTTTCATAGTTGAAGATTTAGAAAATGTTGCGGTGGAAAAAACTGATGAAGAATAAAAGTAATTTTGTACTGGCCCATTGAATAAATCTAAAAAAAGAGGAAAATTAATGGGAATGAGGGCAGGAGGAAATAAACGGAAATTATTTTCGCCGAGACAGCTTTAAATTCCTGAGCTAAATTAGACATCCTGTTGACTTCAGCGAGACGCTTTTGTCCTCTCGTGTTTCATTTGAGGAATGTTCCCTACCAGAGGTATGAAACGGGAGGAGCAAATTTCAGTGTCGTGGCATGCTTTGCAATGTATTGACGGATCTCTCATTTAAACCTATGGAAAATATCAATAAATAGGGTGATCGCGACGGACACCCTATAATAATCGATTCTTTACCATAGCTTTAAATGGGGAAATATCGATAATCGATCATTTACGCCTCACCACTAGCAAATATTATGAGGTTCATACGATAACGAAGAGAGATAAGGGGTGGTTTAGATTATGACCAAATTCCACCTTTTGCACGTATATAATTGATCCTGGCGGTATCTAGGCATTTCATAACAGTAAATTGTACATTCAAGTATTATGATGCAAATATTTTTGTGACTTCAAAAATACAGATATTCAAAATCGATTGATGACTAATAAATTAACGTATATATTCTTTCTCTTCAAACTTTTAGATGGTCACAACCAGCTTAAATCGAATTCGAAATACAGTGCCGGTAAGTTTTTTTATTGATTCATGTTTATGTTTTCTCTGTTGATAAGCTTCATATTATCAGCTTTATAGGTTACATGAACTGCACAGAAAAACAAATTTACACAAAAGATTGGTTAATATACGGGAAGTAAAACACAAAATAACCCAAGCCTTCGGTTGACTCTGGGGCTTCCCAGTCTATCCATCGTTTTATGCGCTGAATTCACTGCAAACTGTATCAAAATCAATACAAAATTTGGGTTAGTTTCTGTTTCACTTTCTATATTAATCAAAAGTAACACAAGAACCCAGATATTTTATTAGTTTGATCTTTGATGAGTCTGTTGCACACCGATAATACAGCCGAGTAAAATTGGAGTTTGTATAAATAAAATCGGACAAAATAACTTGGTTTACATAATAAATGTCTACAATGTCCTCTTTGACGCACAATTTTTGCAGTTCATATCGTACCAATTTAAATTCATTCCTATCGTTTTTTCAAATTTGACCTGGTCTCACTTCGTAGTTTAAAATAGGTTAATTAATTTTAGTCTACATGATATTTTTGATGAAATTCGTTCATTTAAGAAGACTCGAAAGAATTTACTGCTATCATAAGGAATGTTTCGAGTTTCTCCCATGGCTTTTTTCTCTATTTTTGTACGTAGAAATGTATAATGAAGATATGTGATCGATCCTTCACTTTTATCAACCCTCCATAATTTGCGAACATTTACGGATAGAACTGAAATTGAATCAACTCATTTTAAGAACGACCCGACTCTCAGAGAAAAATTGCAAAAACTGATTGGAAACTAGAGAATGCTGATTTTTGAAAATATGTTTGGCGCATGTTGGCAAGGTACTGTAGAAAGGCGAACACACTGAAGTATCCGTACTTTTTGTATTGGGGATATTGCTATATATAGCAATTGAAAATTTCAGACATGTGTTGTTTTTCATCTCACCGTGATCCGTAAATACCCAATGTTACCCTTATGGGACATGCATTTTTGTGAATATATGAATCAGTAAGAGTCTAGCTCGGAAAATCATTTTTCTGCTAAAAAACTATCCTTTTTTTCGAAAATTTTCGAAGTTAGATCCTTTTCGATTTAATTGATTCGACAAATGAGCGTTTTTGTTTGCAGGACTACTTGGGCATGGACGAAATTATCGAACTGATCAATCTTGCTTTAGACCGAGGGGAGGTCCGAGGCTCGTTGGGTCGAAAATATTGTCAGATGAGTCCAGCTCACGAACGATTTTGTCTCCGAGTTTTAAGTATCGTTCAAGGAGACGATGAACACCATCTTACAAAGGTAATCTTCCCTCAGATTTTCATTTATCATCGGGACAAGGATCTAAATCTTTCTAATCCTCCAATTTAATTTTGAAGAGTACCCAGGAAGTTGGAAAATATTTGAATTGCATTTTGCAAAAAGGAACCAAGAGCATTTAAATGTTGTTAAGATTGTGCATCTCTTTTTACCTTGCATATATAATCTGATAGTCTAAAGCTTTGTGTTCAAAGTGGTGGAAAATACGTCGAAAAACAGCCGAATGTCGAGTCATCCGATGAAGAAGCTTGAAGTTGTCAATTTCAGTATAATTTTGTAAGTTTTTTTTAAGAAAAACACTCAATTCTCATTTAACTTTTTTTCCTTAACTTTTTTTTCCATATTTGTGGCTAAAAATCCTGGAGGCGGTCACGCTACATGTCATTTTCAAAACCCTGTATTTTTCTCATTTTTTAAGCTAGAGAACTTTTCTTGGTTTTATTTTATTGGTGATTACGTCTACTTTAAGCACGCACAAACCGCAAATCGATAGCTGCTTTCGTTTGCTCAAAACCTGGAAATGTGCAAAACTTTTTGAACACCCTATGTAATTGCCTCCTTTGTCTACAGCAACCACGCGCTTCCACCAATAAGATCCCTCCATTTTCTCTTGCCTTTTTTTCTATCGCCGTGTCCATCAAAGTCAATAATCAGCCAGGAAAGCAGCAAAGATCAGAAGCGGTCACTCAACTGCTTCTCCGAAAGTTTTCAATCGTATTGTTCCCCGAATCCAGCACAATGACGAGTATTTTAAATCACGATTTCTATAGCAGAGTTTTTCTAAAGGAGAAACAAAAGCAACAAAAGCTTTTCAGAGAAATACAAAATTAAATATTTTAGTGCGGGAAGGAAAGTGTCAGAGCGGTGTAGCGGGAGAAGGGAGAAGGGGTGGAGGAGTTTTCTCACTCATCGATTCAATTGCAATCGCTTATACAACCGCAGTATATCTGCTCCGGAAATCTAATTTGCCGGTGCAAGGAAAACAGTCGTATGAACATTCGAGAGTTGCCACATTTCTTTCGTTAAAATGTTAATTTTTGAGGAAAGCTAGGAATATTCTTTCTTAAAATTTTCGGGAACTTTAGGTAAAATTGCGAACAAAATTATCCGAAAAATTGGAGGAAAAATAAATTTCCCCATAAATTCGTGATTTACTAAAAGAAATTTGGCAACGCCTGAAGGCTCATACGGCGTTTTTCTTTGGCACGGCAGTATGAACATTTGAATGTTGCCAACTTTCTCCTCATAAAACCCTCATTTTGGGAGAAAGTTATGCATATTTTTCCGTGAAATATTCAGATATTTTAGATTGTAGTGCGAACAAAATTGTCTGAAAAAATGGGGGAAAATCTCTTCAATTTTCCCGATGAATCCGTATTGTATCGAAGGAAATTTGGCAATGGCTGAAGGTTTTTACGGCGTTCTTCCTTAGCTCGGCTGTAATACGCGTTGGCTTCTTTTCAATAAATGCGAATAATTGTGCTCAAGAAAATAAGATCAAAGCTTCAATGTGGCTTTGAAGTGAGGTTCGGTGTCACATTTACAGCTGCTTTGAGAGGTGGTTATTTTTTGCTATTTTAACACAGTATCGAAGTTCAAGCATTTTAACTTGAGGTAAATTGATCTTTTCTCTCGTGGCAATTAAAGTAGCTTCCTTTTCTTCACGCAACATTTTATAGAAATTTATCTTTGGCTTCTGTTCCATTTACTCTATCACTGAACGATTTTTTTTTTCAGGAATTGATACGTCTGTTGTTCAGGACTCTGCCAAAAAGCAGTTCTTTGAAAGAATTTCTGCACTATTTGCAGCAAAGGCAAGCAGGTGATAATCTATTTTTTTATTTTTAAAGTAAAAGTTAATTTCGTCTTAAAGAAGGGTATGTTTTCGATGGAAACAAGTGTTTTTTCACATATTTTGGAGCAGGATATTTTTTATATTTATTGTCTCACATTGCAAACTTCGCTTACAGACTTGAAAACATTCAGTCATGCCTGTGATGCTTTAATATTCACGATGTGTCACGTTGAAAATATAGAAACCTTTAAATATGAAATTAAAGGGGCGCACTGAAAACCCCTTTCTTGAGATATTATTTTGACTTAAAACGTCGTTTCTTGTCAAAAAAATTTGGTATTTTTAGGTTAAATTTGTGCAGATTTAACTTCAACTCAGTTTCTTTGAGTTAAAGAAACGTTCTTTGTCATTGCTAAGTTAAATTTAAAGAAACGATAGCAAAACAAAGTTTCTTTATCTAAAAAAAAAAAACTGATAATAGGTTAAATACGCACGGATTTATTTAAATAAACCTAATTTTGTCGACGAGAAACGACGCTTTATGTCAAAATAATACATCAAGAATTTGTTTTCCGGTGTGACTGCAATAAAAAAATAAGAAAATACACTTTCATTGTTTCGTAAGATTCACATTTCTAAATGAAGACCAATATTATTAGTCTTTGAAACTTTCAGAATATTCCCCCTTTACAAAAGTCTCTAAAAAATTCGAGAAAATAACCTGGCTAGGCTGGTGTTTCCTCGAAGAATTAATTAAGAGCGTAAATTATAGAAAACTGTTTAAGTTGGTCTGCTCTCTTCCTAATTTTACCACCAATATCACAATCAAGAGAGACACATCAGCGCACCTTTTGTACGGACAATTGTGTGAAAGAAATTTGCAAAGTTATTGGCGCTTTTTGCTTCATGAAATGAAATGTTCGAATATTCGATAATCACGAACCGGAGAATATTTTTAGGTCGAGTGTTCTTTTACGATTACGGAACTGAGGAGCGCAACATGCTTGAATACGGCTCACCAACTCCACCCGAGGTCAATTTCGGCAAAATTATGGTCCCGGTGTATTTTGTCTACGGTCCCAATGATCTATTCACATCTGTGGAGGTATGTCAAATAATTAAATAATTGCTTCCTTGGCTTGTCCGTAAATATGTTCAATTTTTGTAGAAGAGATACTTGTACGAAAGGCTTCCAGCTGACCCACGAATATACACCGATGAAATCTTAATAAAAGACAAAAAGAAAGGTATCCTTAATTTATTTCCCCTCCTTCCGGTCGTTTTGAAAGATTTTTCAACTTCAACAGAAGAAAAAGTCCTTTAATTCAAGCAGAAATTTGCTCAAATTAACCGCCGAGAAGATTTCCTTTTGAATCAATAAAGAAAAGAATGCTTGTGTAAAGAAGAAAAGATGCTTACATAAAAAGAAAAGTCAGTTACATTAAGCAGGTACTCGCTTTCATTCAGCCATTTTATTCTTGATTCAAAACAAAATCTTCTTGATGGTATACCTCAGAATGTTCCTGCCTTAATCGAGTCATGTTTTTTCTCTAATGATATTCAAGAATTATGCTAAACGTATTAAATATGGATGCTAAGGACTTAGTGAGTTTTTGGAATACCGCTCTCTTTTTGTGCCGTAGAATATTGATTTATTTTGCAAGGAAAGCTCCGCACTCTTAAAGGATGCCTGTCATTCTTAAAATGCTAGAGTGCCTTCGATTTCATATGATATTGTGCAACACGTCTGTTCTGAAAGAGTTGCTTGAGGCACCGTGCCCATGGCACGCTGCTGCGGCGCGGCAGGCGGGAGGCCTGCGCGCGACGCACATCGACGCCTACAAACCTAAGGGGATACTTCAAGCGTTGCGCAATGCGTGAAGTATCCCCTTAGGTTTGTAGGCGTCGATGCGCGTATCGCACCGGCAGCAAGCCGACCCGCTCTGAGTTAGGCTCTAATATTTAATCTTGCGAAGTCAGGGATTTTCAACTCATGATTTTTTGCACACTCTGCATGAAATATTCTCATTTTAATTGATGAAAGAAAAAATATGTATTGAAGGAAAATATAATGTGTGTTTTGTAAAGTTTAAGGTCGTTCTGTGTCTTTAATGATTTCTAAAGCTTTCAATTTTTAATTGTATACTGTGTGCTTTTACTGTGCTGCAGCACGGTCTAGGCGCAACCAAACGCTCAAAATTGGACGTACTTGACTTGCGATGTCTAAATGGGTTAAAACCAAGGATTGCGTGCTTTTTGGTTTTTCTTCTCTTTTATTCATTATTGTTTAGTGCTTTAACTACGGCTCGTTAAGATTAATATCGATGCCATAGTTTGGAATTTTTTTTACAAATATCTGCCACGTTTCAAAAATTTAAATGTTTTTAAAACTAAGTAATATTTTCATGAAAAAAGTGTATGTACATAAGGTTATGTTTCTTGTCAAAAATTTTAAGGATAGAAATGAAACAAAATATCCACCAATGAGAATTTGAAAAGGTAAATCAAAAGAAGAAAGTAAATTCTCATTTAAAAAATGAGTTAACATGACAACATCTCTTTCTCTCTCAATTTTCTCACTTCGATTCTGTCAATATAATGGTACGAACGGACCAAAATATTATAACGCTTGGACCAAGTCACTGATGCTTATTTTACGAGTGGGCCTTAAGTATTGGAAAAAACAGGTGTGCTGATAAAAAATCATTGACCAAATGGCCTTAATTCGCCAAGACTGAAAATTTGTAGCGCGGTATATTGTATCTGCATTTAAACTAAGTTTATGTTTTAATTTATGTCGAAGAATTTTTCGAGACTCCCCCGTTAAAGACCATAAAATACGAATCTCTATTTGGTAACAATATTTATGAAAGAGCTAAACGTTCAACGTGTATTATACGGTTGTTTTCAATTCGCCTTTAACTGCGTATGTAGCAATTGTTGTTACGAGTATGTTGTGCCTGCTGATCTCAGCTCATTACATACTTGACTCTCTGAAGGCGTTTAATGTGCGAAAAGAGAGCACCCTGTCGGAGAACAACAGAAATGAGATTGAATGAATTGCTCAATCCCCACTTAGTTCGTTCTCCAGCAGATTGCGCTACTAGCGCATATAAAACGCCTTCAGAGAGTCAACTATGTAATTTGCTGAAATCAGCACGCACAACATATTCATAACAACAATTGCTGCTGACGCAGCTGAAGGCGAATTGTTCAGTTAAAAAAACGAGCATGACAGAAAGTTGTAACGAGAGGGCATGTATTCGATCGGCATGAAACGAACGAAAAATAAAAACGTGAATCGATCAATACCGATTCAATGGACAGGTTAATAAAAAGGCAGATCAAAATCAGTAGAAAACTTGCATTTACTATGGAAATTTCAAACTGCAATACTTCGAAATTAGGATCAGCCAAGATTTTGATTTCCCGCGATTTTAAGTTCAGACGTACCATAGACTCCCTCCGTGCAAACCGTTTTTGGGTACATTTTTGTCGCATTTTTTTTTTTGCTTCAAGACCATTGTGAGGTACAGACTCAAAGGAGTAAGCGTAAGCAGCAATAACTGGAGGAACCTTGCGACCAGCAGCGAACGCACAGAGGTATTCTCCTTGATTTCTGGAAATTTAGTTTCCAGAGTTCAGGAGTTATTTGCGACTGTTAAGACATATTTTTATTAACTTTATTTGATTTTTTTAGTCGATGTTACCAATTCGGAAGCAAAAGCGGTGTGTGGTGCTTCTAAAAATGTCTCTCAAGTATAATAGTTCTCAATATAATTACGCCGGACTTTACTGTGATTGTTTCAGGATTTACAAGCATCTTATGACAAACTTGGGAATCCTGCCGGATTTTTCGCGGTTGGACGGCCTGATTGGAATCACGGAGATTTCCTAATTACTATAGACGTTCGATGCACACTGACCAAGGCCATTGTTTTAGACATATTAAGAAAACACCAAAACGAAAGGGGCGATGACGATAACTTCCGTTAAAATGGAGCCCCTGCAAGATGACGATATGATACCTCACCACAACTCAAGATAATACATTTTGACAGAGAAGATGCAAAGACGTGAAGAAAAAATAAGAAAAAAGTAATCTCTGTTAGAAGCAAGCCTCTCATTGTGTTAAGTTCCAGTGAATATTGCTTTGCAAAATGAGTCAAAATTCTCTATGATTTACTGTATATAGACCGTAAGAACTAAGACAGAACACGGACAAAAGACATATCGAAGAAGAGACTGAAACATAACTTATCAAATTTGGGGGACGATTCCAAAATAAAATGATGACAAAAATTCTTCGCAACATTTTTGTGAATATTTACGAACCGGTGCCAGACTTGGAAAAAGAGTGGCGAAGAGCGTCGGGCAATTTCAACGAATTGGCAATATCATATGGACGTATTTATGCTAAATGGAACTATGTCATATGCAAATCTTATGGACATGGCTCCTTTTTGTACAAATACGCCCATATTTCCTCCATTTGAATCCATTATAAATAATCGAGTACGAGCGAGGTAACCAACTTCAACGTGCGTCGATTTTTTCACATGTGTTCAATAGACCGTATTCGATAGTGGTTCGATTTATCGTTTGGTTCAAAACAAAAGAACGTAACCTCAAACAAAAATTTTAGGATTTTGGTTAGAAAAGCTTAAAATGAGAAATTTTTTAAAAAATACACTTTTCATTGGCATTTGGTACTCAAAGGAATAAAAAATATATCACAAAAGACTTTTCCTCGGCTTTTTAAATTGACTTTTAAGACTATGTTTAAATGTTGAACCAATCGATATCGATATAATCTCACCTGTTCGATGTATCGAATACGATCTATCGGGCACGGCCCAGTATTGCCACCTTGCGCGATTTTCCACAAAATACGAGGTATGTAGAAAAGCAAGCATGATGAATGAAAAAGGGTTGCATTGCAATGATCACAGAACTGTGAAGCGACAGTCTGTTAACCATTAATTCCATGACCTTTGCTGTGACAATTCTTGAAAGTTGGTAACACTGTTTTTTCTCCATTTAAATGTATGTAAAACGATCGATTCTTGGTGAGGCAGCTCCCCTCAAATAATATCGATATTTTTAAACGGATTTAAATGGAGTAAAAACAGTGTTGTCAACTTGCATAATCGCCACTGGACCTTAGAGAAGCGGAACTTGAACAAATGCATATCTCTTGTCGGTCAATGCCAACGGCTATTACTCATTTATTTTTTTTCTCGATTAAAAATTATTATTATGGGTTAAAACACGCGTGTCGTAAAATTTTGTGCTGACAATGAACCTTACAAATCGGCCCGAAAATAATACATTTAAGGAACCAGTGCGCACGATTGCAAAGCATAGCGTCATTCATTTTTCTCTTGAATAGGCAATACCTCCGCTAGTGTAATTATGAATGTATAATATGAGTAATGAATAATTATGAATAAAATGATTAATGAATGCTATGGGTCTAAACATTTTCTCGTTCACTTGCAACTGACCGGTAGCAGTCATTATGGCATCCAAAAAATTGAATTGTAAAACAAACATATCATTTACCCATCACCGTTATTGTCGGATTATGATAAATAAAATTGAAGTTCCTGTCTGTAACAGTGCTTTCATTATTTTTCTTATATTTTACATTGATTCGACTTTTTCTTCGTGATCATTCTCGATGATCGAAAAAAAATTATGGGAAGTGATTATGGAGGAATTAAGAACCTTTATTATGACAACGATTATGGGCTCCGTTCCTACTTTTTAAGCTGAATGAGACATTTTTTAATACGAAGAGTAAAATATCCTATTGAAATCTTTGAATTCGGATTAGATAAAATACAATTTTCCGAAAGAATTGAAACCCGCTTTCAAATGAAAATCAAACTCACTTGATATATCGAAAAAAGTTCCTCAAAATGTATTGCTGCGGCAGCTTACCTGAAACAGAAATAACAAATTATTTAAGTCTACGCATTTGAGAATCAAATAGAATCAATAGTAAGCATTAAAATTTTGAAGAGAGAACCTTTTCCAATATCGCTCCGGGGAAGGACAAGCGAGTCTACTGAAGAAACAATTGAATTAATATTGTCCTGAAAATCAGGAGTTAAAAATTTTTGCTGGCAGATCTGTTTGAAATGCTGAAACCAGATGTTGCATGTATAGGGCACTCAAACATGGTGTAATTTACTTAACAGGAAATTACGTCAAACTTTAAAAATCCAGATTTTGGCATATTATAATACAAGCTTTACACTGATGGATCAAGCTTCTAAGAAAAAACCAAGTTCCGGTAGAATGTATGGCGTTTAGATAAATGCACGTTAAAGATTTGTTTCTTTCTTTTAAAAAAAAGTAAAATGTCGACAAAAGTGAAGATATTGAAAGTTATAGCCCGGAATGAATATTGCCATGCTAAGGAAGAGCACCGTATGAGCTTCCAGACGTTCCCAGATATCCTTTGTTAATATAAGAATTTTCAGGAAATTATGTGAGTATTTTTCCTCCAATATTTCGGAGAATTTTATTCGCAACCAGATCTAAATGACCTGAAATTTCTGAGAGAAAATATTTCTAACACTCCACAAAAATAAACATTCAATCTGAGGAAATTTGGCAACTGTAGAATGTTCATACGGCTTTTTTTCATTCGCAAGGCATAAGAGCTCTGGCCTGAGCACTTGGTTCTGAACAAACTTGAATAGTTTTCTAGCACGTGTATAGATTGTTGATTCTCAGAGGGCTCAAAGTCAAATCTTGGCCAATCTGAAAATTTTATGAAAATTGCCGAGGCACCTTTTCACGAACCATACTACATAACCCCCATTCAAATGTATTAATTTTCACTTTAAAGCGTAACTCACCGACTGACTCTTCGCTCAATTTCTGGCACATTTTTCTCGTGTGACATAATGACCGACTTGAAGTGATAAAAGAAATGTGCATTTGCTTCAGGTGAAGCTTGAATGAGAATCCCTAACCTACCTCAAGGTAAAACCATTCGGCGGTGTCTCGAGTCTAATTTTAGGAACTGCGGTGATAAGACGTGTCAAATTCCTTGTTAACACGCGATGTAATTGCGGGACATCGCGGGTGGATATTCTTCTTCTTTTCCAAAGAATATCAAGCGTCATTAGCGAGACTATGCGCCGGAAATTCGAGACTCCGAGGCGATGAATCTGACCACCCGGCGGTCTGATAAAATAATCAGGACAAGAAAATTCGGCATTTAACATTGCGCAGAAAATTGAATTAAAAAAAAAAAAAAAAAACGCTTTGACCGTCATCGCAAATTCAGAGCGCAGAGTCGAGTTGCATGAATTATAAAATCGCCGCAGGGCCGAGAATATCGTTCACATTCATTTGACTATTTTGACGGACCTGATTCCATCGTTTCTCCTCTAATTTTCCCTGAGAGGTGCAAAGTTTTTCCCTATTACGACCTGATTCGAACGTGAGATTACACCATTTTTCAAGCAATTCATCTGTTCGAATTCCAACTGTGAAAAACTAGTTAGAAAAGATATTTAATTCAAAATCGAGTCTCTCTTTCCGTCGGTTATCTTTTCATTTTGTGTGGTGTTTGCTTAAAATTTGGGACGAAAAAGTTCGCCTAATATTCGAGTAGTTAGTTGCCATCAATAATAAATGCATATTTCCCATTAATTATATAAAATGATGTATCCATGCTTAGTGTTTTGAGTTAGGAACTGGGTTGTCGAAATCAAAAGGAAAGTTAACGTTACCGCGCAACTTTTAAGATTCTCAAAAGAAAACTGCAAGTTAATTGTTAAAATGATGCATCTGCGCTTTCTGATACTGGCGTCTTTCTCGATTTACTTCGATGCAGCGGTGTTACCAGAACGCCGGACGGTAAGTTTCGCCCTCCTGTATTTATTAGGATCTCAAGATGAGTCGATGGACGCCATATTTTGTGTCAGAACGGCATGCGATATATCGCATCAATTGGTTCCATTTTTTCAGCTACTCGTCATTTTTCTCCAATTTTGAGATTGCAATTCTGTTGTCAGGAGACTAAAGCACTCTTTTACCAATTTTAACAAATAAATTCAACGTAATAAAGGCGTGATTTTTTTAGAGGAAAAATATAACATTCGAGTGCAGTTTCGATATCAGTATTGAATGCGATGTTTCCTCTCCAAAAAACTACGCCTTTATTACGTTGAATTTTTTTGTTAAAATTGGTAAGTGAGTGCTTTAGTCTCCTGACAACAGAATTGCGATCTCAAAATTGGAGAAAAATGACAAGTAGCTGAAAAAATGTAACCAATTGATGCGATAAATCGCATGCCGTTCTGACACAAAATATGACGTCCATCGAATCACCTTAAACGTAATCACCATCTATTAGATTAGTCAAATTTATTTCATCAGGTATATCTAGTGCTTTTGTGCATAGCTTCCTAGTGTTAGAAACCTTTGTAAACACAACATCCAAGTATACCTTTAGTTCTATAGTGTTTTGAAAAAATGAGTCAAAACATTTAACCTTGGCTGGTCAAATATTGGCCAACAGTGAAATTGATGATATTTCCCGCTAAAACTTTTCCACGTTTTATCTGACAGCGATTATTTCGATTTTTTTTAAATTTTTTCGACTAGACTCATTAACGAAACAGTTTTCATTACCTTTTTATTTCTTTGGTAAAGATATTAGTGCAAGAAGGAAAAAGCAAACCTACATCGTTCTAAAGAAATCTGTTAAAGACTTATAATACGAAAACATTTTCACGCAACATACTGTAGCATGATTGAGCCACTCTTGGCAATAAGCCGTTTACTCGGAGTTGAAAAAGGAGTAATGCATATACGAGTACGGACCGGAGTGAATGACTCCGGCAGTGGCGTAGCGTGCTTTGCAATATATCGATTGATCTGTCATTTAAACCTAGGGGAAGAATCGAAAATCAGTGTGTTCGCAACGAACACCTTAATAATCGATTCTTTACCATAGCTTCAAATAGGGAAATCTCGATAATCGATCATTCACGCTACGCCACTAGAATCCGGACTCTGGACAGTCGTGAAATACACTGCACTCGAGGGAATTATGAACGCCTAAGAAGAATTTATTGATAGGGGGTCGGGGAAATAAGGGATCTCTGGACGGCTAGGAATGAATCTGCTCCACGTTAATTCAACTCCGAATGATTTTGGCTACACGTTGTGACTCGCATTGACTAAGAACGCTTATAAGTGTAATGTTAATTTTATTTACAGGATGAAATGATTTTACAAAACGGTTATCGCGTTGAAATACATAGGGTGGAAACTCCGGATGGATACTTATTAACGTTGTTCCGTATCCCTGGGGAGCCAGGGTCCACCCCCGTATACTATCAGCACGGCCTTCTCGACAGTTCAGATTCTTTTGTTGCCATGGGAAAAAATAAAAGCTTGGGTAAGATAAAAAATTCATTAATATTAAATCAATAAGCTTTTTTTTTTTTTTTTTTTTTTTTTTTTTTACCAAAACAAATTTAAATCAATAAGGGTCAATGGTACTATATAAATGATAAGATCATAAATTAACTTTTCCTTGACTAAGCATGCCTAATATCTGTACCTAAGCATTTTTCACATAACGTGCAAAGCGAGAAAAATACAGCCAATACCACGAATGCTTGCCGTGCTACAGAAGAACATCCTCGATCCTCGAAGCCTCGATCTGGACATTGTCAAGTTTTCTTTGATAAAATAAATATTTTCTAAGAAATTTTTCAATACAATTCCTCCTGTTTACTGAAAATTTGATTCGCAATTCAATATAAAACATATGAATAGAAACCAAAATTGAATAAGCTCCGCTGGGAAGAAGTTACAGTAGTCGTTGGAGAGTAGACAGCCTCAGAGGAGCAAACGACCCTAAAAGTCGACACTTGCAAAAGCAAGCTTACATGACCTGAGACGTTAATTGAGCTTAAAAAGAACGGTAAGCCCTTTAGATGGGCTCGCACAAACAATCCTTGTTTCTTAAAAGAATTTTAGACTGTATGAAAAATAAGGGGTGCTCTTTGAGCAACGAATGGGAGAAACGTTGGGGGAAAAGCATTTCGCTTCCGCCCGTGTGCGGGCTGCATTGTTCATGTCTTTTGATAAAACTTGCCTCGAGTTAAGTCCTAATTACTTGAGCAAGAGTCCTGAGCACAGAAAGCTTTACTTCACTTCAGGTGCAATTCCTTAGACATGTCTTTGAAAAACTCTACCAGACGTGGAATTTTCGCCATTTTCAAGTGACGGAGGACAACTTTCGTATTCTTTCAGGGAGGAATACGACATTTAATAAAATTAGCAGGGTGGAACTTAAGGTGTTTTCTATGAAAAAAAAAAAAAAAAAATTATGTGTAAAATATTAAGCCCATGTCCGATTCTCGTTTTCCTTCAGATTAATTTGAATGACTATGATCAGGAAATAATACCGAGAAAAAAAATTGGTAGAATTTACCATTCCTTCATACTGTATTTTACACAGCGTTCAACGATTCTGCCGGGGGAATGGTTACCTGTACCAGTATATAGTTACGTTTACCTTTCTTCTGGCAGAATTGACTTTGAATTGACGCTGTGTAAAATACAGCATGGAGGAATGGTAAATTCTACCAATTTTGTTTCTCGGTGAATCAAGATACTCAATATTGACTTGGTGTTCTATCACGGTATCCACGAAACAAATTGCTTTTATTAGTTATGAATCCGGGTCGTTGCGCGGAACCAGTGGGCCAGTGGCATGGCGTGCTTCGCAATGTATCGATTGATATGCCATTCAAACCTATGAAAAAATATCGATCATCGGGGCGTTCACAACGAACACCATAATCCTCGATTCTTTACCATAGCTTCAAATGGGGGGTTATCGATAATCGATTATCACGCCTCGCCGTCGCCACTGCGCGGAATATACAATCATGTGAATATCGATGTACGATTTCAGGTTTCCTGCTTCATGATGAGGGCTTTGATGGATGGGCTGGAAATTTTCGCGGTAATGACTACTCCTTCATAAACAAAAATTACGATATTGATTCACCGAAGTACTGGGATTTTAGGTGAGTCAATAGCCGTCCATTTACTATTTCTCGGCACTCGCTAGAATCAGCTTAGATGTATATGATGTTGCATAGGTTTCTCTCGTGTTCGATTTTTTTTGTATGGGCGACTTAATAGCAATATTCCGTTTCTAAATTTTATGAGTGCATTTTCCATGATCCGGAACAAGTTCACATAGAATTCCTAGGTATGATATGGATTACATTTTGCAAAACGGAACCACTATCTCCAGCTCTTCCATAAAAGAACCTTTCTGCATAAGGAAACCAATGGCATGTATGTTGTTTCTTTAATGAGCAAGAAATAGTGGCTCCTTATTGCAAAATTTGGTCCATACGGCCGAGATGTTTTGTTGAAATAATAAAATCTGAGATGGATTTGGGTAGCGTTTGAATGGATGCATCCACTTCATTGTTACTGCTTAATCAACGATGGGTCACTTCTCTTATTTATGTTCAAGTAAGGCGAAAAAGTAGATAATATGTTGAGGACGAACAGAACGTGAATACATGCCTCAATAAACCCACAAAATTGCATAAAGAATACACTTTGGAAATATATTTCAGGAGGCGAGACAAATGCAATAGGTTTATACACAGTCAGTTAACTTTTACGTAAAAAATTAAATTGGTTAATTATCACATGATCAACATAAAGAGACATTGTGTATTTGCTGAAATAATAAAGATAATTTGAGCAAAAAGTACTTAGAGGTAAAAGATTGCAAATTCGAATGAACTAATGTCTGTACTGTTGCTTCTGTACTTTTTCGGTGCCTCCATCAGACAAAATTCGAAAAATTTTGAAAATTTAAAAGTCTCACTTGGACTGCGACAAAAATGACGTAGTCTAAAAATTTCATTAGTGGCTTGCAGATTAACCGGACGTACAATTGCAATCTTGCAGGCAAATACTACTCTAAGAATGAACGCGTGGGGATTGCATGCTTTCCACGCTTTACTAAAAAACACATTGGATCTAGAGTCCAAACTCTTAAAAACATCGACAAGAAAAAATACTCTTGATTCAATCAGATTTAAGCTTAAGTCAAGAACCAAGCATTTTAATTTGAGCGGATTTCCTTTTGATTCGAGCTTAAATCTGGTTGAATCAAGAGTCCTTTTTCTTGTCAATGTTTTCAAGAGTCTGAACTCTAAATCCAATGTGTTTTTTTTTCCAGTGCTCGAGTGGTATGAAGGAAAAAATTCCGGACCTTCTGAATTGCGGAATCACCGCACTTTTTTAGTACCACCCGAAAAAAATCGCACTATTTCCGGACTAGTGGACTCTGTATTTGAATCCAGCTTCACTTTTGTTTCAGTTGGGACACATTAGGCGAAAGAGACGTGAGAATAATGATAGACTACATTCTGGAGCAAACAGGGAGCCCTCAGCTGATTTACATCGGACACTCGATGGGCACAACCTCTTTCAACGTCGCCGCCAGCAGGTTCCCGGACGTCAACGAGAAAGTAAAAGCCTACATCGCACTTGCACCCGTCACCACTTTCCAATATTCCAAGTCCCCGATCTTCACCACTCAGTTCCTCGGACAACTTTTCCAGGTACTAAAATATAAGAACGGGAAACATTTTTCCGTCAACACTGGAAAGAAAACACATTGGATCTAGAGTCCAGACTCTTGAAAATATTGACAAGAAAAAATACTCTTGATTCAATCGGATTTTTGCTTGAATCAAAACGAAATCCGCTTAAATTAAGAGGTTTGATTCTTGATTTAAGCTAGATTCTGATTGAATCGAGAGTACTTTTTCTTGTCGATGTTTTTAAGAGTCTAGACTCTAGATCCAATGTGTTTTATTTTCCAGTGAAGGCAAGTAATAACCGCAGGTGATACTACACGAACGTCGGCGCAAAACGTCTATTTTTTTCTGGCGGTAATTTCCCAAGTAGCAGTGATCGCGATAAGTTGCGATTTGATCGGCCAACGTATCGCAATTTTATTGAAGTCGATTTATTGTAATAATATAGGATGAAAAATTGTGATTTCATCACATTTTGCACTAAAATCGCAATTTTATCAACGGCAATTCATCGCAATGTTATCAAACAAAAAATCGTGATAATTGAGATAGCATTTAATTTTTTTAACGCAATTTTATGGAGATAAATCACGACAATTATGACGATTAGGCGTCGCAGAGCTCGAGGCTGCGCTATAAAATCGGCTTTATGTATGTAAATTACGACAAGATTGAGGATAATCACTGTTGAAAATCCTTGCGATTTTATTGCCAAAAAAGTGTGACTTAATCGCAAAACTTCACAATTTTTCCGTTCAAAAATGCTACTTGGGTTTGGTGAAAATGGTGACAAAAATGTCGATTTTTCCCGCATAAAGAGCGAGTCGAGCAATACGTTATGTGATTGTCAGGAAGGGTCTAAAATTATGGATTTTGACGTGACAGCCAACGCATCAGCGTCATGATCAGTGAAATATCGATCGTTGGGCTTCAATCGATATTTTCTGATCGTCCTTGGGAAGGGACAGTGGCACTCGTATTGTTCGTCCTTGTTTGATTGGCCAAACTCCATTCTGCAGGTGAACAACCACTACTATAATAATGACCTTTTCTGATCGGATTTTTAAGAGGAATTGTAGTAAGGTTACGCGGATGGCTATTTCTCCTTCATTTTTTTAAAAAGGCAAGAAAACATCCTTCGTGCATGCAGCATTAGTTATTTATCCTCAAGGGAATTGGCGGATCCAGTAAATTGAAACCATTGTTTTTCTCCATTTAACCTATGAAAATGTATCGATTCTTGTAGGGGCCAGGTATCCCGACAAGAATCGATCATTTAACATAGGTTTAAATGGAGTGAATCCGGTGCTGCCAAATCGCTGGATCCGCCTTAGCTCAAGGTGTTGCGTCTTACGTTATCTGTAAGTCCATAACGTTAATTAGACCGCGTTATGCAGAAAGGAATCAAGCCACATCAGCTATTGCCGAATTTGATTGGGGTATTGAATTTATCACATGAGAACAATTGTGCAGATTTTTGTGCAAATTTTGGTGAATTTTTTGCGTAGTGCGAAACAAATTCCTTACCATTTCCTAATAGATCCGCAAAAATGTCTCCTTGCAAAAAATTAAATCGTCCAGTTAAATGTAGCAATAGCTGATGTGGCTTGGTTCCTTTCCTCCAATAGCGGTCCACGTTTCCCCAGCCGTTTGGAAACTTTGGGGGACGTTAATTAAATACGTGACGCTCTGGGTGCAGGTCTGATCCTTTTCTACAGGTGCGTTTTACGCTAACTATGTTACATAATGCTAAAAATACAAGCTGAAAAATCGACGCAAAGTGGCAAATTGTTATGTAAAATCAATAACGAAACGCCAAACCATGTGGGAATTAAAGCTAATTATGGAAACTAACATGTTGCTCGTAATTTTTTTTTCAGGCTCTGCAACAGTATCCAGATGGCAGTACCGACGGACTTAATAAAACGCATTCTAATAGTCTTCCATTCAATTTACCGGTAAAAATATAAAGAGGCTGCACTGGTAAAAAAAAACCTCTTGGACCAATACCGCATTGCATTGACTTAAGAGTGCAGTTTCTTGTCGCCAGATTTAAGAGTCTTGAACTCTTGTTTCAAGCGGATTTTACATTGAAACAAGAGTCCAGACTCTTAAATCCGGCGACAAGAAACTGCACTCTTGAACCAAGAGGTTTTTTTTACCAGTGTGTGGCCTTGTATTTTATGATTACGATTTTAGCCTGAATCTTGACCATATTATGTGATTTTTTGAGGAATTAAAAACATCATTTTTTTCTTATTTTCAAAGAAAATAATATAATCTTATTATATTGGAATGAGTAAAAATAATTTGCAATTGTAAAAGAAACAACAAACCCGATCTCTAGATTTTTACATATGGACTAAATTATGATTGTTACGACTCTGTTACAGACCGCGCTTGAGCTGTTGAACAAATTCGTTTGGGTAAGTTCTCATTTCACGATAAGAATTCATTTATGCGATTCTTTAATCTGACCGTACCCAATTTTAAAATTGTCCTCGCTCAGATGTCCTTTCAAAAATTTTCTAGAAATTCTGTCATTAAATAATAGACATCTGAATATTGCTATTTTGGCTCCCCCAAAACACCCAACCTTAAAATTGAAATCATATGACGTCAAAGAAAGGAAATTTAAAATTACATTATAAATAGTATATGATGGATGTCTGGCAAAACTCAGGAATTTTTGCACAAAAATTCCGCGGTCATTTGTGGGTAAAAAAGAATCCTTAAAGTAAATTTTGCAAACCCGAAATGAAATTATGTTCCTTTCTCTGATAGAAGACGAATTATTCCGAAATACATTGTATAATTCAGTTATAAACGGAACACAAATTTGACGCAGTTGAATCATAGTGATGTGTTATTGATTGTCACATATGATTTCATGTTTAAGGAAATCATATTTGAGACTTTTTTAATACGACGAACTCTCATTAAAACATTCTCATAAAACTGGGTATGATGATAAATACAAGTCCGCGTCACGCCATTGCAACATGAAGTGCAAACATTTTTGCTAAGCCTATTGAAAGCATCATTTCCAAGACTTTGCATCGTCATGTGGGTGGTGCTTGGTGCAGAAGCAACACATGACCTGGTTTAACGAGAAAGTATGTGGGACATCAACAAGTGCCTCTTCATATATATTTTTCTTCGTGGAGCGAGCAAAGATATCGCACCAACATCTCAACGTGCTTATTTTGAAAAGGAACAACATTTAGTGGTTATTTTTCTCGGGATGAAATTGTTGTTTCACTTACAGCGTGACCGAGTAGCGTCACTAAATCAAAAAGTAACAGATGTTAGTTTCCAGACCATAATCTCCAAAAGGTGCAGATTTTATCTCCTTTACTTCCCTGTAGCTTCTTCCAGTCGTGTGCAAGTAACGTCTTGTGCACATACAGCACGAAAGTCTCATCTTTTATTCTTTCTTTTAAACCAAGTGAGAGGACGCGAGAGAGAGAGAGAAGAGAAGAGATACCTTACGAGGATGCCGCGGAATAATACAGAGATTAAGAGAAAAGCAATCATGTAATACCTGTTATGATTATTCGTTTCTTTTTTATTATTTACTTTTTAATGTCAGCGGTGACTTCGCGCCTCTAAATAAACCTGATGATTTGATTTGTCTCGTCTGCAAAAGAAGAGTAAGAAAGATACATATTTAAAATACAAAATATAGACGTAATTTAAAAACTTGGATCTTTTCGGCGTTCCAAATTGGAGTTAAGCCACTAGATGGCTGGGGAAAAAGTTATATTCATCTCGGTATAGATAAATCCAGTGCTACAATTAAGCATCTTTTAACAGCGCATGCTTCCTAAATCGAAACTGAAAGGACTATTGACTTTTTTTCAAATTAAAGAAATTTTGAGTCAGCAAAATGTCAATTCATTGAGGAAGGCTCTTGAGGAAATGTGCGCTGAAGGGATTTTCGAATATGCTCTGAAATTCTAATTAGCGTGTTTCATTGCTCTATAATTCGAAATCCCAAGCGTACCTTACTATTTCGAATTACTGGCTGTCTTTATCTGTAAATTCAGAGCGTACCATCTTGATTTCGAATAAAAAAGTATTATTGCAGCACCATTCTGAATTATTAAGCAGATTTGTACATTGTTTGGGGTCTGATAACATCGCATTAATATGAGAGGACCACTGTACTTGCATTAAATGTTTGAGCCTGATACTATACTTGACTAGGAAAAAAACTCTCAATCTAAAATAATTAATTTGAATTTTTAGTTTTTTGGAGGTCGAATTAAACAGATTTCTTAGAGTTGGCAATGTGCGTTTCACGCTGACCTGCAACCGCACTGTGCTAGGGTTTGGCGCAATGCGTGAAGTATTCCCACAGTCTCGTAGGCGCTAATATGCTTTTGGCGCTGACCAGCGACCGTACTGTGCTAGACGCAATGCGTGAAGTATTCCTGCACTCTCGTAGGCGCTAATCTGCACTGTGTTTATCAGAAAAATGTTGAATTGCTGAAAAGAGAAAATAAAAATTGTTTCCCTGTTTCAGATGTCGTTGAATGTTGGAACGGCAGCGAATGAAATCTTTCCGGCAAGTATTTGTGAACTATCTATTAGCATTGGAAAGTTGAAATAGCCAAACAAAATGTTAGGATTACCACAGCCTGAACTTCACTGTGATTTTGGAAAATGAAATAAAATTGGATTTCTAATTGCAGTCATAATGAAATAATTATAATCCACAGAACACGACGCCTTGGTAGCCTGCCAAGCTTTTAACATTTAATTTAGGTTTTGGTTCCTAGTCGGAACCTTACTATTCTGCCGTGCTAAAGAAGAACGCCGTATGAACCTTTAGACGTTGCCGAATTTCCTTCGATAAGACCCGAATTTACTGGAAAAATTGTGAATATTTTCTCCCAAAATTTTCAGACAGATTTGTTCTTAATTTAATCTAAAATATCAGAAAATTTCAAGGAAAAATACGCTTAAATCGCGTCAAAAATACACCTTTTATGAAGGGATTTTTGGCAACTCTCGAATCTTCATTTTTTTTCTCGGCGTTCTTTCTTAGCACGGCAGTATTCGATGCAGAACGACAATGAAGAGATGACTCGCATCAAGCACTCTGTCAATAAACTGAGCGAGATTTTGATTTTGCTTATCAAAGACTTAAGGTCTAATTGTTTTTGATAGTTCCAAAATAAAGGTTGAGCTCGAAGATAGGTGGCTTTTCTGACGTCACTGGCGCTTTATAATTCCCATTCATTCTTCTTCTTGTTTTCCTCCCTGTCGGCCTGTCGCCCGTTCCGTTCAGCAGAAATACGTCCATTCTATAGTCGTTCATTCTCTTTTCCAGGACTTTACAACTGTTGGAAATTTCGCTGAACTTTTCCTGAACGCTTTGGGTCACGGAGAAATTAAGGGTGTGATATCACGACGATACTGCACATCAAACTACGTGTCACTTAGGCTTTGCTTAGGCCAGCTTAGCGCAATTGTTGGGAACGACGAGAAAAATCTGACGCCGGTAGGTGCTACGACTGAAGCGTTAATACATAGATTGATCTGCTATCTGAACGAATGGAAAAGGATCGATATTTAGGGCGTTTGCAACGAACACCTCAAAAATCGATTCTTTACCACATCTCCAAGTGAGGAAACATCGATAATCGAGCATTCACGCCTCGCCACTGTTTTAAAATGAGGCATCTGTGTAAATGGCAAGAGATTACTTATAGGAAGGAGTAATGTAACTTCACTCAAAAGGGTGAAATTTCTGACGAACTACTTTTAATTTTCTTTTGCTCCAAAGATATCCATCTTAAAAAATTGTTTTTCGCACTAGTATACATTTCTTTCCATGCTTAAACAAACCCATCCAGTGACCTAACAAAAATAGTACATTGCTAGTAGTTATTCTAGTAGTTATTCTGGAACGCCCCGATGGAATTCGCCACTCTTCGATTAATGACTCAGGTTTTGAGGTGTATGTATATTAAACATTGGGTCCAATGCCAGATCATTACCAAAAAAACTGACTAAAGCAAGTTGTACAATAAAGACGGCAGTGTTGATGAATTTACTTCATATGCACTCCAGATACATCTGTTGTTAATACCTAAAAACATAGCTCCATTTTTTAACTTGTTTTTCAAAACGAACAGATTCCTCTCTAACAATGAATTGTAGAGGCCAGTTTATCATAGTTTCAGCAATGGCACTAGTTTTGCTATTTGGCTCCATTTATAAGGCTGTTCTTAAAAATCCTCCAACCATTAACGTGAAGATTTGTTATTCCACAGGAACTGGAGCAGCTAATATTTCTCATTACGCCGAAAAGCAGCTCTTTGAAAATGGTCAAACATTATTTACAGCAAAGAGACGCAGGTAAACATCCCAGTGCTCAGATTTAAAGAGTTTGCTACTCCAACTCCAAAGTAATGATTGTACCACACGGATACAACGTAGATATTTAGCACTGATTCTAAAAATTACCTTTGTTTTCCTGGGTCAGCTCAATTTTCCCGGAAAAATCGGAATTTTTCCTAGACATTGAGATTTTCTGGAGAAAAGTCATTTTAAAACTTTAAAAGGCATGCATTAGATGGATTCCTGTGTAATTTTGGCTGCTAAATCCAAAAATTCCCCTACTTTTCCTCCATCAATGACTCCATCTGACTTTTTTGGAAAAGCTCAATTTTCAGGGAAAATTCCAATTTTCCGGGAAAAATCGAGCGGACCCAGAAAAACGGAAGTCATTTTCAGCAGCACTAAAAATCTACCGCTGATCGCTCATTATACAATAGTAAAATCTCAAAAAGAAAAAAAAAATTGTTGACCAGTATAATTTTTGGCATCATTACTGACGCTCCATGGAGGCTTCATCAAATTCTCGGTGATCAGTCGACAAATCCCTGATTACGAGACTTATCACGGGACACCGAGCGAGCGGGGTACGTTGTAGCTGAAAGCGAGGAGGGTGGCCAATGACGAGTGGGTGGAACTGCACTCAGGGATGAACCCTTCAGTCCGTATACACTCGTGCTTCCGATGAATCGTGCGAAAACGGAGTCACGCCCTCGTATCGGCCGAGGGACGAGTTGATTTTGGCGGGCAGTGACCGATCCCCAGATGAGGGACAACTTAATTCCGCGCTGGGTTCGGCATCCAGCATTGATGCAGTGATTTGTTGCATCATAAATCAAGGGAGTCCCGTTATTAAAACGATTATCGCCGTGATTAAGAGTTGTCGTGAACGCACGTGCTCACTGTGATCGAGTATCGCCCCCCCCTCCCCTCCCCGCGGGCCACCGCGACGAACGCACAGTGATCTGACCTTTCGATATGAAACAATAGGAGCCGGTGTGCGGTTCTTTTACCCAGAAATTCATCGATATTTACACTCTGAGATCCATCGGGAAAAGAATATTGCTGAGCCAGCACAAGTGCTGTCGTATCCAGCCTGCCGTGCTAAGGAAGAATGCCGTATAAACATTTGAGAGTTGCCAAATTTCCGTCGACAAAATGGTTATTTTTTGGTGAAGATGTGTATATTTTTCCCTGAAATTTTCTGTGACTTTAGGTAAAATTGCGAACAAAATTATCTGAAAAACTGGAGGGAAAATATTCAGAAGTTTACCAGAAAACTTGTGTTTTATCAAAGGAAATGTTGCAACGCCTGAAGGTTCATACGGCGTTTTCCCTTAGCATAGCAGTATTTTGAAGATAGCCGTCAGAGCGAAAATCAAGTATTGAGAAAATGGGATCGATATAGCTTCGGAGCGAAGCATCTAATTGAAAGAAGCCTCCGCTCTTATCAAATTGTCACCAATCATCCGCACCGAATAAGAAGGATGCTGACTTAACATTCTGGATGTAAAAAAGTGTGCGACAACTCACAAACCGCTGAGTTAACCGCCACAGCAGTTAGCTTTACAACTTGACATTGCAATAGTAACTGAAATGGCGGTTAAATCAGCGTTATGTGAGTTGTTGCACTCTTTCATACATCCAGAATGTATATTAATAAAATCGGACGTATATCTGACAAACGGAACTAAGCGCCAAATTGAGTTCCTTTTGAAGATTTTAGAATCCCGGATAGCGCGTTCTATCAAACGGATCTAAGCGCCACGGAAAAGCATTGCGAGTATAGGAGGAGCGAGCATCGCGTTCCGCAACACCCGCCAATCCAAGCCCCCCTCTTCTTTCCTCCCCCTATGGCGCTTAGGTCCGTTTGATAGAAATACGTCCAATTAATACAGATTTTTTTTGAAATATAATGTAATGTTGCTGTAGAGACAAGCATTTACCTCTTTTTAAGTCGCTTTAATGCGTTCAAAGACACTGCGAATCTTAATTACAAAGCCGAAATTAAATGTACCCCATGTTAACTTGCGATTCTTCCTACAAACGCAAATTATATAGGTTTATAATATTACAAAATAACTGAAACTCACGAAAAATTCCTTCTACGCTGGAGATGTTCGTCAGAAATGAGTTTTGTTCTATGATGTATAGAGATTTTCTCACTGTGTGGCAGCCCTCCTGGGGACAGTTCGCTTCATGTAACCGTTTAATGGCACCGAAAACTGGAAAAGCTTTCCTGTGTATGACTGTGCTTGGTGCTCGTCGATATTCGAGTGTCTTTTGTGGCGTTAAATAAACTTTTAATTCTTTTTCACAGATTTATATTGATTATTTCCGTTTACTGTTTGAATGTCTCTCTTTAATTTCCAGCTGCTTTACTCGTGCTCCGTCCCATTTTTAAAAGGACATAAGATGCTTCTGGTTATTATTAATTATTGCTGATGCTACTATTGACAACTTCATTAACTTAACCCTATTTTCAAACATTTTGTACGACAAAAAACAGCATAAGTATAATCAAAATTAATAGTTACAATGTGTTCTTTCCATTCATGTTCTTTTTTTTTTTTTTTTTTTTTTTTTTTGAAAAAAAAAAACTTTGTTTCATGAACTCAGCTTAATAATTTTAATTTTGGCAGGACATCTTTTCCTTTACGACTATGGATCGGAAGAAAACAATATGCAGGTGTACAATTCACCAACACCCCCAGAGGCAGACTTCGCGAATATTACCTGTCCTACTTTCTTCGTCTACGGCCAGAATGACTTGCTGACTGCCGAAGGGGTAATTTAATAATTATTTTAACGTGGAATAAATAAATCATAAGCACAAGTCCGCTTGGAATGGCAAACTCACGACAGTTATTTTGATTCTCCCAAAATTAGAACATTTTTACTTGATTTTTGGCCAAAATGGGCCCAATTAATTTATTTTAAATCGGAAAAAATAACTTTGTGAGAGATCCATAGTGTAAGTTGACGGTGTAGTGTTACGTAGGAAAGAAAATCACTCGAAATTAGTAAGCACGCGTCTCATGATTTCTTCGAGTGATACAGCTTTGAAATGATTTAGAGGAGACCTATGGCCTTCATTGATAAGTAGGTATGGAAGAAATGGTGTTAAGATTTGAGGTTACTATATGCATGGAGATAAATATACTTCAATGTTGTGCCTTTACAGGTAGAGTATGACCACTGGAAGATCAACGTCTGATTGGCTTAGCCATCTAAGGCTTCATGGAGCTCTTAGAATAACGAAACGGCGGACCTCACATAAAGTTCATTTAAGAGAGTAGATAATGTTTCGTTTGCTTGTATTATCAAGAAGTTTGCTTCAGGCGGTTTTGAAATCAATTTTGTGTATGATAGTTGAGAACATATTTTCAACTTGAATCAAGCCCATTTTGCAAGGTTAGTAACAAGTGCATTACGTGATTTTCGCTGCTGCGCGCGTTTTCTCTATAATTTTATCACGTATCCCACTGATTGAATATTTGCACTTTCCACCTCAGGATGTTCGAGCCGCATACAGTAGGCTGGGAAATGGCCGAGAGCTGATAGCAGTGCCTCGCGCAACTTGGAATCACGATGACTTTTTGGTTACGCAAGGTATTGAGACGATATTGCATAGAGGAATCATCCTTCCGATTGTAAATCAATTTAAATAGATCGAATTTCCACTAAATAAAATGAAAATACTCCAACCGATCTGTTGTGTTTCATTTCATTTGAATGTATTTCATGCATACTTTTTCATAAATCTATAACGAAAGTGTGGGACCCCGTACCTTCGTTTGCGAGACTTCCAGTGATATTCTGTTTTCCTTGAAAAACTAGTCAACGTAATTTCTTGAAAACTTCCTTGAATTTTCTTCTCCGTAAATAAAATATTCTGTAAACATTGTATATTTAAAGTTAACTTGTTCCTCTTCGAAAAAATAATCTAAGAGCAGAGCTCTTGAAACATCGCGATGAAGACACGTGGTGTCGTACTTCAGCCATCGATACATTTCATAAATTTGTGTGAATGTACTTACTCAACTTTCTGAATGCGATTTCGAGACTTAGAACATATTTAACCGAGCTCTTATATTTACTTTTTGATTTTTTTTCTCTACACAGAGCCTTTAATGTACCACTAAATTTAACTAACATTCTTACTTTAAAAGATATAATCTTCTCAAAGAAGACCGATGTACTAGTTCACGTATCCAGTTACGATTTTTTCTGACTGCCTGAAGATTTGAAGGCATCCACAACGTGAAAAAACGTTGGCTATGCTGCCGTGCTGAGGGAAAACGCCGCATGAACATTCGAGAGTTGCCAAATTTTCTTCGATAAAATTTTTATTTTTCAGGAAAATTGCGAATATTTTTCCGAGAAATTTTCAAGAACTTTAGGTAAAATTGCGAACAAAATTACTGAAAAATTGGAAGAAAAATATTTACAAACTTTCCCGAAAATTCGTGATTTCTCGACGGAACTTTAGCAACGCCTCACGGTTCATACGACGTTTTTCCTTAGCAGTATGAGCGAACCGAAGATGAGCCAGGAACAAGGTCAAGGAGGTTAGATAAAGCGCGACGGAGCGATGTTCGCAGACTTACTTAGAGGAAAACCACTTATCCACATTCGTCTACCTCGGGAGTTATGCGGTTTATGGTTAGAGCCGTTGTAGGCCTGCGGCAGAAGAGACGCTGACATAGTCGCGTCTACGCGTCAGGTGGAGGAGAGCGACACTTAAAGCCACTTGCGGCAATTGCACCCGGCAGTTAGGAAGTAAACTTGGTCGAAAGGCGCAAAATACCACATCAAAGCTCCTTCCAACCGGTCCCCGCACTCCCTCACCTCGCAACCGATGTCACCGATATCCACCAGCTATTTCTTCAAGCTCAACCCGATCTCCTATAGTTTCTCGAATTTCAGCCGCCATTACATCCGAGAGCGCTCGCTTTAACCGCTCGACTTCCGAACAGATCAATGCGTCCTCGACAAGAGTGTATTTTATTAATGCAGAGTGCTCATTCAATGCTATTCTTGCGTAGAGACAAAAAGAGACCCTTCACTGCGGGCTGATCATTGAAATTGAAAAACAAAGCCATGAACGAAGAGAACAAAAAAAAGTGGAAAAAGCACAATCTCGGCCTTGAGCACCTTCATTTTTTAGTGATACAGTACGCTTTGTCGTGAGGTTAGTTTAGTTGCCTATCCGACCCAAATCCAACTCAGGTTACGGATTTCACCGCACGCTCTCTTGAGTGTGCCATGTTCCTACCATATTTTTACGAGGAAAAATGGCCTGTTGCAATGCGTTTGTTGCAACCATCAGCTGAAGCAAAAATGAGAGTTGCTTCTAATTAAAAATGGCTCAAAAATCACAATGAGCAAATAAAAATTGTAAAACTCACTTGCACGTAAAACTTTTTACCTGCAAGTGAGTTTTACAATTTTTATTTGATCAATTATCTTGTGCGGGTCTCCAAACGAATCTTGATCACAATGAGTGTATAGAAAAAATCTACATATCAGTAACCTGACAATCTGTGCAACTTTTTCTTCTTTTTTTTCATGCTCTAACTGAAGTTTGCAACAAGACCATTCAATGAGGAATAGTGGGTGCTTTCATCTTATTCCTTTACTTTTGAATCACGTGATTTTCTATTTATCAATAGTGGCTTGTTAATTGCCGGCGATAGCTGTTTTAGATTAGCTGCTTGTTAATTGCGTTACTAGATATCGATGTTTGTACCATTCTATCATCTTTAAAACACCGAATATCATCTAGAGAACAGGCGATCCAGCCTTTAAATGCCTTAGAGATTAAAAAGAGGTGTTTGCATTTTGAGCATCTTGGATTTTTTTGATGACGTAAATCGGTACGGACGATTTTTATCGTCGATTTACTTGGAAATGGTGTAGTTTACGGAAGCACGTAATTCTACATAGAGTGTTTGGAATCATCGTGAGTTGATTTAAGCGAAAAACTCGGACGTCATGGTCTGTTTTTCATACTTCGAATGGAGAATTTGCAAGCACATTTTTTATTGTTTCATCTAAAAGTACTGACTAAGAGCTAACTTCACAGTATTTTTTAAAAAAAATTTCTGATATTGGAAATAGTATAAAGATAGATTTAAAAGTGAGAAAATGCACCGCCTAATGATCGCCTAATGACGAAATTTCCCATTTAAACACACGTATTTTAGTAGATTAGAGTATTTTCTCATATCTTCTCTAATAATTGTTCAGTTCATGAACCAAGGGTATCCTCGTGTTCAGTACACGCAGTAGTCTCCACTTAAACACGAAATTCATCAAATTTCAGACACCTGCAAATTCTCTATTCCGGATTTTACCGAAATATCGACGCCATGTTGTACCGACCTACGTCAAACGATCCTCAAGATGCGAACACCCCCTTTTTTTGCTCTATGCTTAAATGCCAACTCGAGTTTGAAGCATTCCACCGGGCTGAATCTATCCGACTCGTATCCGATTGCGCATAGAACAATACACACGGGCCTCCCGCCTTCCGCGTAACAAGAGGGTACCGCTAAACTAGTTCTAGAAACCGCCGCGCCACCACAGCGCTGCCTACCGTAAATAACACATCCGCCAACACCCGTTCACATTCTCCCCCTCAAATATTCGAATGTTCTCCCCTATTTCTTCCTCTAAACCTTCACCCTCACTATTTTCTACGAACAATACGTCAATCACAAAAAGCATAAAACCCGGGGAACGCCTCTTCCTAAGCGAAAAGTCACCATCAGATACGCTCTTCGTTCGATGAGTTTACTCCGGATCTTCAAACTTCAAGAGTCCATAAAAAAAATTTGACGCCTACGATTTTGATGAAACTTCTTCTGAGCCCTCCCAGCATACATAAGGATAGATTAAAATGAAAATCGTCGTGTAGAAAAGTTTCCTTCTACCGGAAAAGTCCCCATCAGATAGGCTCTTCGTTCGATGAGTTCACTCCGGATCATAAAAAAAATTTGACGCCTACGATTTTGATGAAACTTCTTCTGAGCCCTCCCAGCATACCTAAGGATAGATTAAAATGAAAATCGTCGTGTAGAAAAGTTTCCTTCTTCCGGAAAAGTCCCCATCAGATAGGCTCTTCGTTCGATCAGCTCACTCCGGATCATCAAACGAAGAGCCTATCTGATGGGGACTTTTCCGGTAGAAGGAAACTTTTCTACACGACGATTTTCATTTTAATCTATCCTTAGGTATGCTGGGAGGGCTCAGAAGAAGTTTCATCAAAATCGTAGGCGTCAAATTTTTTTTATGGACTCTTGAAGTTTGATGATCCGGAGTGAGCTGATCGAACGAAGAGCCTATCTGATGGGGACTTTTCCGGTAGAAGGAAACTTTTCTACACGACGATTTTCATTTTAGTCTATCCTTAGGTATGCTAGGAGTGTCCCTAAGAAGTTTCATCAAAATCGTAGGCGTCAAATTTTTTTTATGGACTCTTGAAGTTTGATGATCCGGAGTGAGCTGATCGAACGAAGAGCCTATCTGATGGGGACTTTTCCGGTAGAAGGAAACTTTTCTACACGACGATTTTCATTTTAGTCTATCCTTAGGTAGCTAGGAGTGTCCCTAAGAAGTTTCATCAAAATCGTAGGCGTCAAATTTTTTTTATGGACTCTTGAAGTTTGAAGATCCGGAGTAAACTCATCGAACGAAGAGCGTATCTGATGGTGACTTTTCGCTTAGGAAGAGGCGTTCCCCGGGTTTTATGCTTTTTGTGATTGACGTATTGTTCGTAGAAAATAGTGAGGGTGAAGGTTTAGAGGAACAAATAGGGGAGAACATTCGAATATTTGAGGAGGAGAATGTGAACGGGTGTTGGCGGATGTGTTATTTACGGTAGGCAGCGCTGTGGTGGCGCGGCGGTTTCTAGAACTAGTTTAGCGGTACCCTCTTGTTACGCGGAAGGCGGGAGGCCCGTGTGTATTGTTCTATGCGCAATCGGATAAGAGTCGGATAGATTCAGCCCGGTCTCTTACGGGAGTCCAGGCATGGACCAAGAGAATAAATAAGGACTCCCAACTCCCTATGCTAACCTGTGTTAAAAACCGTTAACGCGCGCTCGCAGCGAACCTGGCAGAGGGTGCGGTGAACTAACGCCACAGCGGTCCACGATCGTACCTCTATAGTATGTTATTCCATGCTATGTTCTTTGTTTATCTATGATTTATTTATTTGTGTAGATACTTTTGTACATTTTACTTTCGCAAACTAATGAAATTGTATAGGTACATACCTTCTGCAGAGGTCAATGCGAAAGACTTTGATTTGAAGTATCTTATCAAAACACGAGCAAAGATGATTCAGTCAACTTCTGACGCAGAATCAAAGAGACTTGCTAATAATCAAATTAAAGGTAATGCTTGAAGTCAAGTATCTTTGATTTTGTGACACTCAGTTGATTTTTATCAGTACAACACTATTTCTCACTAAAAAGATTTCACTTAACAGAGAGGCGCCTTCGGCTAAAAGTACAATCCTGATTCCTGCTGCACACTACATACACACTTCCTTTGGCTTTCTCAACAGCAGTTGCTGCTGAGTAAAACGGTTAGAAATAACACTTCACATTAATACCAGTTTATGTACACTAAGACTGACGAAGATTGAAATGAAAATGGGAAACTTTTCACACTAAACTCTTCAAAACTGCAGGGCGACCACGAGGATACGAGGATCTAGAAACTTCTATGAGCACTACTGAGTGATAAGCCTAAATAGGTGGTGCATGGAAATATAAACAGGAAGGCCCAATCATCGGTTTAGTTCACTACACCCTCTGCCAGGGAGCGCTGATGTCAGCGCTAACCGGAGTTGGGGGTCCTTATTTATTCTCTTGGTCCATGGTCCAGGGTCCTATAGAACTGGTCCCTGTCTTTGCCTGCAAAAAGTAAACATCCTTAATCGAATAATTCTTGTCACACTCACACTATTTTCCTCCTTTTTCACCAGAATTTTTGTGGAAAAGTATTCGTGTTCCCCCCTCCCCCCCCCCCCCCNATGCCTTGTGCATTAAGTTTCTTTTAATAATGAGGTGGCTTTTGTTTTACTCTTAATTTTTGTCACCTTATTGTCACATCAGTTTTTTCATGTCATATGTCTTTTGCTGATCTAGCTTTAATCATGATATAGTCTAATATATGGATAAATTGAGAGACATATCATTTTTCTAACATCAGTTGGTAAGTGAATGTCCACTGCAGTAAGTATTGTTAAAATTGTGAACATGGTTTATGACCCAGCTGCGACAGCAAGTCAAATGCCCAGATAAGTAACGGGTGCCACACACGGGAGGGATGAGGCGCCCAAAAGTGAGGCTCTGCTGCGCGCGCACGTCGCATGTTTGGATTGTAATTTCGCGGCAGATTCGAACCCAAGGGGCGAGTTCCATAATACATTCTTCTCAAATGCACAGTATTAAAGTAAAAAAAGTCCAGAGTTTTAATCACGATTACTTTAATTAAATTTAACCTCTCGTAAATCCATANTGTGTGGCACCCGATAAGTAACGGAGCATGAAGGAAGCAATTTGGAGGAGAGGTTGGGTGCAAGGCAAGTAAGAGCAGCCCTTTTTCCAAATGGAATGAATCCAACAAATTTGCTTCTATATCGGAATATTGGCATCTACAGAATACAAATGGTTCTTAGTCACATTTGGGTGATGTTTCCACTCTAACAAAGAGTCAAAGACAGTCACTACTCTAGCCTCAGTATGATTTCAAAATAAAATGAGCTTTTCGTTTTATGCCTGTATGGATTTCAATTTTGTGTGTGGAAAGCTTCCTTATAGTATTCCTAGACCTTTTGTCTGCATCTGAATAATTCAAATATTTGTGAGAGGTAAAAATTGTTGTTTTTGTTGTATATTTTCAGAAATCTGCCTCAAAAATCATCATGTTCTCATCGAAACTACTGCCAGGCTCGACCTACATGGCTCAGTATTTCAAGTATTCACCAACTTGCAGATCTTCCCTTTCTCAACAATTTTCCTCGAAGCCAGGACACCTTGAGAGCAGACTTGTTAAAAGGGGCAGTTTAACTGAAAATAGAAGAGGGCAACCTCATTTTCCAGATAATAAAGGCCGTCAAAAGAGAAATATTCAGAATCCGCTGTCTTCTTTTGCTAAAAGAAACCCAGGTTAGTACCACTTCAGTGGCAGTAAATTACTTTTCCTTACTGAGTTATTAAACTCTTGTACAGTAACCTTCGAAACACACCTTTACTTAGTTGCACTATTACTTGGGGACCTATCTATGAGGAGCAGATTCCATTTTCAAACTTGTTTAACTCAAAACCAATCCGTTTTCCTTTTTTTCATCAAATTATTCAATTGCACATTGAATTATTCAATCTTTTGAATCATTAGCGATACATTTTGATGTTTTACACAATCTTCAGTAAAAAAATTAATTGCAGGGTATACTTAAATTGTAACTTTTGGACAAGAGATCCTGTTTGGGTCGGTTTTATGGTATCATGGTGTTATGCTGCAGATCATCGCAAATTTTTGACTCTGCTCTGGTGGGGCATTTTTTTTTATTTTTTTAATTTAAAGGCTTGGAAGACAGGTGGGATAAGTGCAGTTTTTGCTATTCAAGGAAATAGCAGGTAAAATTTTAAAATTACATGGAGCCTTACCTATGGCAGAAATTGAGTTCAGGCTGACGTTTTGATGCTTCAAAATTGAATTTTAGTAATGAATTTTTCACCGTATATATTATAGGACCAGTTGTATACATGAAATCATTAATATCTCAATTTTTTAAAAAACTGCATGTATCCCACTTGTCTTCCAAGCCCTACGATTATTTTATAATGTCAATTAATCATTTTTTATCAAATTAATTACATTTTTAGCCTCGGTCTTTTCATTATCTAAGGATAAGTAAAATTAAATTTTTTATCATAATTCTAACCATGCTCATTGTACATGTTCTTTGCATGTCCCTCTTTTTATATGATTAGTTAGGCAATCTATTTTTTTTTTTTTTTTTTTTTTTTTTTGCGTAACAAGGAGGAAATATCTACAAGTTTGTAGGCATTATTATTGAATGAATGATCATTACATTTATTCTCACAGGTATTGGACGCACATTGGCAGTAATGAAAGAGGAAACTGGCACGGACTATTTTGATCCACATGAAGATGATTTTGAATCGAGTGCTCCTGAATTGGAGACTGAAAGAAATTTCTTTGATGCCGATTTGGATTATGAAGATCTTAAAAGGTACTCATCTCACCTGCTACTTCCATTATTTGTTCTGCTGGCATTACATCATTTTGCCAAAACTAGTAATCTCTCATTTGAAGTTAAATTTGAGTAAGACATTATTCATTTTACAATCTAATTGAACCTGTTAATCAGTATGGTGGTGCATTTTGCATGCCGGTCATGTAACTTGGCATAACTTGGGATTCCACAGTCTCAGAAAACAGGGAAACGCTAGTGAATATCACAAAGTCAGGGAAAACCTGGAAATGTCAGGGAAAATGACGAAAGTGTCAGGATAAAATCGGCAAGTCACCCTTATTTGCTTTCTAGATTGGGTTTAACGTTTCAAACAACAAATTTTGCCTGAAAACTATTTCTAATTATGTCTTTTTAACCATGCGAAATATCTTCAATGGACCGTTAGCATTCTGATACATGTTTCCTAACCAAAATTTCTCGTAGAACACAAAAATCTCGCACCAAAATTACTGACATTAATTCCTAACTGAATTATTTAATGTTCCTTGACGCGTAGATTCAAACCTCCCGCTCATGAAAACACAATAGTCTATGTGAGTCAAATCGCACACTAAACTTTACCATGACCATCTCTGCGATATGAAAATCTGGCAACCTCAGTCTTGACGCTTTGGCTCAGCTATAGGAAATTGTTCACACTTTGAACGATAAAGGGTGGGAAAAGAAGAATGCTTGACTGAGAAGCCTGCCAAAACTGTTGTGAGGCGCGATTTGACTCACGTAGAGAATTGAGTTTCTTGTGACCGGGCAATTCAAAATTCCCGTAACCAATGTAAAATATAAACGTTAATATCTTAGTTAGGAGTTGATTTCAGTAATTTTCAATGCAAGAATCGTATTCTACGTGAAATTCTAAGGCAGAAACATGTATCAGAATGCTTACATTTGTACCTTGTCTAGTAGCCCATTGTCAGGGAATTTTATCAAAATGTGTCAGGGAAATGTCAGGGAACTTGAATACTTAATTTCTGTGAAAACCTTGAAACTGCTGAGCAATCTCCAGCGTTGAACAGAATTCCGCCCAGATTACATAAATTACTGGATGTTATCTTAGTTTAGTGTTCATCAGCAATTAAAGTTGTCAAAATTTTCTATTTTAAATTGCAGCGATGAATTTAAACATAGACACAAGGTAGCCTATAACATGGTCAAAAAGAAATATTTCAAGCGTCCTGTAGAGCCGAACATGCTAACTTACGCTGAGAAGCAGCACATCAAGTTTTTACATGATGATAGCGAAAATAACTGGACTGTAGAGTCTTTATCAGAGAGTTATCCAGCCACACCACACATCATCAAGGTAAAATACCTGCTTTATCTTCTAGAATCCACTTAGACTGCCACACCTAACTTCATTTACGTTGAAAAATGTAATTCACAGTGGAAAAAGAAGTATCATAGCATTATTTGGATTGCATTAAATAGAGGGAGCCAGTGTTTTCAAATGTTGCAACTTCTTTGCATTATAAATTACTATCTATACAGATTTGTTGGTGGCCTGGAAAACCAGAAAAGTCAGAGGATTGGTGGCAACCAGGAAAAGTCAAATTCAAGGGGAAAAGTCAAGGAATTTCTGACCCATGTACTAATCACGAAAAATGTCCTTGATCTTAAGAAGGCTTGTTATCTTAACTAGCTAATGAATACCTGTTCCCATAATTTGATCTCTATACAAGGAAATTTTGTCCAAGGTATTGGGAAAGTTAGCATAGGTACTTAAAAAAGAAAAAAAAGGTGAAAATTTTGTTGGAAGGACGAGGAAAGTCAGGGATTTTGAAGATGAAGAAATTATGGCAACCCTGAATAATAATTATGAAATTTACTCAATTGTTTTCTCTTACTATCAACAATTCTTTGGTAGGAAAGCAAAAACCATTCGCCCCTGGATGCATTTTTTTAGATTGAGATAAAGATACATGATTTTTACATCACTGTAATTGCGCTGGTTCCCTTCTACTATATGGTGTCCATCTATAGCATGCATTGCAGTATTTAAAGTAAACATTTTTTACAGTAACTGACAGAAAGATACAAGATTAATATATCAATTTCCTGTGAAAATCAAGTTCAAAGTCATTAAAAACTTGGAGATTTTTTTGTGGATGGCGTTATTCAGCGGTGCGGTACCGCCGCAGAATATGTTATTTGGCTTCCATACAAAATTGTTTGGAGAATATTAAAAGTGACTTCCAAATCTGCTAGGATTTCAAAGAGTTTGTTGGAAAAACGTTACATATGAACTTGTGCAGCAATATTAGTTTTACTTACACCTAAAACACCAAATTTATGCAATACTTTTCTGCCCTGATGGACTATAGTCATAAGTCTTAGAAAATCAAGAAAAAATCTTAAGCTTTTTAAGCTCTTTTCCATGTAACAGGGCTCTCACTTGGTTCGTAGGGGTCAAAATCTGTTTCCTTAGGTTCATCGGCTCCTGACCTATTAAATGAGCTGGTTGCTTGGATCTGCCGCGACTTTTGAGCTTAGTTTTAAATTTTAAGTTTTTAAAGCAGCAATCGACCTCAGCGGTGCTTTGTGAAGGCGGTGAAAAGTCAGAATTTGTAGGCGCTTTAGTTATTCTGTTACAGCTTGACCATCTGAAAATTGCAGATCTTTACCCTGCCTTACCATGCTCTCTATAGTGTTTAATGAATCCACGTACTTGTAGAATTGACAAGTGCCGTGAGTGGAAGTGAGGGATGCAATTTGCAGGGCAATGAGAAGGATCAAATTATACTTCTGTATCAATTATACCACTGACGGACATCTAAGGCGTCCGTACTGCCATTTTTCTCTCGGCGCAATCCTCTTCGAAACCCTGCAAGAACGCTTCTGTCCCTCAAAATTCAACTTGTGAATGAATTGCATTTTCTCTGAGGTATCAGTCATGAAACAAAGATGGATAAAATACTGGTAAATTTTCATTATTGCGCTTGAAAAGAATATGGCAGCAAAGAGCTTGATCATTGCAGTAAAAAGCACAATTGTACAATTGCAAGTACGCATCAGTAATCGGTAAAAATATTGTATACATTTGTGGTTTTAGGTGTAAGTAAAACTAATATTGCCGCACATGCTCCTATGCAACGTTTTTCCAATAAACTCTTCAAAATCCCAGCAGATATAAAATTCTTTTTCCATATCCTCCAAACAATTTTACTATAACCTTAGAAAACCTGGTACTGCCGAATAACATATTCTGCGGCAGTACTGCCGAATAACATATTCTGCGGCAGTACTGCCAAATAACATATTCTGCGGCAGTACTGCCAAATAATAACTTCATTTTTTTATTCATCTTTCAATCTGGCAGCAAAAATCTTCAGGGATTTGATTGTGTATAATGTTTTACATCTTCGATTTCAGAGCATTGTGAAGAGTAAATGGAAAGCAAAAAGCAAAGCTGAAATCATAAGGCATGATAAGAGAGTCAAAGAAAACTGGGAGGCCTACAAAAAAGGAGAGCTGAAAATTCATGATCACTTGCTCCAGGAGCATCTGAAGAAATTTTTAAGCCGAAATATCAAAGTCCCTTTGGATGAAGGTAAATTGCATTATGACTGCCTTACCATTAATATTTACCATCTGAATTCGTGAAATTCAAGTATTGTGTGTACCATTCAGACCACTCATTTAAGTTCAGAATACTTTCCCATTAACACTCACTGAAATCAGCATGAAAATTTATATTATATGATCTACATGAACAGCCCTTACAATTTCAAATAAGCTATTTTGGAGAGCAAGAATGAGTGGACAGAACCAAATACAGCATTGATAAGTTTCTAATGCCTAAAATAAACTGTTTGTGAGAAAAGAGATTTTTTCCTTCTATACTTTTCTAGGATTTATGTCAAATTGGATATAGAGATGGATAAAAATGATAAAATGCCCAATCTCAAGATCCATGAGTTGCAATAAAGTTCCTTCCCTTCATCACACATGAAGTCCAGAACCAGGCATTTTCCCTGTTTTTTCGTGTGGTAGGTAACAGCAAACAGCCTCGAATAACAAGAAATGATTAGCCTTTCAAAAGGTTCTACTGTCGTTAAGAGTCTAGTAAAGAAAAACTCAGTTTTTTTTTTTTTTAATTTGATAGTTTTGATGCATCTTGTGTAAGTATTGTGACTCAGAACAATGACATGAGAATGAACATCAGGCCTAAATTTTCATTATCACTGCAGGAAATAAAAACTTGTGACAGTTTTTTCATCTCATTAAAGTGGGAATTTGTGAATTGTGACAGTTTATGCCCTTTCTAATTTTGAACAGCTATCTAAAAAAAGAAGAATTTTAACTGGTTCAACAATGACACCTTCCTAATTCATTTCCATCACTGTTCTGTTGTAGAAGCTGAGAGATTTCTCAAGGAGCCTGAACAGAAGCCCAGGAAAATTGATGAGTTTAGCAAGATCATTAAAAATTATCAAGCCCTGAAACCTCCAAGCACTTCGGAAGCCATCCCATTTATTGAAAGAAAAGTGTTTGAAGAGCTCCCTGAGGAAACTAGGAGATCCGAATTTACCGAAGAACACGAACCAGTCTCATCAAGGTTCGAGTACAAGCATAAAAGTAGAGACTCCAAGTCTACAAATGAACATCGTTCTCATCAGTCCACTCATCCGGAAGGGGATGAGACTGCAAGAGGCCGAGATAAAAGTCAAAACCAAACTAGACCTGCAGATGAAAATATCATCCAAGAAACAGACCGTACCAATCGTCGAGCCAAACATTTCACCTTAGACAGTTTAAGAGATAGACTAGAGGAACACTTAAAATATGAGCAACACCCGGATGAGATGGATACACAAATAATAAAATCGAGAGATTCAAGAAGTAGAGAATCAAAGGTCCAAAGTCTTGATTTTGAATCAGAACAGGAAGAGGAGGAAGAAGACAGCTTGCCTCGAAGCTTTGTTAATGTCAAAAAAAAATCCACAGCCATTGAGCCACAGAATTCTGCTGATGAGATGAGTTACGTTCAGAAAGTAGACAATAAACTAGTGATGAAAACTCTAGATACAGATCTGGAAGAAGAACTTAAAATTAATGAATACATACAAATTCCCAAACATTTAAGAAAGAAGGGGGCTTTGTACAAAATCGAGGACTGTTTTTATGCTGATGATGGCCAGTTTTTGTACAGAGTACCTGGATTGACGGACAAATGAAAAATTTGTTGATGAAATTGGTTGAAGCGCATTTCTGCAGATGCTCTGTCTGTAAGTGGTGAACAAGCTCATCCACATTGTCACTAACAGTTAAGGAAAGTCTCTGGCTCATACCGTCTGTATTTGATGAATACATAAATCATTTCAATGCATGTGTAGTTTGTTTTGATAAGGAAACTTCAGTCTCTGTGAGAATTCACCCAATACAATAAAACACGATCATGTATTTGATAGTTCAGCCTGCCTGATTTTAATGATAAAAATTTAGCCAGCAAAACCGTCAAATAATTAGGGGGTATTTTGATTATTTTGGTCAGGGAAAACCTGGTAAAGTCCTCAAATTTTTATTCGCAGTCAGTATTTACTCTGATTCTAGATTTAAGTATGTACTGTTGGTTTCCCTATACAGATACACTTATTGATGAGCCAGAAATAAAACTTGCTTTTTGTGGGATACATGCAGTCCAAATAGCATTATCTTCCGCTACCTATGTATTTTGAACTTTGAATTTTAAACTGTTACCAAGGTCTCCTTTTTTGCAGACGGTCTCAATCATTTATTAATGAACAAAAAGTGAAGAGTCTGCACTGCCAAGTAACTTTTTTGTCTGTCAGGTATACCTTCCATAAGAAGGTTTTGTTTTGCAAACGTGTTGTGCTGTTTTTTCCCCACATTTTAGGAGCATGCAACGAAAAGCTACAGAAATAAAAATTGCACCAATGGACCAGTAGACAAGGCACAAATTGCAGCATTCTGATGCACGTTTCATAACCAAAATGTCACGTAGAACACAACGCGCACAAGGAAAATTATTGAAATCAACTCCTTACGGAGATATTTAATGAGTCTTGATGCGTTAATTCAAACCACCCGCTCATGAAAACTCAATGCTCTACGTGACTCATGTCGCGCGCTAAATGTTATCATGACAGCCTCTGCGATATAAAAATCTGGCAACCTCAATCTTGACGCTTCGGCTCAGCTATAGCAAGTGGTTTATAGTTTGAATAACACATGGCGGGAAATGAACATTGCTCGATTGAGAAGCTTGCTGAAACTGTTGTAGTGCTCGATTTGACTCAAGTAGAGGTTTGAGTTTCTTATGAGCGGGCAGTTCAAATTCCTCGTAACCAATGTGAAATAAAAACGTTAATATCTTTGTTAGGAGTTGATTTCGGTAATTTTCGTTGCGCGAATCGTGTTTTACGTGAAATTCTGGTCCAGAAACATGTATCAGAATGCTTACATTCGTACCTTGTCTAGTGGTCCATTAAATCAACTTAACGAAGTGTCTCATCATTTGCAATGGGAAGAGGGACTTTCGTCTATAGCAGAAAAATTTCCAGCAGGGATTTTGGTTGAGCTTTGTCGAAAAATTGGTATTATACACTCACTATTTTTAGAATAATGTTGGGAACAGTTGTTTTCAGTTTTATATCAATAAATGGTGTAAACTTGTACTATGATGTGGTAATTTTGCATCCTAAACGCGGCAGATGAAAATTTCACATAGCTTTTTTCAAAATTGCGCTCCTTGAACTGCCAACACCTAACTGCTACATTTACAGTTTGGTTTGACATTTTAACACATTTTTGTCTCAAAATAACGGTAGAACAGCACTCTATTCACTAGTATCGTTTACTTAATTTTACGTTTTGGAGGACGTTCCTGAGAATGATCACATATAATGAAGGATTGAACAGATATTTTCCAGGAGAATTTTTGACTTCTTTGTGTATCTACAATTTTGCTCTCAGGTTCATACTTTTTTGCCTTACCAAGAACTATGTGCAATACTTACACCCAAGCCTTCAAAAATTAATAGTGATCATAAACGGATTTGTGTTATTTTCTGAATAATAAATAAAGGCTTGGAGGACAAGGCGCTTAAGTGCAGTTTTTGAAAACATTGAGATATTAATAATTCCGAATAAAACTAGTCTTAATGCATATTCTGTGGAAAATTCGCTCCGAAATTCCAATTTTTAAGCATCTCAAAGTCAGTTAGAACTTTCTTTTCGCCATAAAGATCCATGTAATTACAAAACTTCGAACATGTACTTCTCGAAGTAGCCAAAACTGCAGTTATGCATCTCGTCCTCCAAGCCCCTCGAATGAGTAAGGATTTAGCTGTACATTGCTAATTCTGATCGTCTTCCCTATCTTCGCCAGTCATAGTAAATTACTGCTCAAAAGTACCAGTTTCATGACACATGAAAAGAATTAAAATCATGAATCAGGAACGAAATTGTTTCTTTATTACTTAAAATAAACAGACTTCACAGATTAATTGTTACTTTACAAAGATAGTCAAAAATAGGGGGTTGAAGACTTCAAGAGGAAAAAAAAGAGGAACTTACTATGATATTTTCAAAATTCACTCTAAATCTGTTCAATACAATGTACCTCCAGAAATAGGTTGAATACTAAAAAGGTTCAACTGGTACTAAAATTCCTTGGTTTAAATTCTAAGTTGGGGACCTTGCTGGGAGAAGGGCATATCTACAAAATATGCCCTTTCCAGTACATTTTTTTTCAAAGCGCTAGTAGATTTCAAAACTTTAGAATATGGGTGGAGAGAATTGCCTTTTGTTGATCAATTGGCCCACTCAGGTCGTTCGGATACCATTTCAAACTTTAAAATAGGTTGTATTGTACTCAAAATGCTGTACCTATTACTTGCTCTCTTCTTCCAGCATGGTCTACAAATGAGCCTCTTGTTTTGAAATAAATCCACATGAGTGATTGAAATATTTTGAGAGGTAAGAAAAACCAAGTCACAGAACCACACATATTTCCTCATTACAGCGTCAATTTTGAAAGGAACCAAGCTGGACCCTCAAACCAAGACTCTCAGTTAAGGTTTATAATTCTGAGTTCATCTCAATGTACAGGATTAGAACTAGGGCTGTGCAAGCCTGGTTTTTTGGGTTTGAGCCGAGTTCGAGTATTTTTTCACTGTTTCGAACTTTGAAAATAACCCTTGAGCAGAGTCAAATAATTAAGAGTTTTAACACGTGATTTTACATTTAGAAATGATGGGGAGACTGAAAACATTGATAGAATGATTAAAATATTTAGGAGATGGACTCTTTTGGCATTTTCGGCTCAAAAAAGCTCAACATACTCAAGAAACTCAAGTTATCCGCATTTGAGCCGAGTCGAGTACTTGATACTCGGCTCGACTCGATTCGAAATTCGAGTACTCGCACAGCCCTAATTAGAACACCAATCATTACTTTTAGGGCCTGAATTTTTGTTAGCTCAAAATGGGCAACAAATTAACAGAAAAAATCCTAAAGTTATTGAGCTTCGTCAATCAGAGGGCTTTCACTCGACTTACAGGCCGGGGCAGGGCGGTATGGAGTTGGCCGGAACTTACACTCAGCTGGTTGACAAAATTCAGGCCCGGTATTTTCTTCTGTAATCGGACTAGAGTCCTTTAAAAGTCAGCTGAGAAGCAACATTTTTTAGTCTAATTAGTCTATCTGTATCTGGTCTTGATTTTAGGTTATACTGGGTAAACAAATGACGAAAAACCACCCTTCCTATCAGGTTTCAAAATGATGATGCCTTGTGACTTCTCTAAATTGATGGTTTCGATGAGATCCTTGGGATCCACTTGAATAGTATCATCCGCCCCCAAAAAAGTAATGCCACTGTCCATACTGCTGCACAAAAGATACAAACATTTCAGATTATTTTAAAATAACTACTGAGCCTTTTACAATCAAGTTGTTAACTTTTTAGCAAGATGCGCATGGAGTGAAGCTGGATTTTTTTTTTTTTTTTTTTTTTTTTTAATAAGTATAAAAAAGCAAGGTTGTTCCACAATTGGATTGAATTTTGCAAAAAGGAACCACTAGCATTGCAATGATGCTAAGATTGTGCAACTTCATCTTTTGCAATAAAATTGCGGAAATCGTGAAAAACTATGAAATTTAGATGGTAATTTTTGTCTTAAATTTACAGTTTTTAGCGAGTAAAATAGAAACTATTAATAGATAATCGGGTTTTTCCTCCAAGACAAAAGAAGTTGCACAATCTTAGCAACATTGGGCACTGAACTCTGGCAACTCACTAGCTTCCTTATATGTTCAAACATATTCTATGGGGATTTTTTCCTCTCGTTTGGAAATCATAAGTGACTTTAAAATATTATGTCCATCCCTTAAAAACTCAAGCATTTTTAAACACAAAAATAGACAAAGAGAAAAACTTAATTATTTCATAAACAGGATTTGAATTGAATAAGTGGGCATTTTTCACTTTCTATTTGCAGACGGCTGCGCAACCATCATCTAACAATAATAGAGATTATCCAAAAATACCGATTTTGTCTTGCTGTGATGCATGAATCGATTAACTAGGGATGACAGTTTGAAGTGAACGACTGATAACTTATTTGACACGAGTCCTATATCCGCACAAAAAACAAGACCATTAAGCAGAGTATAACTTACCTGCCAACTGCATCTAGCTTCCAGTCAAATACTTTGCGCAGCTTGGCAAGACACTCGGGCAGATCATTCTCATCGCACTTATGGATATGCAAAAGCCTGTTGTACCATTTCTTCAAATTCCGCAGTTTCTGGCTGCATTTATTGGCTGCAATGGAGTCAGACTCAAGGTTCAAGGGGTAACCATATTTCTTCATTTCTTTCGCAATATTCACCCAGATTTCTTTCTTCCTGGTAGTCCTATCCTTCAAATTTTGTACAAACATATTTTGGTTGGGTAATAATGTGGACTAACAAATCAGTGACATTCTTGCAGTGTGGGAGAGAGGAGATGTTAATGGATTGGTACCATTTGGGGATTTCTGCTTCTTTGCTTCCTGTGGGAATTTCTACTTCATTGCTTCCCGTGGGGATTTCTGCTTCTTCGCTTCCCGTGTGAATTTCTGCTTCTTCGCTTCCCGCAGGAATTTCTACTTCTTTGCTTCCCTCTAAGACCTGAGCCTCAGCAAGATTCACTTCCTCTGGAATTTGAAGAAGAAGAGGTAATTATTGAAAACGTTCTCTTGAAAAAAGAATAAAAAATAAATAATTTTAAAAAATACTTGAATTTTCCGGGAGACTGCTTCTTTTCGCTTTGTGTGCAGATAATGCATAACTTTAGAACGAGCTTGATAAGCTTTGATGAGGAATCTGAGAAGAAACTTGGGACATTTCACTGCAAAAGAAAAATAAAAATTAGTATACAAAATATGGTCCATCAAGTTAATACAATTTGTATTTGTTCAAAATATGAAAAGACTGAAGGACGTCTTTCACATGGGACACCTCTAATGACTATTCTCGTTGAAAAATAATGTTGCTCAGAAGTCAATTCCTGAGTAATACGATTTTGTATCCTCTCAGAATCTGAAACTATTGTTAAGAACATCATTAAAGTAGTAAATACAATCTTTGTAGACATTTTCCAGTCAGACAAATGTCAGAGAGAACTCATTTAGTCTCAGGAAATGAGAAAAAGTGAAAATAAGAATAGGTCTAAAATATTCCTAACTAGTTGCTGTTAAATTAGAGGGTTTCACATTGCATCTGCTAATTCACGGAATAAAATTATATTAAAAATACTTATAGTTCATGATCTAAAAAATAACTACATTAATGTGAGAGCACATTGATGGTGAGAAAATGAGAAAATTTCACTCCGCAAGGAGGCTGTGGATAAGGACGTTGATGAAAGAATAGTAAATTAGGAACACTGCAAAAAAATACATTTTTACTTAATTAAAGAACTTCAGAGGTGGGACTTCACTTGGCAGGGGCCCTCTGAGGAAGACACCGACCCTATCTTTTGTGAATAAAATGGCAGCCCTTACTTTGTGATACATCATTGGAGAGGGCATTAAAAAATTTATCTGCAAGAGTTCAGGTCTCCATTCATTACTGGTTCAAAATAGCCCCCAAAAAAAGGATTTGCTTAAAACTTAGAAATCAGGAGTATTTTGAAGTGCCCAACACGAATTCAAGCCAAAAATAGTGGGGCCTAGTTGCAAACTGTAGTCAAATCTTGATAGAAAACGCAACAACTTTTTTGACAACTGCGCGCAAGGTAGGTTAAAAGGATGGTATTGTGTTACTTCATACAAATCTCTAAGACTGAGACATGAACAGTGTGAATCTTTCATTATTTATGAAACAAATGTTACAAAGAGAACATCATCCTCGAACAAAGAGGAAGTAATAACATTAAAATTACAATGACTAATATCACAACATTTAAGGAGCAGTCTCGGATTGTCCAACTGAAGGGATAAAAAATCTTTGGACGTTATTGAACGCTACAATGGTAATCCTACAATTGCAATTTGCTGCAGTGATGTTAACAAAATTAAGGATGGCCTTCAATATAAATGAAATATTAACAAGAGAAAAATTATTTATCTAAACTTCCTCACTTAATCTTGACTTTTTTCCAGAGAATACTTTTTTATTTTCAGCTAAACCAAGGCTAAAAACACACTTTCCATGGAGAAAACTCTAAATCTTTGATCTCCATGAAAAGGAAACATCAAAATATCGGAGCAAAATCCATCGCTTTCAGTATACTTTGCAAAATCATAGACCATTGAAAAAAAAGGGTAAATTGTGCTTTCCCATATGCATGGTAAAATAAGATTGATTTTCAATGTTTGATTTTGAAAAATAATGACTCATTAAAAATCTTGGGTTTTAATTTACCTTCTGACATAAACACAAAATAGGAAAAGAAAGAAAGGGGACGTTGTTGAATAAAAATGACTACAGTTCTAGAAATGAGATACCTGAGAAAATTACCACTCGGCATCCGCAAAGGTTTCATATCCCTTCAAAAATTCAAAACAAATGGATTAGATTTTTCATGAATAAACTAAATTTCTTTTCCTCATGCTGTATCTTTCCAGTTTTTAGACACCTCTCTCAATTCCCATTAAATGTAACGGAGGGCTTCAATGAACAGGTACTGACAGAGTGAAGTATTCCATTTTTAACTACACTCTACATTAGAACTCCAAAAAATTTGAACTTGGCGATTGACTTCGCAAACTTCACAATCAGAAAAACAACGACTACAGCGTATCTTTGGCAGAGGTATAAAAATTTGTGAATGTTTTACAGGCCTGGTCGATATTGTCGTATTTGAATTTATAATTTAGTTCATTAAGGCGCTTAGAGTACACTTTCTGTCCTTCAGTCATGATTTTAGATCGTTCGTCTCCAAATATGAGTCGGAGTGCCAAAGCTGGAAGAGGAATAAACGCTGGCCGATGAAGGGCTCCTGCGAATGATCTGGTGAAATCACTGTTAGTGATTATCTGAGAACAAGGAATTTATAATGAGTTAATGAAAGCGATTTTTTTTCAGATTTCCAATGAAAAGCAGAGAAAAGGATAGTATTAAAATTAAAAAAAACAATTTTGCTTCCCATTATTTAAAATACCTGTAACCTTGAAATTAAACTCCCTTGAAACTCTGTTTTTTCACCAGTGGATGACCGGACGAGGGTAGCAAATAAGGTCTGCATTTAACAATTTGCCTAAAAATCTCACGTAAAATATGTTAGGCATGTTGACAAAACTTTACATAAAATACACAGAAATTCAGCGTCAGATAAATTTTGTTATTATTTGATACCATGTTCTTTAAGACCTGCTTAGGACAACGATCTTTAGAAATCAAACTTACTGTGTGCCAATCTTGAGCAAAGTGGGGCTGACAAGGGATTTTTTCTTACCCTCTTACAGGCATTTTCTAGTGGAAATGTGAGGCTGTTGCTATGTGTGGGCGTGAACGCTGCTCTGCACACTATTATTGTTTGCAGTAATTTTATTTTTTTGTCTGTCTGTCTTATCATCCCGTTCTGCTTGGGTGCAAGAGATCTCTTCAATTACCAATTAAATGTTTTAACATTCCGCCTAGATATTGCATGTATAAATGCTGAACAATTCGATTTTAAAAGCTCATCGACAAACATTATATCAAATAATGTTGAAATTTAGACAGCTCCGCATTTCCTGGTATTGTGTGTGTAGTCCTTTTAAAATTCTACTGATTAATTAGAAATCCATGTTCCCAAGTTTGTCAACTTGAACTTTCTATTCAACAAAAAAACCAAAGTCTATTGGAGTAAAATTGAGCAATAGACTGATTGGCATCAAGCAGTATGGTACTATCAAAATTGAAAGTTTTGAAACATGACTCGAATACAATAATTCAGAATCAGTGACATATATGGGATAGGGGACACATGTATTTGAGTAATACAACAGTTGCGACTCAGGGCTGATTAACTGAGGCTTTTAGCTTCAAAATTATACAATTGTTCAAGATAGTTAAGAGCGATAGTTTAGCCGCCTGAAAAAGAAGACAAAAAAAATGAAGGTCCGGATACTATTGAGTAACAAGCTAGAAAAATGAATGTTTCTATCATACAGTAAGACCTTGATTTATCACAGGACCGGAGGCCGAATCCGTTAAATCGCAGAATCCTCTAAATCGTGCTAGTCCTGTTGAAGGGACCGGAGGATCGATCCGTTAAACACGGAATTCATTAAAACGCGGAATCCGTTAAATCACGGAATCCGTTAAATTGCGATCCGATAATTCGAGATCTTACTGTATTTATATACTCTATATAAAATGGATTGTGCCTGTATACACACATACCTGCGGAGCAACACCATTGATGATACCGGTGGCTTTATTGTTCTCAATTGCAAAAAGAAGGATGTGGCACATGTCATAAATATGAATCCAAGGCATGAACTGGGTTCCAGAACCTATGGGTCCTCCAACACAAAACCAGAATGGTAAATATATTTGCTTTATCATTCCTCCGTTTCGCCCCAAAACAATGCCTGCAAAGTAGAGAAGAAAATGAAAAAACTCGGGAAGAGCCAAGTAGAATTTATTTTGAGGAAAATTTCATGATGCAAAAGGGACATCCATTAATTACGTCCAGATGAGACCCAGAACTTAAGATCTTCCTCCTCTCTCCACACTAACCAGTCATACAGGTCTGCATATACACTGAAAAATTATGTCTTGTTTTGCTAAATCTTTTTACGTAAATTGGTATTGTCTGCCCATATGTTTCCTAAAACTATCAACGAATTTTTCTTCTTCCTTCTTCCATTCTTGCATTCTTGGAGGAAGCTAAGACTACACCCTTCTCTTGAAAACGCAACATAATTCATGGAAGGTCCACTTGGGTAAAATAGAGGAAACTCAAGAACATGTGGTTAATACTAGAAGTAGATGGCATCAATTATATGTTGCGGAATGATGGTAAATAGGAAAATTGATACAATAATTAGTGTTGATAGTTTCATTAGCTTTGACGCGGTCCAAAGAAGATACTTTTAAACACGATTAGCGTGACACGCTACTCATATGATTTTATATTATAGAGTTTGATCAGAGGAAAGGAGGAACAGTAGAACTAACCAGATCTAACTATCACTTGTCGTACATCTTCAACATCGCTAGGTAAACGTGCAGCTGCCTCCCACTCAAGTGCAAGCTGAGACAGGAAATCAAAACTCTGGCTTACGTCTGAATATTCATCATAGGAGGCTTTCTCGTCAGGCTTGTAGACACCTTGAACAAAAAGAAATTGATTCGTTAAAATATTTTGCGGAACTAGTCAAAAGGTCCTCACAACAGGCTTACGGCTGGTGAAGAGGGACCAAGGTGGGACTTTTCCTTTTCCCAAAAATGAAAACTTTCAGCTATGTTTCTTGGAATTTCTGTTGAAATCTACTCACATGGGAAACTTTGAGGAGAAACACATGTGCACAAATTGCACAAGGTGTCAAGAATTGAGAAGCAGATACATGCAGGATTGATTCCTAAAGCCAAAAATGACCTTCTTGGATCTAGAACATATTTTTCGTTGAGCTATACTTAAGGGAAGAAGAACCCTTAAAGTTTTATGGAGGAAAAAAAATCGATATTTTTTTGGAGGCAGTAACAGTTATTAGCCTAAATGACATGAAATCCAGTTAACAGCGATATTTTTATGCTTCTCATCTAACTCTGGTTTTAAAAGAAACAAAAACTAAGAGGCAGAAAGGTTTAACGAGGTCTCAGATTCCAGGGAAGGAGAGTTCAGAATCCAGGGCTCCTGCAAACCCTTCTGCTCTTCCGCTGAAAATTTTTCAGTGGCTAGAAAAGGATAAAATGCACAAAAATATTCCATGGAATGAAAATGCATGCCCTTCAGCTGATAACCGTGTTTGCAATCTGAAATAGAAATGAAATTTTTTTCCTAAACTTTAAAGGACGCCATGACTTAAAAGAAACATCACTCACTAAAAAGTTTGCAGAGTAAATAGGCTGCATGCCTAGAGATTAGACTCCTCAAGAACCTGTTCGATTTGGCCGACCCTAAAAAGTAATGCACTGGAAAATGGTGAAATTTGAGCTTTTTAAACCACAGTTTCTGCTGATCGCCCAACACTACTGCTGTGTCTGGGCTACGCAGGTATTTAGTACCTACTTTTTTTTGGTACCTATGACATAGCAGTGCAATGAAACTGCACCCTACAAAATGCTGTTCTTGTGACCGTTTTCACCCGGCCAAATCAATAAAGAAACTGTCACTATGACTAGCTTGGAAGTGAACGTATTAGAGCTTTAAATAGCTTCCTTTCAAAAGTTTGTCTCTTTAACTACAAACTCCTGACCATCATACTTCTAATTCAGTTTGATACTTTTACATGATTTTTCTTTGCCAAAAATTTTGAAAACAGAGTAAAACTTTGAAAAATTTTCATCTTTCTTACCTACACCAGACATTGAGATAAATACTTTTGGCCTCTCATCTGCATCAGCAATTGCTTGAGTAAGGGTTCGGGTTGTTTTAATCCGACTGTTCCTAACATTCTGTTTAAAAGCATCGTTCCACCGTGATGCAGGGTCCAGTATATTTTGGCCTGCTAAATTAACAACTGCTGTTATGCCTTTTGGTAAACCTTTGCTTGAAACATCAATCTGTAAAAAACCAGAACAATGCTTGTACTGTCCTGCTAACAAAGAACACAATGTGTTGGGGAGACTTGATATTATATATCAAGTTTCCCCAACACATTGTGTTCTTAACTTATTAGCAATGTGAATAACTATTGCTTCTAAAGAGTTTGACTCCTTGCACCTTCACATACTTTAATGTGTAAAATATCAATAGCCAACATTGAAAAGTTTATACCTATGATTGCAACATTGCAATTTTACATTCTTGTTTTAATTTTCCAAAAGGAAATAGAACATTGGTTTTTCTTAAAATTCACGGTGAATTTTCTTCTTTGAGTCAAAAAGATTCACAGAAATTATAAAAAATATTTTGGGTCGTTCCCTTCCAAAAATAAAATACATGTAATCAGAGCTTCAAAAATTATTTGCATGAGAGACAAATATTTTGACTTAAAACCCGATTCAAACAGTTTAATTTTTCATCCAACTTTTCCTCCAATTCCGTTGAGTGGGTAAGTAAGTATTTTTCCTATTTGAATTATGTACACAGTAAAAGTTTTCATCCTATAAAGATGGTAGAAAAGTTGAATGAGAAGTTGAACTAAGTAGGTGAATTGGGCTTCAGCATGGACAATTATTGCAATATTATGAGGAATAAAAAATTCTGTCAGTAAGTACAGGTAACAAAAATCTACTTCTTCCGCCAGTATTGACTTTCTGCTGAAGCACACATACCCAAAGCACTGAATACATACCCATGTAATTCTATCAGGACCTGGCATTCTTGAAATGGTTGTGACTTGATAGCCATTGCAGTTCAGCAGGTATTTGAAAGCGGAGCCAATGAAACCTGTTCCACCTCCTTGAATGCAGAAAAGGTACAGAGTGATAAAAAATAGAGGCATGATAGATGCGGGAAAAAAACAAGAGAAGGTGAGAATAGAGGAGGTCAGGCTTAAGAGAACTAGGTAGACCCTGTTTCAGATAAGTTTATCATTTACATTTGCATGTGCAGATACCACAACTGCGATGAGCGAAGACGGAAGAGAGGGCTAGGCTTATCTGATACTCTGAGCCGACGCATTGTCACAGTACTTAATTTTGCTGAAAGCTCACTCATTGATCAAGGTTTCAGGTAGAGCCTCCGGAAGGGAGGTATTAAGGTGATTGGACAGGTGCCATTTTTTGCGTCAGAGCGACGTACAATATATTGCATCAATTCGTTCCATAATTTCAGCTATTTGAGATTGCACTTCTGTTGTCATGAGACTTAAGAAATTTGACAAAGAAATTCATGGTATTAAGGGCAGGGGTTTTTCAGAGGAAAAATACCGCATTTGATACTGATATCCAAGTTACTTTTGAATGCGATCCTGCATTCGAATGCAGTTTCGAAATCAGTATCGAATACGATATTTTTCCTCTAAAAAGACTCTGCCTTCATTTTTTTCTTTTTTTTCGGAACGGTTTTAAGGCCGACGGACTGTGGTATTTAGCACTTTTCTGGAGGTTATGTATAGTGTTAGCGTTTGTGAGTTAGTGCGCCAGCGCGTTGCAATGAATTTCTTCGTCAAATTTGGTACATGAATTCCTTAGTCTTATGACAACAGAAGTGCGATCTCAAAATTCGAAAAAAATGACAGCTGAAATTATGGAACGAGTTGATGCGGTATATCGTACATCGCTTTGATACAAAAAATGGCAACCGTGGAATCACCTTGACTAACAACTCAACTTTTTCTAGAGCTTGAATCATGTGGCGTGAACAATGATATTGAATGCCACACAGTGAAACTTTGAGGACATGGATTCTACTATATGTTTTATTTCTTCGCATTGAAACCAAAATGAACTTCATTTCAGCAGCAGATTGGTAGATTAAACGGTTCACGACTGAAAGTTGATGAGTAAATGGGATTGTTAACATTTTCTTAAGCTAAACAACTTCAATAAATCTTCGGAGTTTACCTAAAAGAACATGCCCAGCAGAGGCTTCTGATGACATGGTTCGAACTAGACACGCCATAGACTCAAAAGAGATTAATCAGTTTGTAGAGGCACTGATAACTACGGTTGAAATTAAATTAAAATTATCAATTATTGGAAGGGTTATCTCACGGTTGGTGGCTACGTTTGTTATGGTAAATACGATTTCGTCATATAACTACGATCACTATCTAGACGTCTGTTGAAACCATGGTTGGACAGTAAAGTAAACAAGCTGACGGCTGATAATAAAATCTGCAATTCTATTGGTCAAAAAACAAATTACGTCAGTAAAGAATAAAAATCAACCAATCAATCAGCTGAAAAAGAGGCGACTCCTTACGTCGTCAACCAATGGCTCTGACTTGATTGTTATGATTCTCTCACTCACCTAGCCTCTCATCCTTATCAGTGGGTAAGTTCTGATGTGCTGACATAGCCATGTAATAGTTCACTTGCACTTCATTTACTCAATTATATTACTTAACGTTACCAATACTGATGTAGTTTTAATGCCTTTCTAGACTGAAGAGTCCTGTGCAGATTAAATTGGTTTCCCAAAGTAAGTTTCTACTTTTTAACTCACTCTTACTCGGAATTTTATCTGAGTGGCTGTTAAAGGTTTTTCCTCGCAGCCGCATGGAATCTTTAAGTCAGTTGATTTGAACATTTTCTCTAACACATGTCGCTCTGAGACAGATATTCAAACTTCATTAGAGTCATTGAGTCAATTCTATTTCAGTTCACTTTTTATCCTCCATGGCAAACATTAAGTAATTTCCTTTGCTCTGAGGGGAACAATCCTTTTTTACGCAACACTCACCTTTTACCCCAAGGAATAACTTCTTAACTCACTCGTTTTATTTTTGCTACAATTTCACTCTCATATGCACCCTTAGGGTGCAGGCAATAGATGCAGGCGCTTAACTCGAGGAATCACCAATCCGAGATGCACTGTTCCATTTCACTCAACTGAGCTGCAAGTCGGTATTGCGGCATTATTCTATGCCTCCACCATTTCAGATTAAATGAGGGACGACTTGGCTCGCAAGTTATTTTACTGTCCACTTTGCTAAGACATGAACTGTACTTTATCATTTTCAAGCTGTGGTTTTGCAACTCCAACAGATGTTAACCACAACATGTAATAGGCATCATCATTCTTGCCTATCAAGTAGCTGCACGAATTTTAATCGCCCTATGTGACCCTGGAGGTTTGTGCGGATGTGCTTAGGAAACATGTAAATGCAAGAAGTAAGGTTGATAAGCATTCATGACAATGATTCTAATCTTTCACTGTGCTATGGATGCAATGTGAGTCTTCAGAATATTTGTTAATACTGTAGGGTTTTTTTTCGCAAGCTGTCATCATCACCTCCTCCTAGAATATCTGTATTTTAATTTAGTTAACCACTACAGTCATTATGTTAAATAACTTGTTTTACATCTGATCAGTAAGTAAGTAGATGCACTACGTGGCTACATTACGCAATGTCAGTATATATCGATGTAGTTTCAGTTCTAATGTAAGCAGATATGTAACCTTGTCGTATCAGATTTATAAATTGATTCTCAATTTATTATGAAATAATTATGATGAACCAAAGAACCAGATTTTGAATTTAAAGTCATGTATTAATGCTTACTTGTATTTAAACTGTAGTACAACGATGTTAATTATTGCAAGAATGACGCAGTCCATAAGTCAGTCTGTGCAAATGCACTGATGATCTGCGATCAAGTTTAATCTGCTCATTACAAGAGTTTTTGATAATCTTTCTTATCTTAAGTTTTTGGTTTTGCACAGGACTGATGATGGGTGAGAACGCGTCAGATGGATACGAAGACTCGGAATGCAAAGACAGTAGGTGCTCTGAAGAGTGGCCTGATCTTGATCTCGATTTCCAGAAGTATGGTGCATACTCCAACTATGATGACAGGTCAGTTAGAGGGAATGAAATGATTTATTTATTTTGATGAAGAAATTAAAAGAGTGTCAAAAAATACAGATAAAATGAAGATTATATATTCTTCATCAAAGAAAAGCCTTTCCCATATCAAGGGCTATTGAAAAATACCGCCCTAACTGACAATTTTGGTAAAAATGAGTTAGCAGCTTTGCCCTATTTTTTAATGTAAAATATGCTAGCTGATGATTTTAGATTTTTCCAACTCTGTAGGGGAGCGCTTCAATGAAGCTATAATGCATGAGGAAAGTGAAAATCTAATCCTAAAAAATTGCTAAGTTTTCTCCTAGTTCTGCAAAATCATCAGTTTTGACAGTATTGTTCATCAGCCATCGTTATGTGAAAAGAAACAATGCAAATTTTTTAATTGATACTGTTCTGCATTGTGTAGAATAAAGAGGAACGAGGCTCCAGACAAAACCAAAATGGGCCTGTTGCAAACTTTTGCTCTTAAAAAAAGTTTCAGCTTATTTAGCCGTAAGAAGTTGATACTTTTACAAGATTAACTTTAAATATTTTCTTTTTAAAAAATTGCACCCTTACTTTCATTTACACCTCTTATTTCAGGGATCCGTACAGTATCACCAATGAATCGGAGAAACTACAGGCTCTGGAAGAGCAACAAGAACTGCTGAATTCATCTCTGATGGCTCTTACATCTCACTTTGCTCAAGTACGTCTTTCAATGTTATCTTTTAACTTTAAATCTAGAATTTCCGAAAACACTTAATTTTGTCCAAGTTGATGAAAAATTCTAAGGTGCCAAATTTTCAAAACTCATTTATGTCCCCCCCCCCCAAAAAAAAAAAAAAAATTATTTGTGTTTTATAGTTAATTTGTATTCCAAGGTTTCAGCTTTGTGTCTAAAATCCAAATCAAATCGGTCTGTAGGTAGGTATGGATAGTTCCTAAAGGATATAAATTCCTAAAATATAATTCCTAATAATTTCCTAAATTCCTAAGGATAATTTCTTTGAGCCAGGTATTTTTTTCTAAAACCAGATATTTTCTTCTGAACGCTTGAACAATTTTATTTATTTATTATTATTTTTATATTAATTTTATTTTATTAATCAAGGGTGAAAAAAGTTTAACATGGCGGTACTAAATCCATTGTGCTTTGTTGGAATTTGTCTCCAATAATTTATAACACCCGAAAATGCCTGTAGTGGTTTTCCAACAGTTAAAGTGCATAAGAAATGATTCTATTACAAACTATTGTTTTAAGGACGGCTTTCCTTTCCTCTCATTTCTTCTTCATGAAATGATCATCACATGTAAAAACCTGGTTCTAAGGTTAAAGCCAGTTTTTAAGCCACAACTTTATCTCGCGCTTTGTCTAAAGTAGAACTCTAAACGTTGATAAACTATTGTGCCAAATATGCTTCAACCACAACAGGGTAAATTTAAGCTTGAAACTTGCTACGGTTATGTTGAATTTGGTAAACTTGGTTTCTGTCTAGTTCTGTTCTCCCTGTGGTGGAGTATGTCATATTTTATTATTTTCTAAATTTGTGTTCGTATAGGTTCAGTTTCGTCTTCGTCAAATTGTGGATGCTCCATCAAATGAAAAAGAAACTTTACTACGAGATTTAGAAGAATTTGCCTTCCGTGGAATCCCAGAAGTACATCATAATCATGCTAGATACTCAATAACTTCGGTAAATTGTTATATGAATAATTGAATATCGTCAAAAATCAATATTTGATAGCATTGCAATCTTCTTGTCATATTTTATTTTCCACCCAGCAAACTACTAAACGTCACTCTTTGAAAATTATGGTAATTTTTCTTCTCTTTGTGAGGATTACTTTGTAAAAATTTCAAGCCATGATGTCTGTTGAGTCTGCTTTTTGAAAAATAAAAGCTTTCAAAGATTTTCACAGACTGAAATGGAGATGTATATTTTGACCAAAAGTTAAGAGGTAAGCGCTTTTTTTTTTTGACAATGAAAGTTTTGGAGATAGACTTTACAAAAGCAGAAATAACCGGACAACGACCAGCAGTATCAAAAATTGAAAAAAATCAGGTAACCACCAACTTGCCAAAAGAAAAAATTTTTCAAAATAAAAATCAGTTCCAGAATCCCTCATTCATGATGATAGAAGTTCTGCATGTTATCAGTTTTTTACAGAGATGAACTAATCACTAGTTTATCAGGTTAATTAAAATTGCTGTTTCAATTGTTTTTCATAAAATAATGGCTTTAATGAGCAAAATGGATACTTATGAAAACATATGATGAATCCTCTTTTTTATTATACTTGAACCAGTCGCCACTACTTTCTTTGAACTTTAAATTTAGTCCTTATTGGGGTAAAGATAATTAATGCATACAACATTTACGATAAGATCATATATTCAGGAAGTATTTTAATCTACAAATTGAAGACATTTTTCACCATCTCTGGGAAAATTGTATGTTTTCTTTTTTTAATAGGAAAAACAACTAGAAGAAACACTTAACACTCAAAGGGAGAAACAGAAAGAGCTGATTGCGCAGCTCAAAGAACAACTTGAAGACTTGGAGAAATATGCATATGAGACTGGTGACGCTGAATTACCGCAAAGCATTGTGATAGAGCGTCAAAAAGTAATCATTGGTAAGCTCTCCAATCACTAAATCCGTTTAATCCTAGTCGATAGACCCAGATTGTAAGACCCCAAACCTTGCCCCATCTGAGGCATTTCAGAATACTAAGATATAAACTGTAAAAACGCAACTCAGTTTGCGATGTTGCAAAGATTAAGTCATATTTTATTTGTTAAACAGGAAACTAATGTACATCATATGCTGGAAACTTCAGTGATTTGTTTTCAACTGTGAGAAGAGTATTCCATCAAAATTTCAAGCCATGATGTCGGTTTGTTCTCCTCAAAAAAGATGAATTAAGAGAGTGGAATCTGGAACACTGTAAATGAGAAGCACATATTTTTCATGCCTTCGCCAATGAGTAATTTTAGAAAATAATTTTGACCATCGTTCCAGCGATCAGTGTGAAACATAGGCATGTGAAAATATGATTCTTCAGTTTTTCTATGGAAAAAAAAACCGTTCATCTTTTCAAGTTGTTATTGCAGATATCTACTTACACGTTGTTTCAAACTTCAGTCCAAAATTGAACTCTCAAACTCAATCTGCAGATAAACTTATCACCTTAAGCCAAACCTCAAGATTTTTTGCAAAAAAATTCCAAGTATATTATCACTGAACTTGTAAACTTTGAGAGGTTTTTAGTGTATTTTTTTCATTGGAGAAGGTTGTTCTGGTACTGGTAGACAGGGTACTGGTAAGTGAATGCAGTTTTAAGCAAAGGATGAGCGTTGCTGCGTTTGAAATACCTCTAGAATATTGCTGTATTTTTAATAGCTAACTTATTCGTACTTTTCTTCTTTTTCAGATCAATTAAAGGAGAAACTTAATCTAAATGTCGATCAAATAGATAAACTTACAATTGATGACTTACGGAATCAAGTGGACAGGGCAATTGGTCAAGTAAGTATCTATAATTTTATGTTTCCTTCATTTTGAATTTTTCCGTTTGCATCTTGTCTTACTCACATAATTCAACTAATCAGAATGAAATAATTCTATCGATATTGATAAAAAAAAACCAGCATTGATCATAATCATTCAAAGGGGCTGAAAAGTTCCTAACTCACTTGCGACGACTTTTTTCCTCTCATAGGTAGACGCGTGTCAAGCAGCGGCTCATCTTCGGTGCGACTGGTCGCACAAGATGAGCCGCTGCTCGATACGAGTCTGCCTATGAGAGGAAAAAAGTCGTCGCAAGTGAGTTTTTGAAAACCTTTTTTTTAAAACGTAAACTTGTGCGGTATAATTAGCTCCCTATTTTAAATTTTAAAGTTCCTGACCTCGTTTCGCCAACTTTTGATTAAGTCGTGTTAAAAACTCGAAATTTTAGGAGTGCTCTTAATTTAGAATGAACTACTCTTGGAACCATTCAAAATTTGCAGGGACCACCCTGGAGGAGGGCATGGACCCCGACATTTTTTTTCCAAATTATTTCTCTCTTCAGATTTGGGACTTTCTAAACATCCTGAATTAAGTCCACTCTTCTTTCTCTAAATCTTCTTACCATTTAACGCCTGTCAAGGGTATGGTCATTCTATTTCTAAAGTCTACAGTAGAATTCTGTTAAAATAGCGCATCAACTCTCATGTTCTGAACTTATATCAATCATAGGTCAGAAAAACTTATATGTATTCTGAAATGGTCATCGCCATCTAATCAAAAAGGAAACATTAACCCATTGTGTCTGAAGCCATAATTAATCTCCATATCAGTGAAAATCTCAAAAAACAAACCGAATAGTCCAGGGGTGCAAATTGTTTTAGGCCTACGTAATTTTCATGGAGGCCTTTGAAATTTTCTGTATTGCGCTGGGTTTTTGCAAGAAGGTCACCACAACGCGCTGATCAAAATTGTATAATGTCTAAAATTGTGTTAATTTTAGAATGTGTGCCAAAGTTGCATTATTCCACAAGAGTTGAAAGTCTGGAAACTGAAAAATCCAAAGAAAAAAAATTCTCAGCCTCCACAATTTTTAGGACAAATCCACAATTTAATCGAGAATGATTTGCATCCCTGCTAAATACATACAAATGCAAAACAATGGGTCAGTGGCCTAACATTTCTGCAGAACATCTGACAGTTGTTCCCAGTGTCAAATTTCATGAAAAAACGAAAAAATCCATCGAAAAGTTTCAAAAACCACTTCTAAGGGGAGAAAAAGCTGATTAAAATTTGGTCAACCAAAAGCTGAATGAGTCATGATGATGTAACTGGGCTTCAGCAAATCAGCGCATGCGGACTCCTTCATCTGCCTACATTTTCATCATAACAGACCGACATAAATCGTCACCTTCCAGTCAAAGTATCACCAGCGCCATGCAACATTTAAAAATTTACGCCACCATTTTATTTTTTTAGAGAGAAATTGTTCAATGAAGCTGTCCGAAAATTTCACTGAATTTTCTTTGTGCTGCTGATAAAATTCAGTTAAATTTTCAAATAGAGTCAACCAACAATTTATCTGTGAAAAAATAAAATGGCAGCGGAAATTTTTAAACATCACATGGCGACTGTGATACTGTGGCCGGAAGGTGATTAAATGTTGTTTCAAATGAGTCCAGATTCTGGTGAAGTAAATATTATATTTCTCCATCAAATTAAAAAAAAATTCGAAAAGTTACTGTGAGCTTGACTCACTCCCTGTTTTACAAAAATGAATTGAAAATAAGCGCCACCGAACCTTTGAAGTGTAAATGAGGTAGAAAATGTCTCTCTTCATTCAACCGAATTTAACTAACTTCCTATCTTTTCATCTCTCACTTTTAAAACCTACTAACCCTTCAATTTTGTAGTTGGTTAACCCTCTGAAGATGAAAGAGCAACTAGTTGTCCAGTTGAAAACTCAGATTTCAGACTTGGAACGTTTCATTGAATTTTTACAAGGTACATCTATTCTAACAACCTTCTCCTCTTGTTCTATATTTGTATAGCTAGTGAGCCGTATTTCTTTGGTAAATAAATGAAGAAAAGGCTCTTCCTTTGCTTTTCTCATCTTCATTTTTTCCTCTTTTTTCACGTCACCTCTCAATATTTTTCTTTTTTTTATTGTTGGAATATTATTGTTTTAATTTTGTACAGTAAAGCTTCTAAGTTCTGAACTTTCTGCGCTCACTCTTTTTCTGTTTTTTACCTTTTTGTCTCACCGTGTCCTTAAAATTGCTTTTTTTCCTGGCCATCGTTATGAATTGTAAATGAAATAGAACTTTTTTCTTGTCTCAGTATTATTTCATTATTATCTTGTACTCAGTCCCATTGAACGTTTCATTTTGAATTGTACCTAATTTTATACTAGCAGTGTTTCCAAGCATCTCTTTTGCAGCAAATTCAATTGAATCACTTCCGTTTTGTATGTATGTTTGCATGTGATTTTATTGTGATCTGCGTAGGTTATCAAGATGCACTTTGATTTGCATTAAAAGAGAATATATCAGTTCAGATTCAGAATGAGTTCAAAAACTTCTACGAATGTAGAATTCATACACCTCATACAAAGTACTCACTCAGCTCAGAATCAGAAATCCTGACTAAAAAATTAAATATCTTTCTTCTTTTTTTGCACAAATTTCGAACCTGAAAAATTTGAGTCACCTTAAAGGTAATTTATTCAGAAACTTTAAAAATTCATCTGCTTGTGAAATTCTGAAAAGCCAGGTGCACCTCAGACTGCAGGTCCACACTGGACCCTGGAGATTGACCAGTATGGCAGTCCTACAAGCATTTAGCTTTTCAGAATTCTAAATACAAGTGAGTTTTTACAGTTTTTTAATAAATTTAAACAGTTTCTTGTGCGGTCTAGCTCAGCTCACATCTTATTTACTGTAAATTCAGGTTGCATGTTCCTCTTGAGTCGGTAAAAGTAGGAGCATTCTAACGGTTTCCTTTCCCTGAGTTCTCATGTTCCTATACTGACTTTTTTTTCTCGTCAAAAGTTAAAATATTGGACAAAAGGTTTTTTTTTTTTGTCGTCTAAAGCATTGTTCAGTAGTTTTATTGATGTGAGTTCCTTTATTTTCACATGGGTTTGAAGGATTTTATTTTGTCATTGTCATGTTAGAAGAGGTACTTACTGTCGCTTTTTGTCCTGTAACAGATTAACATTCTTATTTTTAGTTAGGCACTTGGTCCATTTTTTATCTTTTTCTAATTATTTTTTTGTCTTTTTCCAGGTGGCTCTCCGGCAGATTTGAATTTCAAAGTATCAGACTACAAGTGCAATTGCAATGCCCACGAAACAGAACACAAACGCTCATCTTGTAAATCAAGCCGTAAATCCCAGTACTCCAGTAGCACTAGGAAAAAAACAGAAGAGGAGGTAATGAAACTTAACTTTTGTGATCATGTAGCTTTGGGCAAAGTCGAAACTATAGCATTGGTTGATGGAAAGTATGTCAATGCAATATGATAAAATTTGGATTTGTAAATGTACAATTAAACGGAGAGTCGTAAATACATAGTGAATCTAGGCAAGGTAGTTTCTTTTGTCCTTAGCTTGTTGATTTGCATACTTGATAGGAACATATGTATCAATTTAAGTTCTGTCTGGTTAGCAACCAAGAAAAAAAAATTGCCAAAAAAGTTTCCTTAAGTTAATGAAACTTTCTCACATTCAGCTCTCATAATTATAGCCTGTTCAGAATGTGCTTTTGGGAATATACCAATGATTTTTCTGGGATGTATGTTGCAGCTTCGGACAAAGACTTTAAATGTAATGAAAAGGATGTCAGCATTACTCCACTTTTTTGCACGAACGCAATTCGGCTGCGAGGAGCATTTCAAAAAGAACACTCTGAAGAAAACAATGAAGATCAACCATTGGGGGTAAGAAATCAATTCTAACTTTCAACTTGTCTCACAAGCATGTGATTGTTTTATAGCAAAAAAGGGGACAGTGCTGCACAATGACTCATCAGTACACCTCATTTCAATAACTCTGACAAAGTGAGAGAAAATCTCTAATCTCAGGAACAGCTAACTTTATTGAAACCATTAGACTTTTAGTTTTGCTCATTAATGGACCACATGTCTCTTTCCCAAAGTCTCAACATCTCAGTCGTGAAGTGAGTCGGCCTTATTCCAACTATAGCCTTCATAATGTTTTTCTCTTATTACTTTTCAACACCAAAAAGCTTTCTCCTGAATTTATTTGTTCACTTCAAGCCCAGTTTTCTTGTGTCTCAAACATTTTAAGCGTTAGACTTGGTGTCTTTCTATACGCTATGGTTTAATCAAGATGCAGGTTCCATTAGGTAAATACTACATATACCTCATACAAACATATTACCCAACTAGCAGTTGTAGTAGTAGCACAGCTACTGGAAAAGCACCCTATTGAAGCCTATGTAATGGCAGAACTGCAGTCGTACTAATATATTCATCACTTAAACTAAAGGAATCTAGAATGATACACAACTATAACACCAGGAATAAAAAAGATAGTCTCATCCAAAATTTAATCAAACATCGACTCAGGGCCATAGATTTTATTATGAATCACCAACTAACAAAAAAAAAAAAAGAATTTAAGAGGAGTCCAGAAGCCACAATACCCTGATCAAACAACATCTAAGTGAGCAATGCTTGTATTCTCTTGCCAACCTTATAGAAGGGACCAGTTAAGGTTCATATATTGTTATTATATTCTTTTTATTTGTTGGAGACTTGCAGTGACATATTTAAACGAACCATCTGTGCACTTCTTCAAGCAGAGATTACTATCATTATAGGAATGGGTTGTTCTTCCTCGGTCATGATGATGGTTTCTCAAGTCCCCCAGAAATTTGTCACTTCCGTGGATTAAACGCAGGACTTTAGTGTTGGCAGCGAATTGTCTTGTTTTATCTTCTACACCACTGAAGCTGGCTGTATTCCGTAACGTAATCATCATCATGTTTTATTTTTTCAGAGATCTGCGAGCACAATTGGAGTTAGCTGTTGTAGAAGTGCTTCAGCTCATCAGCGAACCGGAAGTGTTACCTGATAGCGACTACATGTCTGATAGTGAAGGTGCAGCATCAGTGCAATGTAATGGAAAACTAGCATCCGCTGTCCGGAAACACTTAGCGATGGGCATCCAAAACTTGATGCAACACGGACTAATGCCGGTAAAAAAAAAAGTCTTTTTGATGAACTCAAGTCTGCAGAATTGCTTTATATTTCTGTCTTTGAGATAAAAGGGGACAAAATTAAATATATACTTTTGGGTGATCCTTTTCATATCTTATCACATGTTTGTATATTTATACAATTCATATATAACACAAGGGAAAAGGGGCATTACCTAGCCCACAAATACTCAGAATTGAGTTATAAATGCCAGAGCACTAGCAGCACTCTAAAAAATGTGTGCAAAACCGCCAAGTTGGTCAAATCTTGTTAAAAAATGTGTATTGATGTCAGAGCGTAGATGAGTATTATTGGAACATATTGGCCCACAAAACGCTGAATCATATCAATCGAATTGAAGTTACGGCAGAAGGTAGTTAGTAGCTCAAAAAAAGCAATTTCAAGAAAATTTTGTCACAAATGCCAAACTGCCATGTTGCGTTAATTAATTAATTACATAAGCATGTTGTCCTCACTGTTCGCATGTGTACTAAAACTGACCTGTACTCATCATTTCAAAGATTGTATCTATACTATAAGCTCCAAGTATACTATGTACTTTTATCTCTTTATTCATGACCAGGACACTAAATGGGTAGTGCCAAGCAAAAAATAACCAAGTGATATAAACTTGGAACAGGTTTAAAGTTTCATTCCTCCAGAAGGTTCATTGTAAACACAAACCTCAAATTTTATTCTTGGTATCATAAATTTTCTTTGCAGACGTTAGATTTTTGACTGGAGAACATATTGACGATTGAAGTAAATGAAGCAATGAAGTTTTTATATGTGGATTTCCATGAGAATAGTGTTTCAAAGTCGCCAATACTGCAGAATTTTTTAACATGAAACTAACTGAAACATTTCCTTGAAATTTTCTTTGAGTATTTCTGACTGGGCATGGAAAGTTCGTAGAAAATTTCAGGAAAAACTGAGATTTGCAACATCACAATTGGCCCTACACATTTTTCGACTTTGACCATCGATACGTTTCTAGACACGCTCAAAACTGCCTGAAATACAATTCATTTAGAATTTCAAATGGTTCTCTCTCTGAAAACTCTGCCCAAATATAAACGAAATCCAAAAGATCAAGGTTCAATACCTTGTTAAATTGACTCAGAATGACCCTGCTTCAGCTTTAAGCAAAGTATCTGTTGAAATCTTATGATTTCATCATTTTGTTCATTGAATACCCTTCAAATTCAAATCTTGAAATGAGGCTGTTTTGAAATAGAGCTGTCTTAATGCTCTTTGTTCATTCGTTTATCCTTCTCTGAAACTTGCAGGTCGGTCAGTCAATGAGCTTAGTACCTTTTATTAGTTGTTTCCCTGTACGACAATCCACCCAACAAGAGACGATGCATGCGTGGGAACTGATTTTGAAGTATTACGAAATGAAAAATGGAGAAGAATTCAATTCACGACCCGCTCGCAAGCTGTCTCAAAGTTTCAATTTGAATATTGGCGGAGACACAAGTGTTTCGATTAAGCAGGTAGTTAAAAGCTTTATTCTGATCATGATCTCTCCAAGCTGTGAGGCTCACATGCCAGTTTAAAACGAATTTGAAAACTTGGCGTTCTGCCATCTTTTTTCCCCTATCTTTTGATCTCCCTTTCTCTCTTCATCCAAAATTCATTCATGAAGCCTTTTGAAGTAAAATTTATTGTGAACATCTAGTAAGTGAAATTATTACAATGGGCCTGTTGCAAACTTTTGCCCGAGCAAAAGTAGGAGTTGATCCTTATAGATAATGTCTCAAAAATCACGATGAGCGCATTGGCAAACTCTGAAATGCATCTCTAACTTCACAATCTGCGTAAGAAATTTGCGTTTTTTTAAGCTCCCCGCTTCAAAAAGGATACTACAGCACAGGTGAACATTTTGTCAGAGGAGTCGTTCCATTCAATCCCTACTCAACATGGCCGACACTTTCGTCACAAGTAGAGGAGAGCACGAGGTCAATCAAGGCGGATATCTATCAACGTGAGAAACATGTGAATGTAAACACACCGATTGTTATCAGGTGGTTAGAATCATCGTCCCGTCACATATGTTTTGGCGGATTGGCGTCAGCTATGTTGAATATTGTGTAGTATCCTTGTGAGCAGGGGTTGGATGGAGTGACTCCTCTAACGAAATGTACACCTGTGCCATGGTATCATTTTTGAAGCGGGAAGCTCAAAAAACCCAAATTTCTTATGCAAATGATGAAGTAAGAAGCGCATTTCAGACTTTGCCGATGCGCTCATCGAGATTTTTGAGACATTTTCCATGAGAAACAAATCTTATTTTTGCTCTAGCAAAAGATTGCAACAGGCCCATTGCATGGTTTCCTAATGGAAATTTTTATTTTAGGCACAGGCATTCTAAAACATGTAATCAACTTGCTCTTTGGAAATCGTCAATGCATTGGAAAGCCTTGTTTAAGAGGTATATTTTTAAGTGGTTAAACGGAAAAATATACTCAGCTAAATCGGTGCATGTTTTCAAATTAAACATTGCAAAATTGAATAGCTGCACTTAGAGAATTCAACTTTCTTTTCAGATTTTAGAGTTTTAATACAAAGATTCACAATATTTTCATTTCATATTCTAGCCATTTTTGGATACTTCTGCTTGCATTCTGATTTTATTTTAAGTTCAAAACCTAATTACATAAGAGGAGCAACATTAAGAGAGAACTTTGTTGTAAGAGTCTTCTTTTTGAACAGTCAAACTCGATTTGAAGTCCAAGGTTTTTATCTCTTTTCTGGAACTTATTACAGCAAGTGCATGGCTGTTCATGAAATACATATTGCCATAAATCAGATATCTCCTCTAGTAATAAGTCTGTAACCAAGTGCTGCACCTTGTTAAAAAAAATTATGAAATGTTTTGTCAGACCTCTTCCTCAAATTTACATTTTGTGATGAATAATGGATGGAATATTGTCACCTTGCAACTATTTTTTTCTTAGATTTTCGAAAAATGGGCGTTTTGTGCCTATATCAAGGTTATGTAATGCATTCCTAAATGCTCCTTGTAATGCACCTATATTTTGGGCCCAGACCTTCCTCCCACCGAAACCTTTGAATTTTATTAATGGCTTCTGAGAAATTTCTTTCGTATGAGGTCCTTTTTAAATGACCTCAGTACCGTTTACCTAGCATGTCTCTGAAGCTCAAAACTCGTTCATGTGGAAAATTACCCTCGAAAATTTTCTTCTCTTTTCAGACATTGCTGAGCACAATAGGGAATATAATTCTTTCCCATTCTCAGTACAAAAGAAGCTTTGACTCACATTTCAAGGCTTTTGTGTGTGCAGGACTGAAGTAAGTAATATCGTTATTACTATCATCATACTACTGAATACTGAATGTAGGATTTTGGGTTCATGACTTCTCGAGGCTTATTATGGTTTTTTTTTCCTTTTTGCATATCATTAGTTATAATTTGTGAACATGTCCCATTATATCTATGAAAGGATGTATTAACTCATAAATCTCAAAAAGGTTCAAGCGCAAAAGAATCAAATATTGCTTCATTAATAATTTTTAATTGCTAAGGCAAGAAATCAGGTTTTTTTGCTACTACTAACGTGACTCTATGGAGCAAAAATGTTTAAATTTATCTGCTCATTTTCAATGAGGCTCAGACGCCATTTTTTCTTGGTNGGGGGGGGGGGAGGTCTTGATCAAATTTTGATACCAAAAATGTCTTGTGGTATTCTCATCCATCTTCAAACCTTTCATTTATTCTAGTCTTTTCAATTGTTTGTGATGTTTGTCAGTATTTTCGGTAACCCTTGGAGGAAAATTATTTTTGAAGAGCGTGCTTTGTCTTCTTAGCAAATAAAAAAAAGCTGCCCTCAATCTTTGCACTGCCTGAAGTTGAGAGGCTTCATTTCATCATGACCGCTCTAGGGAGTAATTTTTTACGTCTCTTTAATTTCAGTCACAAAATGCTAGTTCCATGGTTACGACTCATATTCCGATTCCAGCCGTTAATTGAAAATTTCTACCAGCCTTGGAGCTATGTTGCAAAAACTGGTAAGTGTACTCATATTGCCTTTCAATATCTCCACAATATTTTCTTACATTTATGTTTAGAGTACCAAAATATTATGGTATCTATTAATTTTCATCTTTTTTGACCTGTTTTGTTCTGAGTTTTTCTCTTTCCTTAATTGAGAAGGTCAAATCAACATTCCAGGCAATATTCAAGCGTTTCTTTTGCTTGAGTATTTGCCACATCATTCATTATACTTAAAAAGCAGAGATCTTTTATGCTATTTCAATTAATTTCTTCAAGTGAATTGTGCGCTCATTAATTCACTGATTAATTGGACGTTTGTAACGAAAAACAGCCTAACCACATATTGTTTTTTTTTTGGACTAAAACTAAGCTGCATTCAGACTTGATATGCTCTCTCAATATTTTCTCTAACATGGTGATAAAAAAGTTCTGGGTCCACACTATTTTGCAAAGAAAGCAAGGCCAAAATAGTGTGGAACCAGCACTATTTTACCACCTTATTACGTACAGCCTGGGCTACATTTTTAGAGGTTTTCTTTTATTCCCTGTATTCCACCAAAAATTTGCAGAAAATTTCAAGGCATTGCTCGGATCTCTGGAAGGAAATGAGTGGAAATCGTAAGGGCATCAGGACTCTTTTTGATGAGTGGAACGACTTAGAAATGCAGTCCAGCTGATGCTGGCCAAATCTGTTTAATGATTGGGTGTGTTTTCAAGTAACATGATGGTATATTTCCTGGCAAAGTACCTTATCGGTGGCCCAAGAAACTTAATATGCCTACAGTGCAGGCTCTTAGTTGTCTGTAAAACAAAAACAATCTGTCAAACCATAGTGATTTTTATATATGTGTGCTGTTTATTCAATCTCTTTGAGAGGTGATCCTGTATGATTTCCTCTCTTGGCTTTCTCAGTCGAATGTGGTAGACATTACAGGGTTTCTATAATTTTTTTTGGATTCCCTCGCTCTGCAATTCTGATCCCAACTTTCCCTGACATCCGATTAAGACTTCTGCCTTGTTTTTTTATTTATTTTTCATTACACTTAAATTTGCTAAACGCTGTTCGTGAAATTCCCCGACTTTCCTTGTTGCCGTCAATTCCCTTACCTTCCAGATTTTCCAGACTGTCAGAAACCCTGCAGCACCAATTGGTTTAAGGTGATTTGATGGACGCCATATTTTGTGTCAGAACGGCATACGATATATCGCATCAAGTGGTTCCATTTTTTCAGTTCCTCGTCATTCTTCTCCAATTTTGAGATCGCAATTCTGTTGTCAGGAGACTAAAGCACTCACTTACCAATTTTAACAAAGAAATTCAACGTAATAAAGGCGTGGTTTTTTCAGAGAGAAAACATCGCATTCAATACTGAAATCGAAACTGCACTCGGATGCGATATTTTCTCTCTAAAAAAACCTTGCCTTTATTACAATGAATTTCTTTGTTAAAATTGGTAAGTGGGTGCTTTAGTCTCCTGACAACAGAATTGCGATCTCAAAATTGGAGAAGAATGACGAGTAACTGAAAAAATGGAACCAATTGATGCGATATATCGTATGCCGTTCTGACACAAAATATGGCGTCCATCGAATCACCTTAAACCCAAGACGAAAGTCCTGCTGCAGGAAGTTTTAATTTATCTTCTTGGTAGCAGTTCGTGTCATCTTCTTGATTTTTGAATTGACCCTCCAAGGCGGATTCAAAATTGAATTGTTGCAATCAGTGTTCAAAAAGCTACGATTAGTCCTTGACTCCTTTCTGCCATTTTATTAACAAAATCGGTAGAAGTTGGATTTCATTTTCAGTCGGTTTCAAAGAAATTATATTATGATAGTGTGATTTTTTGCCCTCTGATATTCTCTGCTTTGGTTCTAATTGATTTTTAACTTTCTTTTTTGTAGGATTTGAAGATAGTCTGAAAAGCTTAGATAAGTTATCACACTACCAGTTTGATCTTCCCGTCGATTTGGCCATCAGCCAATTACAAAACATAAAAGATGCTTTTTAAAAAACCGAAATTATTTGTCAGTTATCGTCAGTTACCATTGTGTTTTTTGTTTGTTTTGTTTTTCATTGTTCAACTTTCTTAATTAATTATAAGAGAATTACGGAAGTTATTTCTGGTCATTCCTTTTTTTATTCCCATCTTAGTTTCTGATTGATTCCTCATGTGTCTTGTGCTCTTCGTTGGATAGTAATTTTTCAACTTCGACCTCTTTTTTTCAAAATCACCAACATGACATTCAACTCCTCCATTAGTCTATCTATCAATTTATTTACCTCAATGGCATATCTTTTGTCAAAAGTTGGCAGGAACAAAACTAATTTTCGTCAAGTATTACAAAGCAATGAGTGGCAGGGAACTCAAGTTTGAGGTAGGAAGTCGGGAAAAACTAGAATCACTTCATAGGTACAAACAAAAATTTTATTCAGGTTTCTAGCCTACCTGTAAAAATTAATACTTTTGTAGAAACAAGCTGAGTACAAGACGGGAATTCGATCTGTTCACTAAGAAATAAACATTTGTAATGGCTGGAGTTCACTCTTATTCTTTTTTGCTAACTGCCATTAATTTTTTCCTCTTTTTCAACTACCATGATCAACATTAAATGGAATATTGATAATTCAATTGTATATCTTCGTGACTCAAATAGGTTTTTTGAAAACTTCCACTTAGATTTTATTTTTCCAAGGGAATGCTGCTCGACATTTTCCTGCACAATATTCAGAGAATACTGTTGAAAGAACGAAGGAAAGTCAGAGTGAATCTTTCGTAAAAATGATGATCAGACCTTTAAAGAATTAAAAGTGACAGGAGATTTGCAACTTTGCAAACCAAGATACATGGTTTAGTACTTTCTCCACCCATAAACTTGGATTGAGAGAACCCATGGTTGGACTGACAATTTGTCAACCATAACGTAAAAGGAGGGACACAGAGACATGATAGGAAGCACTTTACAACATGTTGCCTTCCTCCTGTTTGATCCATTTCTTCACAACTGTGTTCTTATTTTACTTATTCTTCCGTTGTCCAATCAAAAAATAATTTCTTGCAGGGGAAAATCTTCATTGTGCAGCAGTTAGACAGAACGCTAAAATCATGCCTTTATTATGCAGTTTAATGGGGGAATTGAGGAGGATTCTGGAAGAAGGGCCCATGAAACATGAGCAAGTTTGTTTCTCCGATCTCTCTTAATACATGGAGAAGCAGGTAGCAATGGTCTCAGCTACACAACTGTTTCTCAGACAGTCGCTGTTGGAGGAAACAAGCACACCTAAACTATTTTGAGCCCTTCTTCAGGAACCCAACTCAACTGCATACACAGCAAAAAAAAAAAAAAAAGAAGGAAGAAGAAAAGGCATCTCACCTTCAAGCTTTAAAGTCATTACATTACTGAACATACAGTCAAAATAAAATAATATTGATCAAGTTTTTGGGATCAAAAGACATGTGATTGGCTTTGGAGACAAAAATTTTCCCGGATAGAATTGACCGTTAAAATAGAAAAAACAAACCAACCTAAATTTTAAAGAGGAAAAAAACGCAGTGACCGTTCGGGTATTTGAATTAAGATACCCTTCACATTTTTTTCCTTTTACATAAAATTGCCACCTTGCACATGTAATACTGGTTTTTTTTATCTTTTGATTTTTGTAAATATGGACAAAAGTTTATGTATGTTGCAAAGACGCATTGCATCATACAGTCCATTTTGCATTAGCACTTGCACTTGCATTTAAGCATACATTTTTCTGCTTACTTATTCTCTCTTAAGTTTCTTTTGCAAAAGTTTATATAGAGTTTTCAGGGGAATCTCAAAAAGTTCCCCTACTTAATTGGAATATTTTGATAGTTTTTCTACGTCCTAACTTAACAGTCTGAGCTATTGGGGTAGCTGGTGTTTCACAACTCAAGCCTCGAAAAGCAAACACAAAACCACTCATCTGACTAGAATAAAACTGATTGGGATGCTTTTGAAACAAAACTTCCTGAGTTCATTTGGACATTGACCGATTTCCGATAGTAATTCATTGTATCAGGTATCAGATGAAGTTTCTTCACGATGCTTGTTGCATGAGAAATTTCTGAAACAGTAAATTGCACAGAAATTAAGAGGTAAGAACAGCTAACTATGGAGTGTAACAGGAGAGATTAAATTTGTTTTCAAAATTACTTTTGGATGGGTGGGAAATTTATTTTTCCCACTAAAGAAAGTTTCTCACTATTTTCCTTTACTTGCCAATACAGAAAATCTTAAAAAAAAGTATCTTTCATGGAATCTTGAATTATTCTTTAAATGTCAGACATTAACTGGATCCGTCATCCAAATGAAGAAAAAAATGGAAATTATCTGAATCTACTCGAAAAACTGATTCCTTCTCTTAGCTGGATAAATGAAATTTCTTACCTTAATAGGGCTTACGTTATTGGCAACTTGCCAACTCAGATTAGTGAGCACTTGCAAAGCTGGATTTTGGGAGCCATATATTCGATAAACCAGATCTATGCCCAGCATGATCGGCACATTTGCTCGTTGCCGTTCTGTCTCGTATGCCAACAGAGCATTTTTGCAACCTGTAATTTTTATCAAGTGATCAGTTACTTTTCATAGAGGATGATTCCTCGATTTCCGTGGATTTCATTTCGGGGTGAAACTAGAAGTTATTTTATTAGACATAAAATTTTTTTCAATGTAGGAAATATTCCAAGTTTTGTGTAGCTTGGTTTTTTTTTACAAAAACGGACTTCATTTTGCCATCGGATTACATTTTGCAATTCGGAACTACAATTTCTGGCTCAGTTTAGAAAGATAGTATGAACCACTAGTTTCCCTGAGTACATGAGTGTTTTAAGGATGAGTCATAAATTTTAGCCTATAATCGAAAAGTCATGTTCAATTAGGAACTACAATTTCTGACTGATTTGTAAAAGCACTGATCTGCATATGGAAACTGTTCCTAAGTTGAACTGGCTATTGTAGTTCCTAATTACAAAATATAGTGCAATTCAGCTGATTCCGGTTAAATCCATCCTGGTAATTTTTGAGGTGAAAGGGAGTGATTTTACTTTTGAGCATTACTTAAAAAATATTTTAAAATTTGGAATCTCTAGATTTGTATATATCAAAGTAACATCAAAGTTGTCGCTAAATTCCAAATTAAAGCACATACTGCAAATCCTTTTCGATACACTCGAGAGGCAAGTATTTATTCCCTATGGAATTCTGGGAGTACATTATGCACAAATTATAATGACACTATCACCAGATTAAAAGAATTGTGAAAATGCGGAAATTTTGACTCTATTGTTGGATTTTCTAGGCCAAGTGAGTCCAATAAATGCAACTTGCACAATTTTTCTAAAGGTTTTGTAAACGTGACTTAGATCATATGAGAGGAACTGGAAAAAAATTGCCAACCTAGCTTTTCACCTCTGGATAGAGCTTCTTCGAGTTTACTGATGAGGCAAATAATATCCCCGAAGCCTAAATTCACTCCTTGACCAGCAAGAGGGTGAACTTTATGTGCTGAGTCTCCGACGAGGGCTGTTTGGTTTCCTACATAATTTTCTGAGTGACCGAAAGATAGGGGAAAAGCTGCTCTGCTTCCTTGAAGAACGTTTTTCACGAATGGAGGTGAAACGATGCTATCTCCTGATGGAGTGAACTGTAGAAAATCCAGGGCTTTTTTCATGAGATCCGAACTGTAGTCAATTGGAGAGCTGCCTTTAAATTTTTCGGTCTGAAAATGTATAAGGAATAGATTTGATGAATGGAGTTATATGTCTGCAACAGGTCTGTTGCGCCCAAGAGTTACAGCCTAATGAGTAGGAATCAGGGAGGAAAATAACACAAAAATGATGATAAGCAAACCAGAGATGTTTGAAAAACGCTTCATTACATACAATTTGAGGAGCTTTTTGTGCCCACGTTCAAAATCACATCTGCAGGCACTTTTTTCTCAGTTGCAGGCAATTACGTGTTCTTTCAAAGATAGACTTAGGAAAACCTGATCCAACTACAAAATCTGTTTCTCTTTATGATTTCCATTATTAAATGGTATCATTAATAGTCGATCAATCATAAAAAAATACTTTCTTAAAATTTCAAACAATTATGTTAATTTGTATTTCCTTAAAAAAATAAAATAACAGACATATTTTGAAATGCAGCGATCAATTTATGTGTTTTACGACTTTTATCACCATTAATAAGTTTGAACAAGAGAAATGAGAAAGGGATATTGCAGGAAAAATGTAAACGAGTAATAATTAGATACTCACGAATGCAGTGTTCAGGGCATCAACAAAGGAATCTTCTGGCAGTTTAAGTAAACTTTTAGCTTTTTCAATGGTTGTTGACCATACTAGGGAACTCAAATTATCTGATAACTGAAAAAGTCAAAAGTGGGTAGGTAAAAACAAAGTAGGAAATTCAAAAAGGGTACTTTGAATGTTCCTCAATTCACAAGCATCAATGGCTTCAATTGAAAAATGCGTACCTCCGCTACAAATTAATTTATTTTTAACAAAACAAACCAACAGATTTTCTTAAAATTATCTGTAAATTTGAATCGATTAACAAAAAATTTCAAGGAGGTATTTTAGTTAGTTTTCTCTAGAGTACCTGTATAGCGAGAGTATGGACATATGTGAAACTCCGAAAATCCATCAGGCCTTCACCGATGCTTCTGCGGATAAAGTTAGGGCCCAGAAATGCAGCCAACCTATGAATTTCAATTATTCAGAACGATTTACTAATACTATTGTTACGAACCGTCGTTTATTAAGCACGTGTTTGACTCAGTTTTTGCATAAATTTACTCAATTTTGCGGAAGAACGCTCAGTTATGTACATTCTTGGCCATCTTGGTTAGAATTGGAACCTGCAGACTGGCAGTGAAATTTTGTGCGTTAGAAGTTGGTTAGAAGGGTGGCTGCACTTTTGGGCCCTAAGCCCTCCATGAAGCGATCTGTCCATACTCTCGCTATACAGGTACTCTAGTTTTCTCTAGAAAAATAAATCATAATCGGCAATTTTGAAACGATGTAACAAAGATATGCATTTTTCCACTTCAGACGTTAATAGTGTGATGCGAGTGTACCAAATAAAGGAAGTATTGTAATGATTGCATGCGATATAAATCTGGAGAAAACACCAGACAGTTTCCCCTCTTTCTTGACAGAAAGGTTCGTAATTCAAAAGAAAGTTCGCCAAATTGTTGTGCAAGGAAAAAAATAACACGTGCGGAGTTGAGAGCCTGATGAACTGTCTCCGTCGCAAAGAGTAAAAATATTAATTACAAGGTTGGTTTTTGTTATACAGATAATTTTACTACTTCAGCCATTAAATAAATGATTAATGTAAAATGAGCCGACTACAATCATCTCTGAGCATGATTTAAATAGTAAGATATTTTTTTAATCACACTACTTAATAAACGATTTCAACCTTACACCTCTCACGAAATAGAACAAAAACATTTTGACATGCTAAAAGAGAAAAGGACAAAAAAAATAAAAATAAAAAAAAAAAAAATCTAAACCGTTCAGTGCCATAACTTGCAAGCCCATTGCTATGTTTAGCTTCTTCAATGGTTCATTTCTGAGAGAAATTACAACGAAGACACTTTTTTTAAAAATACCTCTCATTTTTCTTTACACATAAATGAAATTTAAGAGAGAATTTCTGGTTAAAATGATTGGTTTGGGTTTCTGGTGCGTTTTTAAAATTGAATATTGGAAAGGGAGACTAGGTCAAGATGGATGATGTAGGTTTTGGAAACAAAAATTCAAATACTTGCAAGAGCTGAAAGAAGCAAAAGGAACTTAAAACCACTGTAGTCAATGTCGCAAAAGAGACATGTAGCTACTTTAAAAATATTCAGAGGTAATCAGGGAACTTTCTCCCCCCTGAATATTTTAGAGTCTTAAAAAAATGCCATGCAGCTTGGCTCAAAAACCATTCTTAGAATAACAAAGGATCAAATTATTAAGGTCTGGCTGGCAATTACCGGCAAGAGAGCAACGGGACCAGTTGGAATGAATCTTTGCCAAGCATAGTCATTTGTGCCAACGGACTGAAAAAAGAAGAAAAAAGATACAGATTAAGTTACATATTGTTCTCCAGGACAAGATTCGATACTTTAATCACTAATTAAATGAATTTGAAAAAGATTCATATGGGGGTCATTCTGTAGCTACTCTCTGATCAAGTTTCAATCAAAATGTTTGATAACAGCAGAAGTTATTAAAAAATCTTTTGAAAGATAGTTTTTTGGAGCATAAGGACGATTAAGATATTATAAGCACACAACATTCTGAGGTGAGCGCTGCCTCTGCTATGATGTGATGGGAAATTAAGAAAAGTTTTGGACCCTTAAGTACCTTCCAATGTTATGTGTCTTCCAATGAAAATGGACCATTCATCATTATCAAGCTAAATTTTGTGATACTTTTTTATTCCATCATTTAGAAAGTTAACAGTTCTGTGCAAAAATTATAGTTTTTATTTTCAGGAAAAAATTAAAAGTCAGCTAAGATTTTAAAACACCACAATGAATTTACATTTTTCTTCAGATTCACCACTTACAGGGTATCTTTCAAAATGAAAAACAAAAAAAAGAGAAATTAAATGTAAGATTAAAATTTACTCACATCTTCAATCTCCACGGTACCAACAATTGCCATCTGATCATAACTCCAGGATAAATACTGACATCCAATTGTTTTGCGAACTTGGGAATTAGCACCGTCAGCTCCTATCTGAATGACAAATCATAGATAATAGAAATCTGTAGGTAAAAAATTTTCAGTGTGACGATTCATTGATAATGCATCTCCTTAGAAAAGGAACCATAATGTCAAAACATAGAAAATGAGGCACTGTGACTGCTGTTTTGAAATTAGGGGGAAAATAGCAGAAAGTTTGAAACACTTGAAATATAGGATTTTAACTTTACTATGCATGAACACTAAGAATGCCAAATTTCATCTAATTCTGAAGAAGTCATCTTTTCAAAGTAGAACGCGATGACATGGAATGGCCCTAGAGGGGTATCTTTAACAGTTTGACACAAAAATGCCCAAGATTCTAGGACCAAATCAGAGTAAAGATAATTTGCGTTTAAAAATATGTCTTGAAGGAAAATCAATTTAACAGTTCCATTTGCCATGTTCAAGGCTCAAGTTTGTTGGATGAAAAAATACATCAAAACCATCTATAAACCGCTCAGTTGTTAGTAAAACAAATTTTTTGCGGCTTAGTGAACTATTTATTGTAGTTTCACACCTGCTTTAGAAATTATCTGCCTCATTTCCAAGCTGAATATTGCCATTTAGTATCAGACTAGTCAATGAATTCAAAATCATGTCCTCTAAACAATTCAAGTTTTCATATAAAAAGTCAGCCTATTCGTATCAGTATTTCATTTGGGACTTAAATAATGCATTTACTGTTTAGGCAATGGGCAAAATCCTCGGCAATAAATTGATTCGAATCTCTTGTAATAATGATAAATAATTCCTTGGTTTTTAAGAAGACTTTTAATTACTAAGCCTCATGTTTAATTATCTTGACCTGACTTTGAAAGAAGATTCCTCTAGGGCTATAAATAAAATGACTCACCAGTAAGTTACATTTATATTCTGTTCCATTTTCAAGGAACACAGACACAGGCTCCTCTCCTTTTGGAAGGCTGTACTCTTTGACTTTGGCAGAATCAACTATTGTGATGTTTGGTTCTTTTTCAATCAGCTCCGTGACAGTATTAATGACTAGATCGTTCTCCACGATGTGAGAAATGACGTTGGAACTATTCTCTTCTGCTCTGAATGAAACTGCTATGTCAGGGCTATCACTCCAAACCTAGGTACATTGGAGACAAGGAAATTGTATTTATACTTGCATCAGCAACACATCAAGAGGGGCAGAGACGAAGTAAGGAGGTGAACTTGGATAGCATTATGGACATCAATCAAATCTACATCAGGCCTTATTATAAAGAGTATATCTGTTCAACTAAAGAATTTGGGTTGAAGTTACTCAAATGGAGGTTGAATTTTCAGTAATTCTGTACAAGACCCACATAACGAAAGATTAAACTTTGAACAGCCTTGAAGGAGGGTTTGAATTGATGGGATGCTTTTCGATCAACATTCAGCGATGGTGCGTTACTAAACTGTGTTCGAGTTGGCATCACATTAAGCATTAATTGGGTACAAAAATTAGTCTGTTTGGATCAATGTAAAATTCATGCACTTAAAAAATTCGAAAATAACTTAGAGATAAGAGCAAAAAAAGGGACAATATTTTTAAGAAAAATAAAAAATCTTTTGGAGGCTTAAACTTTTGGGAAAATGGGGGTTCCTTAAATCAGAATACTTAAATGGAAGTAAAGCTATGCTCTCCTCTGATTGGCTTGAGCTGCGTGGAATGTAAAATAATATGAAGAAATATTCCTCAGCATGCTTCCAGGACCTCCCTTCTTTTTTCGCCTTAGCTTAGCTCATTTTATGGTTTTCCAATTTCTTAATTTTTTAGACTAATTTTCAATGATCAGCATTCCTTTTTTTTTTACTCTTCAGGCACTGCATCTGTTCTAAGAGTGTCACATTCTTACAAGGTACAAATAATGTTGTAATTTACCTTCATGCCTTTGACATTCTTCTGTCGGCTATTCTCAATAGTATCCCATGCTCCAATTGAGTTTAAGAAGCTTTGCGTGCGTTTATTGATAGAGATTGTACGATTGCTAAAATTAGGAGGAAGTGACCACTTCTTTTTCGGATTATTCTCCAGGAGGAGAATGGAGCAACTTGAGAGAACAGGATTTTTTGCTGGAAAAAAAAAACAGAACATTTTCAGCCTTAATTCAATGATTCCTTGTAAAAATATGTACATGATGCTGACATTAAAAGGTCAATTCATGTCAAATAAGTGAAACAAGTATTACCATTTTTAAGACTACCTCTGATTTGGATGTTTGTTGAAGTTCTAAGTGATAATCAAGTTAAGAAATTCTAAAAATTGCAGCCTTTTATGTACAACAGAACAGAGGTTGCAGGGGTTCACGGATCGGGAGAGCCCTACTGATTTTATGACTACCATCACTTTAAATGGTTAAAACTCCTGTTCTGATTCACATAAATGGTTATATTTGGACTCAAATAAAGTTTCTGAAATTGCTCTATCTACTGATTTTAAAATTTTATTGTGTAAAGTGAATGGGCACCTGCGCATCCTATTTCAAAATTTTGGGAATCAACACCCAACAACTCCATCTCACATTTTTGAAATTTTGTCCGAGATGGAAAATATCTTGAAGCATTGAATAACTTAAAAATTGTTCTGGTACATGAAACACTGTTTAATGTTAAGCAATGGATGGTAAAAATTGCACTGATGAGAACGACAATTTTTTGTAGAGATGGAAGAAGCAAGGATTCCGTAGATATTCCTTGCATTGAAAAGCAACTGCCTTAGATTTTGAGATAAACCTTGACAGTTGTTAACCAATCAAAAGCTAAATAGTTCTGAATGATTGGATATTAAGGCATAGTATTATATCAAGTTCTTTCTGCTCTCTTGAGCTATAGCCAACTTCAAAGGTGCTGAGCTGACTGCTGAGTAGCCATGACAGTCACCTCATAGGCTCAATGAGTGTCAAAGGAGTTCGTCAAATTCTAAACAGGTGACTGTCATTCAAGCATGCCACCTCCCATAAATTGATCTCAATGTAAGGAATAGGTGGGTGAATTTTGAGCCAAGCTGCAAAAAGCGCTGAGAAGGTAATCCTTTTCTCATTGTTTAGAATAAATAAAAAACAACTTGAAATGTAACAGAGTGACAATTCTGTCAGAAAAGTGTGAGCTAATAATAAGGTGTATTTCCCATAATGTGATGCACATTGACCGTAAAACTACCATACCCTGTATCTCATCTGCCGTGCTTAAAAATCTCCGCTCCCATTTAATTTTTTTAAAGGAGAAAAAATCAATAGTATTGCAGAAAGTTTATAAACAATTTTCTTTGCACAGAGAAGAAAAATCACAAAAGGTTTCAAAAAATGGCGTAGAGTAGGTTCCCATTTGAAAAATGAAGTATGACAGGAAGTCTGCAATGATGCAAACTGAGATGTGAGGTCTGGTAGTTTCACCGTCGACATGCTTTTACTAGTGTGAGCTTAACCGATTCATTCATGAGAATTCATGACACACGCCTCTCAAACTTGTGAGCGGGAGAAGCTAAGGATGGAGTGAAATATAAGAACTTTAGAAAGCTCTGCTTACATATTGCACATGCCATTGATGAGCCAATTAATCCACCACCAGTGATGATTACATCATAATGTTTCGCAGAGCTTGTTGAGTATCGCAATTTTCTTAACATCATTGTTCGACTTCACTGTGTCACCTCAATAAATTTCCATAAAGTAAAAGACTGTAGATTTGATAAGATACAAAATATTGCACAATGATAAGCAATTAGGTAGCAAATAATGATTAATTAGGGTAGGGAATAGTAGAACTTCCGACAACACTCAGACGGTCGTGTGATGTTTACTTTTTGCAGGCAAAGACCCCCTCGGAATGAGCAGGCAAGATGGCTGCGTGGCGCGACGGGAACGCAGAGCAGTTCGAGCACTCTCTAACCAATACCTACTCTAACCCATCCTATCGTCTGCCGTCTCCCCACCTTATCCATCCACATAATCATGTTTCCAATAATGTAAAATGAATCAGTGAGTTCGGAAACACTCCAACACGGGTTTTTTTCGATTTTCACTTTTTTACGGTTTAGTAACACTTATGGATAAGTAGAAGCATCTGCACGCAAAAGGATATTTCGAAATTGCAATCGGAAGTGCTCGAAACGGCGCGGCGACGGGAAAAGGGAAGAATCGAAGAATTTCATTGGAAATACCAATTTTTGGCCGATCAAGGGAAACGGGCGACTATCCGATGCGGTTTTATTTTTTCGGTTCAGTATACCTTGTGCCAACAAGTTATATAAATATTCAAGCGTTATTCAGGTCAAAAAATATAAATTTTTCAGGGCAGACTATGAAAAATCAGTATCTGAAACTTGATGCGTTAAAGTCTCTAGAGTACTTCTTGCGTCCTTTGGCACCAAAAAAGTTTTTCTTAAACTAACTTCTTCGCCCGCTGCGAAGTTTCAGGTGTTTCCTGAAAATTTTTTTTTCCGAGTTGGTGTATTTTCGAACTCACTGATTCAAATGTCATCTTAGGTACCTAATGCTATATTTATGCTCCCATATTTCACCCCTTGATGCCTGACTGGTAAAATTCACCACTTTTTGGATCGTTATGTACTTTTGTAGGTATAAGTTATCAAAAGCAGAAATGTGCAAAGATATTTTTTTAGCAAATTTTTCAAGAAATATGCTAAGTGCCTCGTTACCTTTAACAGGATGTTTCCCAGAAGTTGTACCATTGTGCCACAAAAAAAATTTATAAATTTGTACGAATGCTGAGTTAAATTTTTAGCTTGATGGTTCATCTTCACATGGAAATATTTTTGGTAGAATTACAAATTCCACAATGAAAGTCTAGCAACACAGCTAACTTAGCAAAAGCCCTCATATTTCTTGAAGTCAGGAGAGGGTAATATTTCTCCCCCCTCCTCCTAACTAGTTTCCCCAATGCTCCTGAAAACATCTCTGCTGAGCGCAAAAATCCTCAAACTCATCCCTCATCATCTGGCATCACCATGGCTCAGATATAAATGAAGCCCCTCCCCCCCCCCTTATTTTCCATCAAAATTCAAAATGTAAGTAGGTACGTTTAGAATTTGATTTCAATGCCTCAGAACGCTGCGGGGCCCCCACACAAGCTTGTGATTTCTCCAGATATGCTAAAGATTTTCCCTCCTTAGGTAATCCTTAAATTATATCAGAAAAATGTCTTGCCAAAGAATTTTGAGAATTGCCCTGGTTAGTACTTGGTTTGAACTCTTTTAGAAATTTAATCCCGATCAAAAAGGTCAATTCCCTGAGCTGAGCAGTTTAATTTTTCTCCGAGAGTGAAATTTGTGCTTGGCGCCATTATGTGATGTGCAAAGAGTAGAGGAGAGGAGAGAGCAACAGAGTATAATCATGGAGTCCGAGCGAGCTTCATGCACGCTCCACCAGCTACTCCCGCTCTGTGATCGCCTGCTCATTCGTAGGGGGTCTTTGCCTGCAAAAACGCTCAATCACGGTCGTGTTATCACGGTTATCAGAGACATAACCTAAGAAAACAATAACAATGTTGAATGATGCAATATTTCGTCAGGACTAGCTCAACGGATAAGCGCGTATTTTAAAATGAAGCGCTTTTTTTGGGAGTGTGAGTGCGATCATGTTTAGGAATAAGAACGTAGAAATTAAAAATTCATCGCCAATCTTTATTTGAATTAAAATAAAAGTAACACCCTTGTTTACAAAAAACTAATGCGGCAACAAAAATCAGATATTCAAGCTACCACCGATAATACATACTGGTGACCCTTCAATATGAGTGTAAAAAGAAACTGCAGACTTTTTTTAGTTCGCTTGTTTTAAAATGTACCCAATTACTAGGGGGAGGAAGAGGGAGGGACAGAGAGGAAAATCTGGAGAGGAAAAATTGGGAGAAAAATTCAGAAAGAGAAAAACTAAAGTCAGCAAAAAACCAACGTTTTTTGGCGAATATTAATTAGGTCCTCATTAGAGCCTTGTAACTAAAAGTATGAGACTTTTCAGTCTTCTGACAGAGAAGTATGACTGTGCCATAGACCTCGAAGTCTCGAAATTGGGTACTTTTCAAATAAACGAGATTCATTCAAGTGCCTGGAAATAAATTTAAAAAAATGAACAGTGTGTGTGACCGTTGAAACCACTTTTGGGGAGTAAAACGGAATTTCACTTGTTCAAGGCAAGATACAGAATTTTTAACAGCATATGCCAGTTACATACTGCAAGAATCAGCACTTGTATTTTACAAATTGAAAACAAATAAGAAAAAAAAGAAAAGAAAAAAGAAAACAACCGAGATCATTCTATAACACATCAGGCGAAGAAACTTGTGATTTTTATTTTGTTAATAAATGAAATTCCGATTCGCACACTGCAAATTAGCAATCTGGTTGATTGTTCTAATGGACAGGTTCAAAGGTCCAAGCCCAACTAGTTTGGATAGAACTAACCTGTCCTAATATTTATTCCTCAACATTTTTACACAATATGCATTTTATGTATGTGTATCATGCTTCCACTTTCCTAATTTTAACTATTTTCGGTTCGTGGAACCTACACCAAGGCTCCTAGGGGATGATATTCTGATATAAGTACGAAGTTGATGCCAATAATAGGAAAACATGAATTTCTATTGCAGTAGCTCAAAATTTCTACTCCTATTTTGTCATGCCGAGGAAAAACGCTACAAGAGCATTTGAATCACACTATATTTCTTTACTGACACAAATTATCTGGAAAAATTGACAACTTTATTCACTGTAGGTTTTGTAGAATATTAAACTGGCAATTTAATAAAAAAAAAAAAAAAAAGAAACAGGAAAATTAAAGAAAAACAATTCATATGTTTCTGGAGCGTGATAATTTATAAGGGGAAATTTAGCAGCATTTGATTGTTCATACAGTACGTTTCCTTGACACCACAGTATTTTACTTTTAAGGAAGAAACTGGACTGCTTTAAAATTCCAAAGAATTTTCTTCCCAAAATTAAGGAAATTTTCAAGAGATCACATTGATCAATTTTAGCACGAAAAGTTAAAGTGCGACAGAAAGCCTCCACCATTAAAAACCAAGATTTTTTGTTTTTAAGTATATAGCCAAACATGTGTAATTTAATATTTCATTATCTATTAGAGATCTCAATTCAAAAATTGTAGATGGGGGGGAAAGAAAAGAGGCTGAATCAAAGGGTTGAATAGTTTGTATGTTCAAAGATTTGAAATGGTACAGTCACAACAAATGAAATAAATAACAAGGCAGTTAAAACCGCAAAATAAAGTTTACATACAGCAAATTAAGCTTGCTAAACAAGGTCTAAAGACAACATTTTAACAATGAGTGCTTATATTTACTATAGGAGAAAACGATAACAATCTATTCCTTTAGTAGTAAAGTGCCTGGAGTAGGTGAATAGTAACCTACTTTAATTCAAAATATGAACAGCAATATTTCTTGTAATAATAAATTATGGATACTTCTAATATGATTTGCCATATTGAATAATGACTACTCGTAAATGTTCACAGACATTTCAATGAATGATAGCCATAGAAGTAAAAATGACCCATTGAGAACTATCTGATATTTAACCTAATTACTCGCTGAGAATTTTACGGATCATCATCCTCGTGCTTTGATGAGAGAGCTACAAATATCACAAAGTATGCTTCAACCCCAAAGATGTTCCTCAAATTTCTAGTTTTCTTAGCCTCTTATCTAAAGAAGCTACTGAATAAGACTCAGTACAAAATTAAGGACTACAATACATGTACCTTCATCAAAAAAGCAAGTGAAATACTGTAAATACATTAAAAAATTCAAAATTTAGCTGGACAGCTTTTTTCGTATACATCAATTATTCAAAGTTTCCACTCACAAAAGACCGAAGTGTACACGAGTTAAATTCAGCATTAAACTAACTTTTGTACCTTTTAAGATATGCAGTATTTTTTTTTTTTTTTTTTTTTTTTTTTTTTTTGCGTGCTGTAATTCGTTTTGAATGGTTCAAAAGTTTTCCTTGATTAAACCATACACTGGTCATTTGCCAAGAGGATAGATTGTATCCAATGGTCGAATAGACTAGTATTGATTTTGGTTTTTTTGAGAGCTGTAAGTTTCAATGTACTAATTTTAATGAAAATGACCAACATCAATTTTCTTATTTGTGAGTGAATTTTGGAAGTTTTTGACACGTTCAACGTTTTCTTCATAAAATTTTGGAAACAAAACATGTCTTGAGGAGATTTAAGTAATTCAAAAGTTTCTAATCATCCATTTTTGACTTTAACCTCCTCTTGATACTGAAACTTAAATGAGAGAACACATTATCCGCCACATAAATTCCAGAGAGCTATTGATGTCATGAGAAACGAAACAATGATTTTTAATGTAAGAACTTATCGGACTTTCTAGAAAAACAATAACCTATACAAGCTTTAAAAATATGACTCTGTTGTCCAATGATTGATATCTAGGTAGATGATGACATGGCTCTAACAGCAAACACATTTTTTTCTTTCTACCCAGTCATTAAAAATAAAAAAAAGGTCTCTTTGGCATTCAGTGGCCTGTGATTGCATATTATAAGTGTACTGCTCACTCCTTCTTAGATATTAATAAAGGCTGAACACATTTGCTGACAACTGGATTGAATTTTAAACCTTTATTTATGAATTTTTTCTTTTTCTTTTTTGCTACTTTCAACCAAATTTTTTGTTGTCAATATCTTGGAAAAGTATTGACAAGCAGATATTGTTCCTGAGGTGCTATAAACTTCTTGGTACTTGAGTATTCACTGTAGGAAATGATAAAGAGAAATCACGGATAAAAATATAAATGTAAGATGAAAATTACCACATTAGCGAGAATTACAGACAAAATTTTTAATATTCTTTGATTGCTTGTCATTGTGGAAAAGTAGACCAATTATACATAGCTACAATACAATAATAGATTTATACATGATGAGAGAGTAAGAAATGCATGACTAAAGATAAAAATAAAGATAAAGTTTGGCTTTACAGGAAGAAATTACTCCAAAAAAGAAATAAATAAATAAATAGATGCCGAAATTAATGGCTCGCATTCTTTTCAACACACATAAAAAAGGAGGAAATTATAATTATTTACAGGTTCATGAAATGATGTTTGAAATACTTGAGATTCCAACAAGGATTGGATTTTAAGAAACAAATTGACCAACTATGAAAGAATAAAATTGACAATGTAAAATCATGGAATTCACAAATCAGGATAAAAAAAACCCAAATTCTCAAATGAAGTCGCCATTGTAAGTGCTTAAGGAGATAGGACCTGTGCACTTTTATGATGCTGTCTTATAAAAGGTCAAAGTTTTCGAAACAGGCAAGCAGTTGTTGATAGCACTAGGTCAACTTTTGCATTCAGCAAAACAGCTAATGAAGTACAGTTTCAAAGTACTGAGAAAAAACTCTTAGAATTTTTATTACAGCCAAAATCATAAAATTTTAAGTACTCAGTTTTTTTTCAAATAGAAAAGCATGTACATTATATTCTTAAAATTAAGGTAGGCGGGTGCAGTTCATTTGGGAAGTCACTTATTTGGACCAAAATTCTGGAGACTGAAGCTTATTATTTAATTAATGATAAAGTATGTGAGTTGTTACATATACCTACTTTTTTACTAAGAGTAAGTTGGACGTATTTCTATCAAACGGAACTAAGCGCCATAGGGGGAGGAAGGGAGAAGGGGGCTTGGATTGGCGGGTGATGCGGAACGCGATGCTCATTCCGTCCTATACTCGCAATGCTTTTCCATGGCGCTTAGTTCTGTTGAAAGAATGCGCTATCCGCGATTCTAAAATCGTCAAAAGAAACCCAATTTGGCGCTTAGTACTGTTTAACAGAAATACGTCCAGTTGATACAAAGACTTCAACAATTCTAAAACTGAAGAAATTATACAGAAAATTCCTGTAAGTATTAGTTCTATCATCATCTTACTTTGGTGTTTTTAATGATTTTTCAAGGAACAGTAAATAAAAAGAGTCCTTTCTGAGTCTAACAGATTAAGTTTTCTTTCGTCTTGATGAAATTTCAACAATTCTGAAGAGGTGTTTATGAGCGCACACCTTTGGATATATGGCACCAATAACGAACATACAACACAAAAACTTTGCTCTATTATATGAAGATCGTACTTAGCAATATACACTAGCAGTTACAGGTGTCCCAAGGGTTTCCTGTAAGCTATCAAAACAATTTGATTATAAAATAGTGATGATTAGAGGACTCCTGCCGATGGGTATCAGAGTTTTCTGAGCTGGCAAAAATGAGTTTCTGCCAGTGTTTAAATTTTTCCGGGCTAATCAAATCAATGGTCAGACAAATGGGGCAACATTGCTTTAGCTTGGAGCTCTCGCACTTCCAGTAGTCCCGGTCATTTTCTTAAAGAGGCCTTGTTGGAGTGTATCTTTATTTCTGATAGCTTACAGTAGAGAATTCATTTGAAAACCCCTACAAGCAGTATTGACAAACTTAATAAAAGATACAGGTGATACAAATGTTACCGAGATTATATACCTATAAATAGTGTTTTGTTATTGACCAAAAATTAAAGCAGTACAAATTGAGAAGCTTTTGAATGGATAAAATTATGATAAAAGAGGGACTAATCTTGTTGGCAGGATGGTTTTTGTATGAGGACCCAAAAAAATTTGAACATGCTACAGACCGCTGAAAAATTCAGTTATTTTCCTTCTTGCTCTCTGAAGATGAGAGAACCCTATGAAGTCTAGAACCTCAGTACAGAAACCATGCACCCAAAAAAGAATGTCTTACTCTGATTATGAAGCACCTTCATTTCAGCTGTTGATAAAAGTTAAAGTACAAACTCATACAGCAAACTCATTAAGCAAAAAATAAACGGTATCAGAATAGAGTAAAATAGACGAAGATTAAAATTTTTAAGGAATAACAAATCTTGAGTGCTCAGGGCCCCTTTCAAAATAAGGAAGCATTGAGGCAGAAAAAAGTTCAAAAAAGCTATAAGTTTGTGGGTTACAAATTCTACAGTTAAAAAGCAATTTTGCTTTTCAATAACATCGTCTTCTAGGATCAACAAAAAAAAATCTCATTGACACAAAATACTTGATTTAGTGCATAAAAACTCTACTGATAGTTCGGAAGTGATGGAGTCCACTATGATAGTAGTGCATCAATAAATAGAAATGCAAAAGCCGTGAGATGAGCTTTAAACACTTCAGGAGGAAAAATTGATACTTGGCTTCGTGATGAAAAGCTATATGTATTTGTCGAACTGTGTCTTACAACTTACTACAGATAAACAAATTCAGTGGCTTAGAGTAGAAGGGTATTGACTTCATTTTCCTCTTTTGAAATTTCATGAAAAGACTGCTCACCAGCCGAATTACTTCCAATGTGGTTCGTAATTCAATGAAGTTTTGTATCTTGCATCAAGAATAAGATATCAAACCAAAATTTGTTTACATGTAGAGCTCCTCCTAAAGGATAAGGAGAACTTAATTTTTCCAAAATTGTTACTAATTGCTCTTTTAGTTCTGAGGAACCTCATTAATTGTGCAAACTACCCTCTGCATAAATTTGATTTTTTCTACTTTCTCATTACTTTCATATTGTAATTAGCAAGCAATATGGCTGATTGTGACAAAAAACAAATCTTAAAATATGAAAACAATAATTCATCCTTCCTTTGCCACGGAGAATTAGATTCTAATTGACTAAGCGGGGGCTGAGCACTCGGAGGATGAAAAAAATACAGATGATCACAATTCATAAATCACACAGTGCAATGAGATCAATGAATAATACCATGAGGCGAGGTCCTCGTTACTAAAATTAAATACATTCAAATTACTCCATCAGCAAATAATTGCAGAGCTATGGAAAAAAATAATAATTTATTTTAGGAATGTTTGATACTTAATGATGGACGCTCGTTCCCGAGTCCAAACCTCCTTCTTCTTCCAGCCTACATAGGAATTTGTTCACTTTGTGCTGGGCATCAATCTGTCGAGCCATGTCAATCAACGCTAATAATTTCTTGATGCCGATGAACACTCTGCAAGAAATTAAAAATAATTAGTTCCATGCGAATTGGAGTTATGAACGAAACAAAGAAAAAAAAATTGGAAATGTCTCCTCAAATATAACTATGGAGAGTTACTTGTTGCACTTGTGAGAGTATTGTCATGCCTGTGCTACGCTCTGATAGGATCATCAGTTGCAGCATTGCATGGAGATCAAAAACCAACGTAAGCAAACCCAATCAAAAGGAATTTACATTATCAAGCGAGAAATAAATTATAAAATACGAAAATACAAAGAAAAATACGAGGGGCTACCAAAAAAAAAAAAAAAAAAAAAAAAAAAATAGAAATTTGACAAGACTTGGCAATGGTGGGAATTTTGGGATTCTAGTGCTAGGAGGTGTAACTAGGAGCTGTGAGGAGTAACTAGGCCAAATTTCCAACGTTGTAGTATGCTTTGTTTCATTTTGGAAAGCCTTCACATGAGGGGTCTATGGCGAGCTCATCAATTTTTAAAATAGGTGATTTTCAAGGGCAACTCGCGGTTAACCCTATTAGTATTTTGACCAAATCTTGCCTAGAACATGCTTCACCAATAAATTAAGTGGGCAAATATCTTTTTTCGTTTTAAAATGTGATTTGTTGTTCAAACATCGGCCGGGCTCCAAACGGCCGTCAATGGCTACAATAGTAAGTAGGGGATCAATTCCGCAACAATGTGTTTTAGACCCAATTTTCTCACAGCAATGTTTTAAATATTTCTGTACGACAATTCAGTGATATCTGCTGGTTAACTAAATGGTCTCCAACGATTTTCGATTGCAAAAATGCGACTTTTTTAAACAAAATTTCATCGTCTTTAGCCGTTGACAGCAGTTTGGAGCCAGGAAGACATTTCGGGCAATACAGCACTACTTTTAAAGCAAGAAAACCACACTTAAACTTAAGTTTTTGATGAGACTCGTCCTTCATAAGCAGCACTTCAAAAGATTGACAGAGGAAGCCATGATTTCACCGAGTGAGACAGAAAACTTTGAGTGCCAAGTGTTGCTAATGAAATTGACCCATCTTCACAAATGACAAACTCGTCAACTTCTAAAGCTAAGTCTCACCAAAACGAAAGAAAACGTGCTATGACGTTACAATTTGGCCAAACAACTCTTCATAGTCCCAGTTACACCTCCTGGCGGTGGAACCCAGCAATTTTCCACCGTTCACAAATTACAGCAAAATTCCAGGTTTTTTTGGGTTCCCCTCGTACTGTATCAACTAACGCAAATAAAAATCGAAGTAAGCTATGTAATAGAGGAGTGTAGAAAAAGACGTGAAAGAATCCTTACCTGGCACCTCTGATTTTCTTCCTGATCTGCTCAATTTCATCTCTGGTAAAGGCATCGGACTCCTCTAGGACTGCACACAGATGTTCTGGTTTACTCAAATTGGGGACATGAAGAACAGCTGTGAATGCAGCCAACATTTCCATATCGGATAAGACTTGCCTGAAAGCGTATATTAAAGATGTAAGAAGCAGCATGAAATAAAATATTTCATGTACAAGAATATAGAAACTCAAGGGTAAAATCTTTCTGACATTCTCAGGTTTTTCCTGAACGGAAGTAAAAAAATTAACTAAATTATCAAGGTCAGAGAGGTATTTAACTGATAGGATTCCACAGATTGGACAGCCATCAAATTTTCAATTAAAATAGCAAGAGGGAAAATGAAAAATTCATTTGTTGACTAATCTCTAGCAATAATTTGTTGAACCAAGCGCTATAATGGTCTAGATTTGTTAGAGAGATCTTTAATGAAGTTAGAAAATAACATGAGTGAAAATATTAATGGTTTGCAAATGATGGAAATCATGACTTCAACAGTTTGATACATGATCTATCAGGTCAACCTCAACATATGAGGACTTATCTGTAACAATAGGGGATGTGAAAAATTACCTTTTCGATATACATTCAAAAAAACTGTTTTGGCATCGAGAAAATTTTGAGAAAATACTTGAGATGTGATCTTCAAGATCTGTACATTATGCCAGAGCCAAACATATTAAAGTTTTGTGTGAACAAAACAGTTTTTTAAGCGTGTTTCGAAAAGGTAATTTTTCACATCCGCTATTGTTACAGATAAGTCCTCATATGAGTCAGTATGATCATTATGCAGAGAGCATGAGTCCCTACTCATGCTCTGGCTCTGACTTTAGTGATGGTTTGGTACTTTCCCATGATTCCTGTTATTTTCTTTCTTTCTTTTTTCTTGTAATTAACAGGACTTCTAATATAATATTATTGTTTTCTCTCTGGTTGATTTACTTCTACATCCTTCGTTATTTTGCAAACACTTTCGCAGAAATTTCATTACTATGATTGCACGTACCTTATATTTTATAAGCCTATTTTACCATCATTAAATAGATGAATTAAGAAATAAACAGAGAAACATAAATTTTCATTCATAAAACATTTACATAATATCCTATTTCAGGGGACACAGGAAAAAATGAAAAAAATCACTTGTGAATTGAGAAATTTTCAGAGTACCATAGTCTTTCAGAGCTGATTTTTGAAAAAAGGTGAGATTCAATAAAATTTGGAAAAGGTGAAAAAGGTCGATTTAAAAGGTTCATGACTTACCCTGTAAACAAACTAATAAAAATATTTTGTTATTTTTTTTTTAAAAAAAAAAAAAAAAAAAAAAAAAAAAAAAAAAAAAAAAAAAAGGTTCATGACCTGTAGTAAAATTCAGTTTCATTTTTGGGGCCCCTTCACATTTAGAGATAAAGATCTTTGAATAACAATTACACATTAATGGTGAAACTGCAAAAGCACGTATCTTGATTTCAATATTTCAAAATCTTCACTCCTATTTTACTTCATCAAAGGAGAACAAACCAATTCTATGACTAGAAATTTTCATAGACTATTTTGCATAGAGAGGAATAAAATCAGAGAAGTTTTTAAGAAATAACATAGAATGTTTTTCTGTTAAAAAAAAAAAAAAAAAATTAGCAAAGGTTTGCAAGTTGCTAAGAGAGATGCGCATTGCTGCAGTTTATACTGTTGATAAGTGTACTCGTTAACTAAATAAAACTTTAATATATGAAACAAAAAAAGGACAAATACATACCGCTGACTAGTGGTGCAAAGTATGAGCAACTTTTTGCCTTTTGGAGGTTCTTTCTTCAACAGAACAAGGAGGGCTTGCAAAGTGAGATTCGAATACCGAGGCCCGATGGAGCCATAGTCTAACAACCGTTCAATGTTATCTACTAAAATGCAACTGAATTGGGACCTGTATGCATCATCAAACACCTAAACAAGCACAGAGAAAAAACAAATGTTGAATCGGTATTAAAGTCATCCTAGGGATTGGATAAATCATAAGTATTTACTTTATCAATGTGTACAATGAGTGATTGAATAAACCAAAGCTATGTAAATTTTAGTGCTAAAGGCTTTTTGACTTGACAGTCATCATCAGAGCATAATTACATGCGTCATATTATAAAAACAGAATATTGTTATAATTTGAGGTGTGTAATTATGCTCTGATGATGAGTATCAAGTCGAAAAGCTTTTAACGATAAAATAAGTTACTGTTTCGAATAGCTTTGGTTCATTCCATCACTCACTACAATTTTGGCGGTGTTCGACATCAATTCACTAAACATTGTATACAGTTACTTTTTAATTTCTGTAGGACTACGAATAAAAATAAATAGAAACCCCCAGAGATGGTAGCAAAAGATGTAACAATATTAAGAAATTAATTAATGAGATAAACAGAAGGGACAAAATATTTTTTATAATGTGAGGAAGGCTGCTTGATGACAAGAAGAAAAAGTAATTCTTCATGAACTGCAGTTTACAAATTATGTTCATTCCCTCTTTCAAAATAATTTTTAAAGGCTCTGTAGTTGCCTTCAAGTGACAACATGAAATACGGTTGTTGAAAAGCATTTATGAGCTGAACTCGTCATAGCAACCAAAGAATAAAAAATGTTTCTTCCTAAAATAACTTATCTCCTTACATTCTGTTCCATGAGCTTATCTGATATGAAAATTATGTTTTTATTTACTTTCCAGCATTTAAGCAAGATATGGACTCAGTACTTTGAAATGTATGAAGCAGTGGAGAGAAGAAATATATTGGAGTAAGTTATTAATCGAACAGACTAACCTTGCGAATTTGAAGACACTTGGCTTGTTCGGTGAATCCAACCATTTCTTCAGGGGAGCAAATTTTGACAAAAGGAAAGTCCGATATTTTAGCTAGATGAGCTGCAAGGGCAGTTTTTCCTGAGTTTGGAGCACCTGTTGGACAGAGGATGATCATGTAAAAACACAGAAAATCTGTACAAAAACTTCATGTTTATTTATTACATTTGAAAAATTTGCTGCATATATATTTGGAAGAAACAAAAACAAAAAAAAAAAGAGAGAAAAAGAAATACTTTCCAAATATCTTGGCGACATCTAGACAATATCAGGGGTGCAAAAAATGCCAGATCTCACAATCTCCGGTAAACTTGAAGTAAACCAAGAAACACTCGACTAATCTTGATAAGTGAGGAAAATGTAAAGTCTCAAAAAGAGGTTCAAGGAATTGAAGGGTTCTCTATCATTAGGTAAAAGGGAGACAAATCACAATTTTTACCATGAGGTTAAAATGCCAGAATGCCAGATCATGAGGAACGGTTAGAATTTTGAAACTTTTACACCAATAGACAGCATCTAGGAAGTACTTGTATTGGTTCCCAAGAGCAGGTTGAGAAAAATGGGCATGAAACATCATTACTAAGAGCTCTCTGACCCCCTAAATTTTCTTTTTTTGCCATTATATGGACCGAATTTTCATGATTTTTGCAGCTTGAGCCTGCTCTATTTAGATTAACTCCTGTGGGCTTGTGAGAGCTCTTTGGGGATTGGGCCACATGGCAGCCAGTGGGCGTAGCCCCTAAGTATTACAGAAAAATAGGGAGAAGATGAAGTCTAAAGTTACCTTCAAATAAGACAGAAACAAGACCGGATGCATCGGTGAGACGAGCTTGCTGAATTAAAAGTTTGCCATCGTCAATGATTCCACTGATAGCTGAACCCCAAATAGTAATCCCACGTCCCAAGAAATGTTGTAAAGCTTCATCACTAGCTCCGAAAGCCTGCAAAATTGAGAGAAAATATGAAGAAACTAGGCGCTGAGAATGTTGTGCAGGAGAAAATAAGTAATAACTTAACTTTCACTTTATTGGAACTGAGTGGTTTCTCTTTAAAAATTCTTTAATGCACTAAAATTTGAAGATAAATCGTCATTCAAAATTGTCAACAGATAATATGATGCCAACTTAAAAATTTATAAATCGATGACTGATGTCGGAAAATATGTTTCTCAGATTACGATGAAAGTCTCCGCTAACGTTTATTTTTATTATATTTTTTTTCAAACTTACTGTGAATTTCTTTCAATCATTCTAGAAAAATCACACAAAATATTTTAATTATTCTTCCTTGAAAAAATAAATCATAATTGAAGACCTTTAAACGTTGCAATTAAATATGCATTTTTGGCATTCAGCCATTGACATGCTCATTTAATGCGTCATTTGAAAAAGTTATTAAAAACCATTAAACTTTCAGGAAAAACGATCTTAGTGCAAAAATAACTCAAAATCAAGTTTCGTTCTGCCTTGCATGATGGAGATTTTACAAAAAATTTGGCTTAAAAATGTCAAACCAAACCAGAATTATGACCTTTTGAAAACTAGAATTAAATATGTAATCTTCAAGAAAAGGAACTGGAAATTTTGATCTGCCAAATTTGGTGCTCTAAAATGCCATATGAGAATAAAACTTCATGGTCCTTTTGGCACTAAAATGGATTAAACCACTCACATATTGTTTTTTGGGAGACCAAAAAGTTCCGAGACTCAGTTATAGACTTAGTAAGGCTCATAAGTTTCTTCTCTTCTTCTTCATCAGATTTCTGATGGGTCTGCATTTCACATATTTAAGTAGTCTTGCAATATGAGTCTGTAAGATTTGGGTTAAATATTACAAGAAGAGTTATAAAAAAATTTGAAACTAACCGGTTTGATATCTGTTTCCAGGGCGTGGAGAAAATCACTTCTAGAGACCAAGAGCTTCTCCATTGCCTCTGGGTCCACTTCAACTTTGCTTGACGCTTTGATGAGGCGATTCATTGCTGTTGACTGCGCGGCACGAACTAGACCTTCCAGTTCTGCACCACTGAAATTCTTTGTGAGAGTCGCTAGTTCACAAATATCAACATCATCAGCTAGTTTTTTGTATGTTTTCATCCTTGATGTGTGGATGTTCAAAATTTGAACACGACCTTCTTCGTTGGGAAGACTAATTTCCATTTGCACCTGGAAAATAAAGCACATGGAAAATCAGACGCAGTAGAGGTAATTGAAACGAAATGGAACCAGATTTTGTGAATGAGCAAAAAGTCAACTTTCTATCCATCAGTCAGCAAGATTTTGAGTAAAAACTTTTTTGTATTTAAACAGATTTGATTTAAACATATGATAACTGCTACAAGTTCTATATGCCGTGTATCTATAGTAAAAGTTACCGGCTTTTTTGGGAACAGCCAGGAAATCTGGTAAAACGAAAATCGGTTCTTTATATTGGCAATGGTGCAGAATTAGAAGTCCGATTATATATTAAAAACAATTGCGTCTATTTGATGTGCTTTTTGGGGGGAGCTTTGAACAAGGTTGGATACATCTTTTTTGCGTTTATGCTGCGTAATTAGCGGAAAAAACTTAGTAACCTATTACTAAATTAAGTCAGAATTTTTTTTAAGTTGGAGGTCCCTACTTCGGTGATTTAAGGTGGCTTTGAGCTGAATAGTTCTGCATCATTGAATTCAGATGGTTCTATAAAAAAAAGATTGGATTTCTTCACAAATACCCATTTTAGGTGCTAAAAAGGACAGTTGAAAATCGAACCGATTTTTCTCTTAAGGGCCCAAGCGTTATGATCCACTTTTTGGGAAAATCAGGAAAAATTTTGGCATTTAGTGAGCATTCTATCCTTTGAACCCAAAAAAGAAGAATATCTATTGAAACTTGGTCATGGTTGTTTCGATAATATTCTTTTAATCACGAGTGTGAAAAAATAAGACAAGTTTTGGTGCTTAGGCCCTTAAGTATAACTTGAAAAATGCTTCATAGTTTGAAGGGCCTTTATCTATTGAATCTTCTAGAACTCAAGAGTTTTTGGCGCTAAGGTAGTCAACAGCATTTCTAAAAGAAAAACTGGTTCATTGAGGAGAAATAATCTTAATTTACAAAGCAATAAAGAGGAAAATATACATAGATTTGTTGATGGTCGTCAATTAGCATCCGCAGTTTTTTATAGGGTATAAATCACTGATCATTATGGTCATATGTTTTGGCAATTAAAGTGAGAATCTCTGTTGGAGAGGGTCTAGTTTAGTCTAACAATACAATGACAAAATGAAGAAAATGAAAAAAACTGAAAACTGTTTCCCAGGAAAAGGATACTTCAGAGTGGCATATTGCTTTTTGGTACATGTATCAAAATGTTACCTCTAATCGACCGGGTCTGAGAAGAGCTTCGTCTATCATATCACGTCTGTTGGTCATGCCGATGACTAGAATATTGTTCAACTGCTCAACACCATCGATCTTTGCTAGGAGCTGGTTCACCACAGTGTCGTGTACTCCCGTGTTGCCACCAACTGAGCCTCTCGCTTTGCAAATGGCATCAATCTCATCAAAGATAATGATGTGCAGCCCGCTGTATGGGCCTGCCTGTAAACAAAAAGTTATCAGAGCATACATTAAATTGATATAATATTTGTAATGGAGTCAGGCAAAATGGCCTGTAATGTTGAAACTCTGATTGATCAGTGCAGCAAAAAACCAATTTGTGGTAAAAATTGTTCATTTCCCGTTTTCGATGCTAAACTCTTTGTAATATTCTTAGAATAACTGAATTAAAATTTCAAGGCATAGTTTGTATTTTCGATGATGCTGTAAGCATTTGAAATGAATCATTGCAAAAACTGACAACAGCGTTGGCAAATTTCATGCGTGGTTCTTCTAAGATTCATTCTTTCTATTACCTGACTTCGAGAGGCTCCAAGGAGTCAATTTTCTGCCCAGGTTTATGGATACTTTTGACACCCTCAGATGCACAAAGAACCTCTCCAAGCTGCGGTACAGTCATCTTAGTTTATTTTGCTTCCACTATTAGGGCGTTTTTGCCTAATGACATTGTATTTTTCACTGAGGCATCTAAGTCAGTTTTTTGGAGCTGAAGTGGGCGAGTTTAAAGTCATTGGGCGTGATAGACTTTTCAGCCACATGGAGGGTCCAAACCTCAAAAAAAATTAAATAGAATTCTGAGAGCCAAGATATCCTCCCATGCAGGGGTCGATAATATTCCCGACATAAGCCAAGCTCCAGCAAAAATTGTTAGAAGCTCTTAGCTATTTTTTTTTACCACTTCCCGCATAGAAATAGTAAAATAAGCATTGAATAAGCCTCTCTTACTACCATTTTGAAAATTTCTTCCCACCCGTCAATAAAATACCAACGATCCAAAAAACCGGACGACTAAAACAAGAAAGATGTACACTTTTTGTGGAAGCACCTTTTTGGCTCGCACAAAATTGTGGAAAGCAGGAATTTTTATAGATTCCTAGTCCCATATTAGCTCATATACCAGCGGCACCGTTTGCTTTGCGATGTATCAATTGATCTGTCATTTAAACCTATGGAAAAGGATCGATGAATAGGTGTTCACAACGAATACCTTAATAATCGATTCTTTTCCATAGCTTTAAATAGGGAGTATCGATAATCGATTAGTCATGCCTTGTCACTGTTGTATACCTACCTAAAGTTGTAGTTTAGAGAAAAATAGAGAAAGCTACTGTGAGTGGTTTCTACCTCTGAAAAATTAATCTGGTGAGGTTGATAAAGTTATATTTGTCGCATGTAGAGTGATTACCTTCTTCTCCTCTTCTTCTGCGTCTGCAAACAGCCGCCGGATATTGGCTTCAGATTCACCAACATATTTGTCTAAAATCTGAGGACCATTAACGATTTTTGGTTCACGGGCATTTAACATGTTGCCAATCTGACGAGCCATCAGTGTTTTACCAGTGCCAGGAGGTCCATACAGCAGGATACCTTTTACATGCTTGCATCCTAAAAGAAAACAGAGACCACTGAAAGTGAAAAAACTTGCAAGACATACTCATGAAGAGGAATTATAGAACTTGATTGAAAGCAAAATCTAAATGGCTGTGTAGATGGCTAAGTTTCCATTTTAGAGGCATTAAGTAGACATGCTGTATAAATTAGGTCTTAACGAACGTAAATAAAAAACAACACACTAAAAACATGGTTTGAGCAGTCTCAAGAATAAAAAATCAAGCATTTTTCAAAGAACTTTTAGCAACCACTGTCGAAATTTTTTCCTGAATGCATAAGTAGCTTTCTCCCCCAAGCTAGAGTTTGAGTCAGAAATGAAAGGGTAGTTTGCAATTTCTTTTGTATGTAGAGTCCTCGCCAAATGAGTTTACGCACTGTCTGACTGCGATAGAAAATCGTTTAACATTACTTTTGCATGGAGAGTAAGTGCAAGACGTAAGATGGTGGATCGTTTGTCACGGTCTAAAAGCACGTTAACTTAGTTGGCACAAACTCTAGGATGTCTTCTTGAATGATTTATTTAAAATCAAATACAATGTTATTTATTAAATCGGCGATAATTTACTCCTGACAATTCATGAAGATGAAAATTCCATCATCTTCCAAGAAATAAAACACTTTCAAGGCCTTGAAGAAAAATGTCAGAATCAAGCAATTTTTGAGGCCAGACAAGCCATGAGGAATATTTCTTCCGATGCTAAGTAAAAACAGGATAAAAAGTCTTAGAAATTCCAACATTTGGATTCTTTCAAACTTTCAATTTATTGACAGAGGACTATGCAGTGATGTCTTCTATTCCAACAATATGTAATTCGTCTTTTGTACCAGGTTTTTTTTTTTCTTTCGTCTTTCCTAGTTTCCCAATTTAGAGTAATAAAAAAAAATATTGTGATGAGACTTGTTATCACATACATATATAAGATCAATAAAGCTCATTCATAAAAAATGAGAGAAAAAAAATTAAAGGAATGATGGAGCAAGAAATGAAGAAACGCACCTAACTGTTCAACAACTTCTGGTGGAAATACTCGAGATGCGAACGCTCTCCGGAAAATGGCATTGAATTCTTTGTCTAGACCACCAATTCCAATCTTTGCAAAATCCCAATCAGGATTTATGATGGCTTGTCTGACTTGCTTCCTGTAAACAAGGTGAAAAAATCAAGTTAAAAAGATGACTTTATTGATATTAGCCAGTCTTTTTGTCATGACACATTTTCTAAATATTCTGATAGAGTTTCTGTCGCCCAGGCTCATGGATTTGGCTGGATTTGGCTGCCTTTGAGAAGACCAATTTCTCACACACCATCCCTTGTTTTTGTGGGTTTTTCTTTTTAAAAAATTAACAACTGGATGAGATATTTTATCAAATAAATTTTAAAATGTAACTTCATTTCTAGCATTTTACTAAATACCCAATTTCTCTTTGAGTTCTTAATAAATAAGTTTACGCACTTTTAGAGTGAAAAATCTAGAAACAGTTATTTGGCGCAGACTCTACTTCTTGAAATCTATTAAAAAATAAAATGAATCCTGATTCGAACTGAAAATCTCCTTTTAAAAAAGGAATAAAAAAGGACTTAAATTTACAAGGCTACATACCCTTTGTATTTGCCTTGAAGATTCACCGCAGAGCCTTCAGATTTTTCAAAGAAAACGATCGTGTTCCCTTGAGTATAACCAAAATTAACCTTCCTTGGCTTGCCTTCAACTCCTTTTTTGATTGCATTCAAATCCGGCACTGGAAAAGAAAAAGAGGGACACTTAAATACCAGTGATATTGATCGAATTGTAGGGAATGGAAGTAAAAAGTCTCATCAAAATGTGAAGAAGCCAAAAACTTGGGATATCAATGAAATTCAAAGGTAAATAAGAAATACAATAGTCTTTTGATCAAACAAACCTTCCAGATCCTTTACAACAGCTTGTAACAATTTTCTATCATTTGGTTGAAATGCAATCATTTGACCGACGGTTAGAGCATGGCCTGGGAACATATTGAGGAATTCTTGTGCCATCGTGTCAGTGTCATATTTTTCATTGTAGGGCCTGAAATGAAAAAGAAAATTGACTTTTAACAGGTGGAATGCTGCAGATAACATTTAAATTCATGATTTGAAATGTCGATTTTGGAGAAGATGTATTTCACTCATTTAGGGATGAGCTTCAACAATACTATATCGAGTTCTGTGCCCTTGCTGTTCCGGAGGTTCATCTGTAAGGTTTTACTTTAAAGCTTGCAAAGTCTTTTTAAGAACCAGGGTCACATGGACAAAGAGAGGGGGTCCTCTTATATCCTGTGAGGGTCAACTAATCAGAAAATGGACAGAAATGGACAGTGGTAACATGACTGTAACCGCTGGCAATGCTATTTCTAATACACACAAAAGTGATGCACAATGGTTTGAATACTTCCGTGGGCAGTAACTTGAAAAACCCCAGATTTTACTTCTGGAACCATTTGCGAAATTGAAGTTCGAGCAGCCCAAAATTTTCAGTTTTTAAAAACCGAAAAATGGTACTGAGTAATTTATGGATGATCCATTACGGTTTGGTATCTTGGTATCAACTAATCACACATACTACTTACTGCTTTTTATTGAGGAAGTCCACCTCTAAAGTTACAGAGCTGAGACAGTCATCAGCTCTGAACGTAAACGGCGCCACTCTGATCACTTGATTCAGCGACAAGGTAGCCCACTTCCTCTGGAGGAGAGTGAAACCAAGATATCCTCTTTCCATGGCTTGGGTCCTTGTAAGCATGAAAATGAATGTCCGGTGGCCATCTGTTTGGACTTGAATGCTCCTGAAAAATTTGTTCAACAATTTACTAAACTATCAGTATGTTGTCCATTGTTTCTTGAAAAAACATCCCTCAAAAATTATGAAGAAGCTGAGCTCTCAAAAAACTTGATTTTTCTTCCAAATCATGCCCTACTGCAAGATTAATTTCTTTAGGTGTCGGTCGTAACTCGAATAAGAGGCCTCAGTTTAATTTAGGAAAGAGTCAAATGGAAAAGAGATGTGATTTTGAACTAGAGTACTCCCTTAAAAAACTCCCCACACTCCTGATAGGAATGTGTGCCCTGTTTGATTTCCAATCTTTGTAAGGCATTAAAGTTGTACATGAATGCAGATCAGAAGTCATGATTGGATCAAGTTTCTGCAAGCCACCGTTTTCGCACAGTCCGCAATTGAAGTTTCGATAATTTCCAGAATAGGACGGCTGAAATCAGAACACAGCGCGTGGCTATCTGGTGAAGACAATAGAGTGGGAGGGAGAAAGAAACTAATTAGGACGGTGAAAAGAAATGGCATGTGGAATCCGAGATAAGACTGTCGCAAGGCTGCCGTTTGGTTTTCTGGTCTATGTTGTTTACACACACCTGACCGACCCGAACCGTACTTGAGTGCTACATTAGGTACCTTCATTTGTGCAAGGAATTATGGAAACATCAACTGTGGATTGTGCAAAAACGGTGCACGATGTTGGCGCAATGATGACTCTTAATCAACATCCAGAGACAAGTTTCTTGCAATGAAAAAATTGGAAATCGAACAGGGTACACATTCCCATAAGGAGTGTGCAGGGTCCTTTTATACTGAAATAATTCAATTGCTAAAACGACATTTCTCCTTGTATTTTCGACTGTATTTTCAATTTTTTCTTTCCTTCTCATCACATTTAGTTAGGAATAAGCCAATTATTGTGCACTTGAGATGTATTGCATAAAGACTAGAGGATTGGGTTTTAAAATATATACATAAAAAAAACCATTATCCAGTTCATACCTCACATCTGGCGCAAAATCATTGATATTTGCTGCGACAAGATTGACAAGCGCAAGGCTGTCTTCTGGACATTTGCCCACTTTCAACTCCATCTAGAAAAATCAAGAACACACAAATTTGAATCAATTTTATTGAAGGATCACACAATTATTGATAGGTAGGTAAAAGCTTGAAAAAAAAAAAAAAAAAAAAAAAAAAAAAAAAAACCCTGAATTTGGTAATATTAATGGACCACAAAAATTTAGAAATATGCATGATTGTTCACAGAAAAAGGGACCTTCATTCGCAAAAAATCAAAATGCAGGTACTGGGAAATTCAGATGAAAAATTTGAGACTCACAACGGAGTGAGAGACTTGAGATATAGCAGGGCATAAAATCCACTACTAAAAGAATTGGTGAAAACTGCTCAAAAAACATAATACACATGAAGTGGCGAAGTGAACTGAGGAACAGGATGCACTGCTAATGATGAGTTTATTGCTCCAGTGTGAAATGAAAGACCATGTGATCAAGTCCTTTGCAACTCACCACCTACATTTCGTTTACAAGACAGACTTTTCCTCATGGCTTCTGTATTATGCTCCTGGCTTCCTAATGCTCTCTCTGCTTCACCTTGGAGCTGTCAACCACATAGATTATATGGTTTCTGATTTTGACGGCCATGAAAAGAGATGATTGATCTACCCAAGACCAATCTACACAGGTCAGTAATTGCGCATCTTTTTGAAATCATCTTCCCCGCCCGGCCATAACTCGGTGGCACTCAATGCTACGTCACAGCCAGTGCTCCCATAAGAAATACATTGCAGGCACTCAATACTACGTCACTGCGCAGTAGAGTTCCAAAACTTGTCCTCGGGAATGACTCACCTGTGTAGATTGATCTTGGATCTACCAGATAAGGATGCAGAAAGTTCTAAGCTTTCCCATTTGGCAAATTTGCCTTCCAATTTTCCAGAGTATTGTCAGAGTTACGACTGCTTGATTTCTTTCTCTTTGGCCATCCCTAAGAAGACTGCTACAATTTGGCAAATAACACCTTTCTTTTTACTGCTTAGTAGGCACTGCTAAAGAGAGCAGGCTTTCCTTTTCTTATGCGCAACTATTACATCATCAAATGGTTGGGAAGTTTTGACATTTCCATCACCCATAGGATAAGACTTTCTATTTGAACTTTTACCAATGAGGCTTATACCACCTCTTAGCGTTCAAAAAGTCATTCTACTGCCTTTAATTTTCCCTGAAACCTACAGTTTAGCTGGGGGGATTTGAAGTCAGTTGGACTAAATGCAGCCCAATCCTTATCATTTTGTCAGAGATTTCACTCTTGATGGGTGATGTCAATACTTGTTAGCATGTGGCCTTATCCAGACGCTCAATCATTGGTCCAAAAATTCTAGACCCAGTGCTACAAAGCAAATTTACTTAACTCAGCTAAAACTAGTTTGATGAAACGGTAGGATTCACTGAACCTTGACGAAAAGTTCAGCTGCGTGAACTAGGCCTTGGAGGATAAGAATCTTGGCATCTTAACATTCCTCATGTGACAGCAACTAATCTGGCATAAGAGCTACCTTTTACCCTTATAAGACACCTAAGCCTTCTTGTGATGCAATTCAACAAATTATATTGTTCAGCATTCACACTCAAAACAACATACTTAAGATGTGTCAGTATTGATTCTGGCCAATACTTCATTCTGCCTTTGTAAAAGATTGAGAAGAATGTTTAATTGTCTCTCATTTCGGAACTTTGGGGCACAGTTAAAGAATTATCAGTTGAGCGGTAAGATAAGCGAATTAGCGAACTTTACCTTCAATTCCGAAGTGGAAAAAAAAAAGCCATCCTTACCCTGTATGAGGGTTAAATTGATAATGAGGTTAACTATTTTCAGCCAGAGAAATGAAACATGAGTGTGCATGAGTGATAAGCACCCCAAGAATGATTAATGTCCAACTGTTCTTTTGCAGACATAGTTTTAAAATGAGTATCTATGATAAGAGGCAAATATTGAGGAAATGTTTTGAAATTGAGCACTTACCACAGAAGCTGATAAGAACCCTGAATCAAGAATAGAACTTTATACGAGGGAGCACTAATTGAATTATGGAATCCTCATTGATGAAAAGTATATCTTAGTACAATCACAGAATTACACAAAAATAAACCCAAGAGAACTGATGGAATGAAGCAAATGAGGATAATCGATTTTGCACGAGTGATACGAGGACTTGAAAGGGGACACGTAGATAACAGACTTTACTCACAACTCCGTTCAAACATGATTCAAACCGTCGAGAAAGCGATGAGATTGACCTACATATCGCTCAAGCGAATATGCGCTCAAAAAGTTATCGATTGCCTCAACAGGATTTCACCGTTGATTCAGCACTTTCAACAAAAAAAGTCGGAAGTCGCAAAATTCAAAAAAGTGAGCTGATAAAAGTGGGGTGTTCATAAAGATTGTTCGATTTGGCAATTCTGCAAGATGTCGACTTCAGACTAAAGTTGAACTTACGGTGCGGTAGGGTAGGGTAGGCAGGCAACATTTTCGTACTTCTTGAAAATTTTTTGTGGCTTTGGCAAATGAAGGCGTTTCTGGAGCATTTCATCTGATGCCTACACAGATTCCAGTTTACAAAAGAATGGCGCTACAGCTGTATCTACAGCGTTTTTTTATTCGCCTTCAATTCGCTAAGCAACAATTTATAATACAAACATGTTATGCGTGTTACTTTACATATTCATTTTTTTGAAGGCGTTTCACATGCTGATTTGGCACTTACGCACGCAAACATAGTGGCAAGTGTCATTTTTGAGGTTAATCGGTAAACTACAACTCAAGTTTGGAAACGATATTCGTGCTGACTTGGCTTCTACAGCAAAAGTTAATTTTAGTGGCATGTGCGTGTATCATGTATTTCTTAACTGAAAAATGGATGATTATGACGAAGTTTTAAGCGATTTCAACTTTGAGAACCTGTTCCTGAAAGCTGACAGTTCTTTGTGAGTGTTTATTATGAGCTTTTCTCTCCAGACATCACACCTTTCTTTCTCATTCATTACATCATAATGAAGCCTTTTTTTTATATTATCCTTCCCTCTCTTATATTAGGAGAATCAGTGCTTTTGTCGCACAAAAAACCACAAAATTAAATCCACATTCACAATTAACCGGTGCAAACTGGGAGTGAAAAATTAATTGGGAATATCAGTAGTCTAGTGTCTGAACTTGCCCATATTAGTTAATTTTTTGTCAAATAAAAAAGGAAAACCGCCCCAAATTACCCTGAATACTGATCAACCAACCAGTATTTGTCCTGGTGCTCCCCCCTGCCTATCTGTCTCAGATAATTAAGTTGATCATCAACGACAGTCACTCTGCGAAAAAGTGCCTTTTTATATTCTCATTTTTTATTTAAATTGCCTCGGACTATTTACCAGTATTTCAAACTCTCGGGAATCAAATATCTCTGTTTGCTTCAGTTGGAACTTGACATTATGGAATAATTGAGATATTTCCTGCAGAAAGGGTGCATAGCAGCTTACGCCCTTTCTTGCGGAAATGTTTACTCTGAAGCCTTAGGATGTTACCGATCCTATAATATAACATTTGTTCTTTGAGGTTTTTTCGGACATTAAGGTACAGTAGTTTACACTATTTCAAAACGATGAATACATATTTTGAATCCTTAAAGTGCTATCCATCCAAAAATATGTATTTCTCACTGCCACTTCTTTTTTTGTCTGTATTTCATGATGCCTAAGTTTCAATATATAATTTTTCTTTCTCTTTTTTCATTTTCAGACATGCAAATTATGATTCAGTAGAGTTACTCCACAACAACTCACCGCCTGGTGGCCACTGGTTTCTAGAGTCAAATTTAAATGCATTTTGGTCCAAAACTTTGGGTTCTGACCCGGAGGATAAAGGTTCCTTCTCATGTTTCTCAACCAGTCCGCAGAGTAAATTTTTGGACTCCCTAAGCATAGCTAACAACAATGCCTGGTCAAGCAAGGAGAAATACCTCTTAGAGAAAGGATTGGTAAGATACATGATTTTTACTTGTGATCTGAATTCTGAGTAGTTTTACATTTTGCAGCTAATCGAAACTCAGTCCGAATGGGTTATTGACTCCGTAACTCTTTATTTTCTGTCTAAGATATTTTTGCGTGATCATACTTATTGTCTTACCTATTCAGTTCTCTTCTAATATCTGCCATTCTGATATATGTTCAAGCATATACTTTTGAAAAAACTACTATTTTAAAAACTTCACTCATGTGGAAGTAAGTGAAGTTTTAACATTTTAATTTTAACTAACAATCAGTTTGTCTGGGGGTTCCCGTTGTTTTATTTTGTGTACATATTTTAAAACAGGTAAATTGCAGAGATGAGGGTAATAAGTAGGATCATTATTGCAATTTTACTGCCTTTAGGTTTTTTTTAATTTTGTGCATTTATTTGTTGAAATAATCATTGAAGGTAGTCTCCCTCAATTTATGTCGCATAGCATGATGGGAGGGGGGGGATGCGAGTGGACTTCCTTACTCTGGAGAGCTGCCCTGTGGAAGTGGACACCGCTGCGCCAGCTTTGAAAAATCATAACTCCGAGACAAATCGTTTCCCCAAGATGATCTTGGTCTCATCTTAACTGTCTGAGAGAGGACTTTAAGTTGGACAGTTGTTTGTTCATGTGCGTACGATCCGGGCTGCTGTAAACCACAAAAATCTGATTTTTGGACTCCTGGAAAATTTTTGACAGGCCACAAATTGGTCAAAAATTGACTAAACTGCACGACATTTTATACCGAAAAAGTAGCTCTTTCACAACTTTTCATGTTAAAAATTCAAATTGATATCTTAAACTGTTCAAAAGGTATAAGCAAAAGCAGTGTTATGTATGAACCCCCCTTCCCCTTCAGGAGGAAATTTGAAAAAAATTCAACCATTTTTGGGTGTCTCTTTCAGTACCTGAAAAGATGAGGAGGTTTCATTCCGGGTCCAGTTGCAATGGCAGATGGAACAATCTCTTTGTCCTTAACATTGAGTCTCATGGATGATTAAAATTCCAAACCTTTTTTTCTCAGCTCAAACGCACTTTTTTGAGGTCTGATCCTTTGTTCAACAATAGATCGGACCTAAAAAAAGTGAGCACAAAACCAAATTAGGGCAGCCGACAAAGTGAACCTCCCTCCCCCTTCCCCATTTTTATTCTGGTTCTTTATGTATTTTATCTCTCTTTGGGTGATTCATTCAGGTAAAAGGTTGAATTTGCCCTCCTAGGCTCCTTCATATCATCCATGTTCATGTAGTAATTAATTATTTATTCAATAGTCCCTTCTTACTCTTAACACTCATTGCCAATGACACTTTGTCTAGGAATTATTTGGCCGTAGTTGGATACGTCTTTCTCAATACATTGGATCAAAAACATCGAGTCAGATAAAAGCTTACATCTTGAGCATGGAGCAAAACACCGGTCATAACACAGCGACAGTGATGAATCCCACCTCAAGTTACATCGACTTTACAGAGCTCGGTGAAACTGAGATTATAAATGAAATGCAGATTCCAGCATCCATGGAAGAGGTATTATACTCTCTTAATTTATTCATATCTTGTATTTCTCTGTTGGTCAGCAACTAATCTTCTTATGTACAAGAGTTACTAAAATCAGTCAAATGTGGCAGATCTTATTTAAATGCTTGTTAGACAACATAGTACGTTCTTACTGACTATAGTGCCGATGATGTCAAAATTGAGGTATTGAAACAACTGCCTAGAAGAATGTTTTGAAAACTATCAAGTGCATAAAATATGCAGAAATGTCAGATGAAATCAAAGCCATGATGGTTTGAAATTTAGCATAGGAAAAATTGTTAGAGGGTTTTGAGGAAGAACAATTTACAGTTTTTGTCGGCCCTGTGCTAGCTTTATAAAATTTTCAGATCAAAATTCAACTTTACACAGTTGATTGGATTAAGAATTATTTAAAAAAACCTCCAACCTAATTCTCTGTTATAGGAAAAGCGTTCTTTGTTGAAAATCCAGATTTTAATTTATTGACTAAGATGATAAAAATTACACTCTAAAAAGTATACCTCCGTTCACCAAGGTCCCTTTTCTTACATACCGTAAAAAATCATCGTTTCTTAGGCAAAGGAATGTAACCTCATTCAAAGGTTTCAGTATTGACCAAGTAAAAACATTCTATTTTTACGAGAATATAATGCAATTTCTGCATGAAACTTTCCCGATTGGTGAAATCGGTGAAATTTTCAGTCAATTCCTTATTGCAAAATGTAATCCAATTATCTCTCTATTTTTATTTTTTCTACAGAGGACCAAATAACTTATTGAAATTTTTTGTACATTTCCCCTGGCTCAGAATACACTTACAAAATTTTTAGTCAGAATACTGATTACTTCTCCGTCGAAAAAATAAAACTTGAAAGAAAATTAGGCAACATCTGATGTAGTTAGGCTGTTGCTGTTTTTATTTATCGTACATATTAGTAGCTCAATTCTCCTCGGAAATTATCTTATTGCATTTGCTTACAGGTCATTACTGCCGTTAGCACGGGACAACCAACAATTCCATCCGTCTCCAATCGCTGTGGACAGCGCCAAAGATTTAACTCAACCTCTTCAAGTGATTCTGAAAGCAGAAATAGTTCACCGAATTTAAGGATTGATTTGTAAGCATTTTCGATTGTATATTCTGCGAAAAAATTGTGTTGCATCATCCCTACATGAAGACCATTTTTAAGTTTTCAACACATATTTTTGCAAAACTTCTTGAACTTAAAGCCTCACACAGGGTGTGCAAAAATTATGGGTACTTGTTAAAATCAGGATGGTAGAATAGTGCAAGGTACACACTAATTTGCAAGGAAATCAAGGCTAAAAATTTTTAATTAGGGTCCAAAATGTGAATTCTAATGAACCAATGCAAGACAAAAGGGGAGAATGTACAGCTCAAGCAGATTCAATGGAATTGGTACTAGCTGGGGCACACCGAGAGATTTATATCTCTGAACTCAAAACACTATGGCATGTAATGTGTTCAACTAAAATATTGAGTCCTCACCCTCGAAGAGTTTTGCTCAAAATCACTTAGGTCTCTATTTTTAAAGAAAATTCGCATAACTATTTAATCTAAGACACTTCTCAATTATTCTTTTACAGAGTATGTTAATTTTTTTAAATTACAGGGAATTTGGTTCCAGTGTCAAAAACAAACCTCAAAGAAAGCGTTGTCGGACAACACTAAAGAGGAATAAATCGATTCCTGTTCGTAAACATCAGCGGCGGAAAACTCGTCAGAAATCACCAAACATAATTTTTATCAAGCCCAAAGAAGAAGTTTCTCAGTTTCATATCAAAATAGCTGAATCAGGCCACAATAAAAATAAAGTCATCTTACCCAGTGGAGAGGAAGTGGTAAGTTCTCCTCTTACCTGTGTACATGAATCCGTCCAATTGTTTCTAGATAAAATCGATGACTAAATTTAAAAAATATGTATTTCAATTGCAACGTTTCAAAATCACTGCTTGTGTTTTAATGTTAAAACGTAAAACCAACCAAAATATCTCCTTGAATTTTTTTGTGAATAAGTTTTAACAAGTGAAGAAAATCCGCCGAAAATTTTAAGAAATACCACCTGCTCGTTTGCTTTAAGAAAATGAAACATGATCAGAGATTCGCAACATTAAATTGGAGCTACACATTCTTCAATTTTTCGTCAACGTTTTTGGAGACCAGACATCCATCAGGGTATCATCTTTTTACAAAGTGGAGGATATGTTAAGTTGTTGTAATACAGGTATGCGTAATATAGTTTTATGCAGGAAAGAATTCTGAGCAATTGAGAAATTATTTTATTTACACCAAGATTTTAGCATTTAACATAAAAAACTGCGAATAAATTTGAAAAGAGGCCATGTATCTCCATTCTAATATCTACCCTCTCTTCAGCACCAGTATTCATTAAGATATCTAGTTTTGCTCTGACTTTACTCATTACAATCACATACAACATGCATAAAACATTCAGTCTCACATTAAAAAATTGGACATGGCCCCTTTTCGAGATAATAGATTTAAATGTTTAATGGCTCTTCGCCAATTAATAATCGTAATTGAAAATCTTATCTTATTTTTTTATTTTGCTAAAGTAAGTGATCACTTTTAGTCTGTGTGATATAATTAAATCTGAAAAATAGATAGGACTTTGCGTTTGCTGTAATTTTTCTATCCCTTAAAAGTCAGAAAAAGTATTTCAAATTTTTCCTATCTCTCCAGAGCCTTTCGTGCAAGGAAGCACTAATTAACAAGAACCTTCAGTGGTTCGTTGTGTAGGTAGCCATGCAGGAATTGCCCATAAAGCATTTGCCATCAAGTTCCAGGTTATCAAAAAACAGCAGAATGTAAGGAATAATAGCTTCTAGGATCACCTTAACATGTTCTTTGTCAATATACTTCCATGTTATTGTTCCTGTTGGGCCAGAAAAACGCCCCAAAAAACAGCAAAATGTGAATGCTTTAAACCACACTTATCTCTAATTGCCGTTACACCAGCAATTCCTCTTGATATCTCATGCAATTAGTTAGTAGAGAACCTGCAGAAAGCACAGCAGGGTAATGTACCAATCGCTGATGATTGTGACCGTTTTAGCCTGATGTGATTAATAAAAAAGTGGTCATTATGACTGGCCAAGCAGTAAATATATTAATTAAAATACTTTGTTTTAGAAGTGCAAAAGTAGGTATGTAGTATTTTAAATCACCAACTGAATTTTCGAAATTTATGTTGACAGGTAAAGATTAAAAATGAATCGCCCTCAGATAACAGTGATGTCGATATAGATATCGAGGATACTTCAGATTCCGAGGTAAAGCCTATCGTGAAAGTGGAATTTGAAGAAAATGATAGTATAACCAATGCAAGCAATGCTCCGGACATTAAAAAAACTTCTATCGACTCGAAACTATCGTCACCAATCCAGGTCAGGATGAACAACCTTCGAGAGAAAATTTGCGCCATTCATGAATTGCCTCCGCCAAGCTGTGAAAGGAAACTAAGCGAAGAGGGACATGTAACGGAAGATGAGAAGAAGTTCCATCCAGAGTTTTTTGAGAAAAATGACCCAATTCTAATGAGCAGATATCTGAAGGTAATCCTTTCATCTATAGAAATGGTGTATTCGATGTGACTATAAACATTTTTGCAAATGAATGATCTTTTTTTGTCATTGGATCTAGGCACTTTGACAGTGAAACAACAAGACCATGTATCTCAGTTTGCAACATCGCAGACTACCTGTCGTACTTTATTTTCAAATGGGAAACTGATCAATATCAATTTGTAAAAACCTTAGTGATTTTTCCTCTCTATGCTGAAAAAACATAATTAAAAATTGAAGGAATGACATAGATTTGTTCTCCTTCAAAAAAATTTATTTTTTTGAAGCAATAAATATAAACTGCAATATAATACTTTCATTTTAATGGGAGTGGAGATTTTCAAACAGCACAAACTAGATACGTTGTCTTGTAGTTCACTGTTTAAATGAATCATGATTAAATTAATGTCTCAATTTCAGCCTCAATTCTAATACTTTTTTGAGCATCAGAGTTGATTATTGAAAAAATTTGCAGCACGATCAAGTTGCTTGTGAAATAAGATCGAAAATTACTAATTACATAGAAACTTTCTTACATGCAATAACTTCACTGTTTTAACATTCTACGCTGGCGATTGCTTTAAGCAGTATTGCTGTGATTAATCCTGAACTAAACTTCTTACAAATGCCTTCTGCTTTTAGAAGGTAAGGAATAAAAGTACAAAACACTGAAATTGCTCTCCCTTCTAAAATAACTTTTTTGTTTTCAGTAGACGAAAATATTGTCTCTTTCAATTCTTTCTTCCTCCCTCTCTTTTTTCAGATCCGAAACCACATATACAAGGCGTGGTTGGCAAATAAACCAAATTACGTGTACAAATCAGCAATTCGAGCTGGACTGAAAGGCGATGTAAATTTAATCAGCCGTGTTCACACTTATTTGGAGCAGTGTGGATACATCAACTTTGGATGTGGTAAGATGTCAAAGGTTTCAAATAATCATGAATGTTACTGTCTATTGTATGAGAGATCTCATTACTAAAAATCTAAAAATTGAGATTTTTTAGTACCACCTTGAGGAGCGGTTTTTCTAAAATGTATGCTGTTAAAAGCTGCTTTACGAAACTATAGTTGTGAGAATTTAAAGTTTTCTGTTCAAGCGCTCAAGAAAAAGCTCTTTATAATTAAAGGATTACTCAGAAAAAGTCAGTCAGTAGCCAGTCTCACTAAAACAATCCAGTAAGAACAAATTTTTTGTATTTTTTCACTTCTTTAGATTTGAGTCTAATTCAGCTAAGAAAAGTGACTTTTTTTCTGATAGAAGACTAAAGTAATGTGTCACACCACACCTACAACTGAAAGATGCAACATGTCTCTGTCATAATGGTAAAATTGATAGGTCTATTATATAAGTGTTAATCTCACTAACTTCATGAATTCATAACTATTTCTCCTACGTTAGGGTGTCCAAAAATGTTATTTCATGTAGCAATACTTTTCATTTTTCAGGGCAATGTCACTACAACCAACGGAGAGATTTGATTAATGTTAAAATAGAGCCAGACGAGTCGGATGACCCACTTTCATCACCCAGGGGTAAATCAGACAGTGCACTCTCACCTATCCGAAGGAAAACATCAAGAAATTGCAGTAGAATATCTTCTTACTCCACTATGGTAATCATCCATGTTTTTCCTTTTTTTTTCGAAATTTTAAAGGGTGGAGGTGTTAAGCAAAATCCAAAGATGGAAAAACAAAATTTTGGAATCAATTATCAGCCTGCTGTCATTTTAGAGGTTTTGAATGTCTTAATACCTAGAGGAGAGATAAGTAATTATTCAAGTGGGAGAGCAAGGGATGAAAAGAAAATACTGAAGCAAGGAACCGAGATACCAGAAGGACGAGAATTGCATATGTGCCAGACATAGGTCTTGATTGAAAAAGACCAAGAGAGTTGGGAAAACCCATGCTTATATGGACTAAATTTTGCATTTAGAAACTACACTTTCTGACTCACCTATTAAAACACTTATGCATCCAGGAAATTTAATGGTACATACGTTGTTTCTAAACTGAGCCAGAAATTTTAGCTCCAAATCGCAAAATTTAGTCCATATAGACTACAAATTATGAGATAGAAACAACAAGTGTACGCATAATTGACCGGCTACAATCGATGGAGCCATCAGCTACAAGTCTAGTCCTTAGACAAATTGACTTTGAAAGTACCAGACCTCATATCTTGTTTGCGGTTTTTAAAAATTTCTGCTTTCATTTTATTTTATTTTTTGAAGGAGAATAACATCAATATCATTCCTTGAAGTTTTCACAGAGTTTTTTTTGCCGAGAGAAGAAAAATTATGGAAGTTTCTGAGAACTGACGTTGAGTAGTTTTCCATTTTAAAAATGGACAAAGACAGGAAGTCTGCATCGTTGCAAACTAAGGTATTTGGTGTGATAGGTTCACCATCGAAATTTTTTGATATGCTGAAAGATATGAGAAAATTTGTCTTGATCCAGTCACATTCAGCTCCAGCACATCAATGGACATCTTGTCGACAGCCCCAATGCAGTTTAGCTTTTGAAAAATACTTAAACTTGTTTTGTATATTTTCCATTATACAGCTGGAACCACTACCAAAATTTGAGGTTATTGACGAAGGTGGATGCACAATACAGCACATGAACTCCAACGAAACTGTCATTTCCTGTTTTGGAAGTGGAAATCTGCCGGAAGTAGAAAGTACCGACAAATCGATTGTCGAACTTATCTCCTGCAAACAATATGCAGAAACTCATGCTGTAAGTTTCCTCAGGTTTTATTCAGGTGGTTTAACTGCAAAACTACACAGAAAGAAAGAATTGTAATCCACTGCTAGGGTTAAGCAGTTTCTCATTCAAAATTACGTTGACGCAACCCACCCAAAATAATTCCCTTCACTTTAAAAAAATTCCATCTCCTGCGTAAAGCACCAAAAAACATTCACCAGCAGCAAGTTAGCATGGAAACATGAGGATAAGTTTCTGGAGGAAGGACAAGTTTCTATCCATACCAAATAACTGATTTGCAGAATTAAGAGAAATTTCTTAGAATGCCCTACTACATGCAAACTGTTCAATTGAAAAAAAAAAATCCAATCAAAAGGAAAGGAATTTAGAAATGAATGATTCTGATCAGTATGTTTATTTATTCATTTGAACAAAGTATCTCTTTTTTCAAGAGAATTTATCATTATTACCATCGGACCATTAGACAGGATAAGAAATCCGTTAAAACCCGGGCATATACAAATTGGCTTAACCTAATAGGTGGATTTTTCACTTATAGACAAACATTGAAAATTTTTACTGTGTTATAGGTGCAATTTTGATGAGAAAACTTGTATTACAACGCTTGATTCAGTCCATGCTTTTCTAACACAGTGGTCTATTAAACTATACTGGATTGATTGCAAAAATTCACACCAAATAAGTGTCTACACTTTCCAACTGCAACAGAAGATCTGCCACCTTGATTCATGCATTTACTTTCAATGCAAAACTGATGGCATACGATTTTCTGTCGCAGTCTGAAAGTGCAAAAAACTTTTTTAGCAAGGATTCGATTTTTTTTACATAATTTATTTTTCTTTATTGTAGGTGCCAATCAATGTCAAAATGAGTCTTGAGTCATTGCTTCTGATTGATATTCACTCACACTCAAGTAAAGAGAGAGAGGTCATTGGTCTGCTTGGAGGGCGCTATGATGCAAACTCATCAACACTATTTATCGTCAGTGCTTCAGCCTGCAAGACCGACAGTAGCTCTAATGTCCACTGTGACATGTGTCCTGGTGAATAAATGTTTTTGAACCTTACCTTCACATTCAAATGTTTAGCCTTTCATAACCCTGTCATTCAATTTACTTCTGTGTAGAAGTTTTGCCTTCTTTTTCTTTGAAAAAGGAGATTTCTTAAGTGTACAGGAACTTGGTCTATCCATCATGCAATTGCTTTTTCATTTTTCTTCGCCACCCACTTGAAGGAATGTATCTTCTCTGCACTGTTTTAATTTTTCAATGAACATTTATTTCTTCATGAGAGAATTGTCTCATGAATTAGTCTGAAAATTTTTGAGTCCATTCTCTTGCGGGTAAAAAAAAATCGCTAGATATTTCTTGAAAATTCATGGAACAGCTTTCCCATGAACAGATAAAATGTAAGTAAGAAATACCAAAACAGTGCAATTGAGTCAGAGACAGCAATTTATGCAGTTGAGGCGTGAAGTGTAGTAACAGGGAACTTTCAATTTTCAAGACTTTTTTAAGGCCATTCAAACTGTTTACTCTTTCTTGAAAGTATACCTTCTTGAAAAATTTTCTGGAAGCCCTACAGAGATCTTTGATTATAGTAAATACAACTGCATTAAAAGTCTTTGATACGTTCTCTGTCATTATCCCAGAAATATATACTGTAAGGGGAGAAACAAATACTTTTTGTACTCTTTTATAATGTTTGATTCTTGGATTTTTCAGTATCTCAATCGGATTGTAGTGAGAGAATCTATGCAATGGGGCAAGAGATCGTTGGTTGGTATCATTCTCATCCCACGTTTTTGCCTGACCCATCACATCAGGATATTGAAACACAACAAGGGCTTCAGTCATGGTTCTGGGGTTCAGCTGGTCTTCCATTTGTCGGTTTCATTTTATCACCATTTTTGAAGGAATCGCAGCATCAGGCCTCCATGCTAAGGTTTGTAATTAGGATTTTGGATTGAATATGTGTCTCATACTTCATAATCGCTCCCATCTTTTTACTTTACAGAGTATATTACTCGACATCTTTTTCTGATATGTATTTTCAGACAATATTCTCAACAAGGTCAAAATCACCCCGAAAAATTGGGACAGGAAATATGCCATGCCAACGAGATAAACCAAGATATGTTGTAATCCCACCATCAATAATGATGGCTTAGGTCCGAAAATGTGAATGCTCGATTGCAATTTTGCAATATTTGCTCATATTCTATGTTTTTTGAAGGAGAATTAAGCGATAGTTCATCTTCGAAATTTTGGTTAAATTTTTTTCACATTAAAAAATATTCATGTAACATTTCAAAAACGTTCTTACTCTCAGAAATAAAGATAACAAATTAGAAAATTTTAAATGCTGCAATGGAGGTATGCATTTTTGGACTTAAGCCATCAATATGTTAATTTTATACCGATGCTATTTCTAAATGTGTAAGCAACTGCTTTGATGAATAATTTCAGGTGTTTGACGGTGGAGAAAAGTAAAGATGGTGAAATCACCCCTTTTGAACTGAATGTAGAGCTCTATTGTGACTTGACCGTTGATATATGCTTTGCGCTATCGGAGCAACTCAAATTAATGCTGCTTAACATGCAAAACAACGCATCTTTCTCCAACCCTCTAAACCATCAGGTACATTTACTGCAATTTAATCAAAATAGTAATTTTTTTATTCTTATACAAATGCACAGTTAGCTTTTTTTTCACGCCTGTATGTGTATGTCTGTATAGGGTATTCAAGTTTTAAATAGCCTTAGGGGGCATTATCTGTGAATCCAAAGAAGATATTTTTCTAGTTCCATATGTTTCCAAAAAACTCTTTTGAGTGGAGTAACAGTCCTGTCCCTCGTTGCTCAGAAAAAAAGAAAAAAATTGTTTTTCTTTTGAGGTAATGGTGAAAGTTTTGGACTAAGTCTCAAGAAAAGTTTTAGCCCCGAGCATTTTCTTCACCTTAATTCTTTGCACCAAGAGTCCATAGCTCATCTCAGAAAATGAATAAATATTACTAGTGAGAGATTACAGCCTCCATTATTAAGAAGAACAAAGAAGAAATCTGTAAAGATGAGATTTATTAATTCTCAATTACATTTTTGTTTCAGTGCATGGAAAGTGTTCTTTACCACATAAAAAGTATCGAGCCAGCTGTGCCGGAAGAATTTGTTGAACAGATATCGAAGAGTGTACTTCAAACATTATGTACTCTAGACCAAAAATAAAATTTAGATAATTCAGTTTTGATATTTTTTTAAGTATTTCGCTGGTTTCGATTAACCACTAATGATGCCTATTTTCAAGAATTTATATTTTAGACTTAAAATAAAATCTAGATAATTCAGTAAGCAATATTACATACGTTTTTTAATTACTCTCTGAAGTAGCTACATATCTCCCTGGCTTCAATACTTTTAACTCAAAAGTTCACGCTAAGAAAAAAATTGAAGTCAGTAAAGTACTAAAACACTTTTGCCGGTCAATTTTTCTCTCTGCTGAGGGAAATGACTTAAATTAGAAATTGACTTGAATTAAAATTTTAGCTGTTAAGGCAAAAGTTTCCTTCAATAATCAAAGTAATCCAGAATATTCGAATGATACAAACATCTATGCTAATGAGCTCATTTCGTTACTCTTTCGAGTAAAGGGCGTATCTTCATTTCCACATGAAATGTAATTGCGCACTTACATCAGAGGAGCAATGATTTTGAGCTCATCATTCATGGAACATTATTAAATAAATGAAAATTATGCTGTAAAGAGCTTTTCAATCCATCTTTGATAATTACTTGCATCACAAATAATTACTATGTATAAATTAAGAATAAGAAAGGGTCATGATTTTACCGTATCTGCCAAAAGAAAACTGATTGAGTAGTGGTAAAAAAAATAAAAAACAGCTAGGTATTCCGCTAGTTGATCCAAAAAAAAGTATTCAGCTAAACTTCTGCTGGTCAGGGAAACTTGAAGAGAGTGAGTGATGTAATTTCAATAATGTAGATAGTTGTAATCAATTTGAAACGATACCTATTTTCATTGAAAGAAATATGTAATTAAAAAAGTTTTCTGTATCCAAGTCCAGGTGTCAGCTTATTTTGTACATATAAGAGCGTCTTTCATAATCATCACTTAAATTCTTGGAGTAGATATGCAATAAAAATCACTTCAATAAAAAACACATTCAGCACATAATGCTATTCTGTAACTTCTTAAGCTTGGGAGTGAAGTTTTGATCAAAGCTAGTGGTATAAAAAGTTTTCTCCTAACTTTTCTAGAGGAAAATTTGCTCCAGTTGTAGTGATACGATTTTGAAGCTTCATTCAAGCAAACAAGCTCATAAAAATACATCTTTTTCATGTTGTTAAGGAGCACAATCTACCCAGTTCAATTTCAATGTCTGTTTGAAAGTTTCCCTCCCTTTTTTAGGTTGTAGGGATATCAAAAAAACCGGAAGGTTGGATGACGAATGCAGAAATAATTCTGGACAGGATAATTTTGAAAATGTTCAATTACAGAACACATCAAAATTGTTTACAGCAGCCTAATGATTGAGAATTTGATTACCTACTCACTCAGAAGCGAAAAATCTCTAGAGGCAGTCTTGAAAAAACGACTCATTGAAACACAAGATAATATAATTATAATCCATAGTGACAAAAGAGTTTTTTCTTTACTTTCTGCTCAATTCCTGTACCCATTGAACATCACCATGAAAGAGACTCTTTCATGATATCACTCATACACACAAGCTTTGTTTTTATTATTATTATATTTTGCAATACATCAGGTCAGGTGGTTCAGGTGTATTACCACTTATGAATACGTACAATTGCAATATGAAGGTAAATGTCCTCACTCCAGACGTGAAATGAAATAACAAATATTTCTTTGAATAAATCAGAAATTTTGACAGAATACATGAAAAAAAGTGCGTATTTCAAAAAATAATGAAAAGGTCACATCTGATTGGCTGAAACGCGCGGCGGGAAATCTGCGAAGGCAGTGAAAATTCATGAGGCATTTTTCTGCAGAATGTGAGTTGTGTGACCTCTTCTGAAATGAATTGTTAATAGTCAGCACTAACTCAGCTTCGTGTTTTCAGGACCTTGTGAAAATTAGTGAAATATTTCATAGAATTTCAATTTTTCCCGCCTTTCAGTCAACGAGATTTCCACCAATCGCGTACTGATACAAATTCCCGGTAGGTAGCCAATCAGAGACAACTTTTTCCCCGTCGCCGTTTGTTTTCGTTATTTGACCTTCCTAACCTAAAAATTCTGTTGATGTGATATGTGATGCATCAAGCCGACTCCGAGAAACGAATAAATAATTTTTAAGTTTTAATTTTTTAACTTTAGACACAGGACGCCACAATGACAGAGGTTTGTGCTTATGAATATTTCCATTCCGTTTCGTTTGATTATTCAACTTTTAGTAAATTTTGTAAATTCTTCACACCATACAAAGAATTGACTTAGTGCTCAGCTGGTAGTAATGAGTTATCCTCATTTTCCAGCAGTTTTACCAATTCGAAGTAGCTTCTGTCATTTTTGAATGAATCTGCACTCACAATAAAAGTCAAGCAGTTGGGTATCCCTGCGGCCCGATTATTGAAACTATGTCAGCCTGACACGACAAGACATAGCCCTATCTCAACCATGCAATATATCGCAATTCGATGTCTTATCGGGCTGGTTTAAATTTCAGTAATCGGCCTGCTGGCATAAATTAAGCGTTGATATGGTTCATTATTACATTGGCTCAGCACAACATTGGATGCTTTTTTCCAACAAATTTTAAAGCGTTTTTGCTGTTACCGCCAGAGCCTTATTCAACTTTGGGCCTCTTATGGTGTGGTGGTTGTACCTCATGCTCTATATCTAGGAGGTCTCAGGTTGGAAAAAGTTCCGTACTCGGGCTTATTTTCATACCCGCAAACGGTAACCCCATACAGTTCCGTACTCGGGCTTCTCCCTTTCAAGACTCATAGAAAAACACTAGATGGACCGATACACACTCATGACGTAAACAAATGGAGGGAAAAGATGGTACTTGATGAGTGGTGGAACAGATGGATTGTATCAGCCGGGCTTTTCGTAGATGATTCTCGTGTAGCATTGAGTGCTACGAGTTACGGCGGAAGGGGGAGTGGATTTCAAAAAAGCTGCGCAATGACTGACCTGTGTGGATTGGTCTTGAGTATACCTAACCTAACCTTACCTAACCTTACCTAACCTAACCTAACCTACCCTAACCTTACCTAACCTAACCTTACCTAACCTAACCTTACCTATCCTAACCCTACCTAACCTAACCTTACCTACCCTAACCCTACCTACCCTAACCCTACCTAACCTAACCTTACCTAACCTAACCTAACGTTACCTATACCCTAACCTTATGTCAATCTACCTTTATAGAGGAAGTGTGGTCATTCGTATCTTTTTACTACAGAAAAACTACATCGTGTCAACATATTTTCACGCGACAAATGAAAAACCGGCACAAAAATGGCCACACTCTGTCTATAAAGCATACTCTGTCTATAAAGGTACTCTATGTAAATCCAACTTCGTTTAAATAAAGAAGCCCGAGTACGGAACTGTGTAGGGGGTACCGTTTGCGGGTATGAAAATAAGCCCGAGTACGGAACTACACCCCTCAGGTTTGATTCCGTGATTAATGACCTGAGAATGATAGTCTGAAATAATGGTTGCCTTAGGCTGGTTTTGCTGTAGAAACTGAGGGGGAGAGGACTTTAAATAAAAGTGCAGGATCATCTCATACGTAGCATTCGAAGTAGTCAAAGAAACCTCTATAAGCAGTTGCAGTCAGTTAATCATGCAGGGCTGCAAAAACTTCTTGACCATATGACTGGCTGGTCCCATGTAAAAATGGAGAGGCTACTGTCTCGGAAGACTTTTGAAATAGGGAGGCTAGCTCAAGTTAACTTGGAATTTTTCGCATATCACAGAATCGTGATTAAACTCTCAACATACTTAATCTGTAACTGTCATGAAGGACTGTTGCTAGTTAATAGGTCTGATTCCATGATCAGGACAGGAGCTTAAATTGGATAAGATCCATACTTATTGCTAATATATGTAGCATTTACAGCTAGAGAATGAACCTGTGACAAACTTTTATGTATTATCTAGTAACGGTTATAAATACTAAGTCTTAAATATATTTTGAAGTTTGCCCCTGTTTCAAGAATTTTTTTAGATTTTACAGCTATTGTATCTTTGCTCTAAAAAATTAGACTAACTGACTTTATTTCTGTTGCAGGAAGTTCAAAAACACTCTGTCCATACCTTAGTTTTTCGCTCCTTGAAGAGGACACATGATATGTTCGTTTCCAATCAAAGTAACCTTCCCCCTATAGATGAGCTAGCGTAAGTAATAGTTGTGAAGTACACTATATATTTTCATATATTTATTTGTTTATTTATTTTTTCTTTGAAAATTATGAAGCCTTGAGAGCAGCAGAAAATTGAAAATTTCAAAAACTCTGCCTTATTTTGTATAATGTTAAAAAAGCAAATTTCCCTAGATTTGAAATTTGTCTGATTAATATTGATCCCTATAATATTAATAAATGATGGCCTTGATTGGCTTGATGGTGTTCCAAAAGCAATTTGAACTCCTTTTATGTCTGGAAAAACGATTATTATTCTCTTTTAAAACTAATGATGGAAACAAAAATGAAAATGTTTAGTTACAGGAGGTTGTTGCAAAGAGATTTCCTGGTGCTGTATAAGATAAAGGCTCCTAGTAGGGCAGATCAAATTGACCAAAAAAATGTGTGGTTACCAACTTTCAAGTCTTTTTCACTTTTGTCCCTAAAGAAAAAAGTGAGTTCCTTGTTTGATTTTAATAAATTTACAGCTTCAAAGTGCAATATTCTTGACGATTACATATTTTCAGCCTACTATTACTTCTGTTTTTATTGACGAGGCCTGTAAGTATTTCCACTTCTGATTTAACAATGGTTTTACAAATATGTTTATTTTTCAAAGTATCCTAGTTTTTACGTTAACTTTCTTGGTTTTCAGTGAAAGCATCAAAAAGAAAATAAAAACACGAGACTGTTATGGTGCTGTACGAGAAATTGTTGAGAAGAATAAAGCCCAAAAAATGTTGCAGAGTGCCAAACAGTTAGAGCTGCAGGAATCTGAGCGAGGTAAGGCTTTTTTCTCCACTCCAAGTAATTTTCCTTTTTTCTTTTAGGAGTGACGATCCACAAGAAAAGAGATCTTTAAGTGTTGAAACTTTTTTAGGAGAGCAACTTTGTTCAGGGTGTGAAGAAAAAACGTGTTTCGAGCTTTCAATGAAAAATGCTGTCTAAGTACTATCAAAAAGAATTAATCGCAAATATTATATTTATATTCAACAGTAGCATAAAATCTTCAATAATTGCTTTTAAAACTATGTTTTTTGAACTGTAGGTGCCAAACTTGTTTGGTTAATTCAAGTTCACATTTACATCAATTTAATCTTGTGCTTGCATGAAAGATAGACCTTCCGCAAAAAGTTTGGTCGAAGTAAATCTTAATCGAAGAAAAATTTTACCCATAAGACAGGGTGTCCTATGGGTGAGATTTTTCTTTGGTACCCGCATAACATGTGAAGCAAAACAGCAAATTTGAATAATTCTGCCCTTGAGTCTCAGTTAATTTTTTTATTATTATTATTTTTATCATAACAAAATATAAATAGTTAAACTGTGTGAAATTTCTCCACCAAGTGTTGACTTTTTTCCAAAAGAAAAAGTTAAAGTCAATGGTGAATATTATATGGTACAATGAATGCTTGACTTTTAATTTGCTTGTCTCAAGCTTTTTAATTGTACACTGGCCACAAAAGATCCACAGATTATTAGCTTTTAAATAATCTGCACCCATAGCAATCTGTGAACTGCAGCAAACATGAGGTACAGCTAGCAATTCAAGGAAGTATTAAATGAAGATTGTCTTTTCCTGAGAAACTCGGAAAATGTATGCAGAGTTGTTTTGGAAAAATAAGAAATTTCTTGCAAACATTTTGAGGGAATGTGAAATCATTACAACAATTTAGACTTTAGTAATTTCAAATAATTTGTAAAGATTAAGTGCTTGATTGTGGCAAGGGGCGATTGTCTTGGAAGTTCCCTGACCCCTGATTACGATAAGTCATTCAAAAACTGTTAGCTTCTTGATTCATCAACTCGAATGGATTCATGTGAGATTTAAACTGCCAAGTTTCACCCTTGTTACATGTTTGTCTTTATAATATCATTGCAGATGACGATTTACAATCAAATCATGAAGGAGAAATGGCAGTTGTGCCGGTAGCTCAAAATCAAGCCCTTGTTCCGAAACAGCCGCCGGCCATGCCTAAACCCAAGTGGCATCCCCCTTGGAAATTGTACCGTGTCATCTCAGGTCATTTGGGTTGGGTCAGGAGTGTCGCTGTTGAGCCTGGCAATGAATGGTTTGCCACTGGCTCTGCAGATCGAGTTATTAAGGTAATTTATCAAAAATTTTGATTTTTAAAAGAAGGTCCCTCAATATTTTCAAGATTACCTCTCGTTTTCAAAAAAGGGTTTTTGTAATGTTATCCATTCATCATTGAGGCTAGTAAAAATCATTTGTATTGGTTTTGAATCATATTACCCTCAACCTCAGGGTTTCCCAGTTTCAGTGAACATACCTGCTCTTGAATGTCCTAGAGAAGAATGTCGCATGAGTACCGGACATCACCAAATTACCTCTGATTTTAAAAGAATTTTCCAAACTTGCGAATTCTTCTCTCTGAATATTTAGAGAATTCATTTGCAATTCAATCTAGTGGTGTGTACTGCAAATTTGATGGAAAAATATTTGCACCTTTTCTCATGAATAAATATTTTATCAGGGCAAATTTGAAAACATTCACAAGCTTATATAGTATTTTTCTTGCTGTTTCACTCCTGACCTCATTGCTGGTGCCATAAATAAACATAGCCAATCTGAAAGAGTGGCGCAGTTTGTGGGTTTAGGTAATTCACATGGTTAAATTATTAGATAGTGAGGGCATATTACCTCCCTAATGATTGAGAAATTAAAATAGATTTTTACGTAAGTTCAAGATACTAATTGGTCATCCTGTCAAAGTTAGCGTCAATGGAGGTGATCAAACTACTGAACTATCCAATAATGGATATCAGTCTAGTCTCCCTTTAAGTTCTTACAAATGTACTTGTCAGCAACCAGTCCACAAGATTGAAGTGAAGTACTAAAAACTAGTCCTCATATTTTGGCTTTTACAACATCTTGCTCCTGAGAATTAATTTTGTTCCGTTTCTTTCTGGCAGATATGGGAGTTGGCGAGTGGGCGATTAAAAGTATCTCTCACAGGACATATTAGCAGCGTCAGAGGACTGGCTGTAAGCGCCAAGCATCCGTACCTGTTTAGTTGTGGTGAAGATCGTCAAGTCAAATGCTGGGACCTGGAGTACAACAAGGTAACTACAACTCTTAAACTTTGAGGGTAACTAAGTAATTCTTAGCCCATGGAGGAAGTGAAAGATACTGTCAGACAATAGGCTGTACAAGTGGCAGACATTTGTGGAGGGAGCAGGTGTAGAGACTCATTCATTCTGCAAAAGAGTATTTTGTTCGGAGTTTGCAGTGTTATATGAACCTTAGTCTCTGCTTATAGTTGTGCCATATTTTCATAATTAAACTTTTTTGTTATATACAGGATGATGAGATAAGGCAATGCGACTATCAAATGTCACCATTTCAATGTAAATTGGACTAGATTTAACAGAATCGCACCAAGTTGTATTTTGAGAGTGATTTTGAATTCAAATATTCATACATTTTCTCCTGTTGAATACTCAAGTTGGGTATATTTACACATATTTTGAACGTGAATATAGTTATTTAAGTTACTCCTTGACATTAAGTCTTACGGAGGACTAAAACTTTGTATCCCCTTTTCTTGGTTCAATCTTGATGCGACTTGGTATGTTTCTTTATAACTTAGATTAATGCTTCCCCATTTTTCTTTGCTTTAACTAAATTTTTATGCATGCAAGAGGTGAGTATAAACAGTGTGTTGTTACATTTTTATTTCTCTGAAAATTTTTCAAGAAAAAAAGAGGAAGGAGAAGAGGATAGTTTTTCCCCCTTAATGGCTGTAGGTGCCAACAAAAGTCATTCAAAGTTCCCATATTTTCATCTCCTGTAAAATGTTGACGCCCTGTCCTCCTGAAGCATTTATTTCTTAATTTTTGACTATTTTCTCATAGTTGTGATCGTTTTTTCAAATTGTTGAGAAAAAAAAAAATTTCATAACTTCTTCAAAAGATCCTGCAAACATTTGAAAGTAAAACAATTACAATGTTTACCCCCTCGTGTTCTTAGTTGAAAAGCAGCCCCGAGCTTAGTAATTGCTTTAGGGCACCTGAATTTTTTTGTTAACTCTTTGAGTATTTTTAAATAATCAAATGTACCTAATGTGAATACTTAAATGCTCCGACAACTTTAATTCGTGTTGTCTCGTTTTTTTTAGGTGATAAGGCACTATCACGGCCATCTGAGCGCAGTGTACACTCTGGCTCTTCACCCTACAATAGATGTTCTCATTACGGCAGGACGAGACTCAACAGCAAGGGTCTGGGATATGCGTACCAAAGCTAATGTACACACACTTGTTGGACACACCAATACAATTGCAAGCGTTATCACTCAAGCCGCAGAACCACAGGTGCGTAACAATTTACATGCACAGTTTTTTCAATGGAAAATTCGGAATTTGAGTTTCTGACAAAAAACCTTTCCCAATACCCCATAGAATGTTTCGTGAGTAGTTAAATTCATTTTTATATGAACTGTTGGCTTGAAGTTGCATTTTAATCAATTGATTTTAAGCCTCAAACATGGCAGATTAAAGTTTTTGATAGTTTTTACTCAAAATAACGCATTTTGAACTCCTAACTTCAAACCACTATTTCTTGGTTTTGTCGGACCTTTTTTGGTGTTAATTTTGCTAAAATGTCTACAAAAGGTGATTCCATCGCTATTTGTGTGACAGCAGTTTTACTTGAAACCACAATTTTATTTTTTTCTGAAGTAAGGCCTCACAGTGTTTCACAGAGGCACAGGGAGGATTATCCAAAGATCATTTTAGTATGCAAGACGTTGCCTTGATGAGAAAGGCGGTAAGAAATAAAGATATTGCAAGTGTAACACATTTTGAGAGTGGCCTAACCTAAGGTAATGTGGGAACTCGATGAAATTTTTGAATTAAAAAATCTAATTAAGTTAAATCTTGACGTTGTGAGTTCATGCGATAACTTCCGATCTTACATTTTCTATTTACTACTTGTTTTTCTCTTGGAAAAATACCAAAATTTGTTTTCATTCATTTATTTCCGTAAGGATGACAATTGCTATAATAAATGAGTGACCGTTATCAACTAAAACTAGTCTGCAATCCACCAATCTGCTAATTAAGTAGCTTGAGCTTCCTCATAAGACTGTGTGACGCAAACTCAGACTCCCCCTTTAGTAACTAACGTAATACTTGAACGACCCTGAAATATTGCCAATATCTCAATTTAGAGGTTTTTTTTTCCTCTAGGACTGAAGTTTGTCTCACTGTAAACAGTCACATATTATGTCGACATGAATTTGAAATTAATTGGGGGAAAATGTAAATTTCATTGTGCCATAAAATTTGGATGGAAGGCAGCTTTTTTCTTGCATTTATTTTACAAAACTGTCTGAAGAAAGTTGAGACTCATATCGTCTCATGCCATTCTAATTTGCATTTTGCTCTTTTTTTTATTCTCAGGTTATAACAGGATCTCATGATTGCACAATTCGTTTGTGGGACTTGGCAGCGGGAAAATCACGAGCAACTTTAACCAACCATAAGAAATCTGTTCGATCTGTAATTTTCCACCCTACACTGTGAGTTCTTTTAACCTCAATTTTGGTCAAAGTAATCTAAAAGTATCTCTAAGCTCTGAAGATGGACTTCAACTTGGTATTTTTAGCCGGAAGCTCATTTTACAGTTAAATAATTATTGCCTTGGCCACCGTTTAATGCAGTAATATATGGAAAAGTTGAATTTTTTCTTAGAGACAAAAGAAAATATGACCTGAAACCTAATGATTGAATTTGTAGCATAATAATAAGGACCTTGCAAGGCTCATTAAATTCTATTTCACAATCTTGCTTTTAATGTTGAGTTAGGGTTTTTTGAGTTCCAATTATATCGATGCTCATTGAAGGCTCAAAAACCCTCTAAAAATTCGTATTATTTTTCTGCTAACCTGTAAAATTTCCACATTTTTTCTCCTTTTTTTAGCTACATGTTTGCCAGTGCAAGTCCTGATAACATCAAACAGTGGAAGTGTCCGGATGGTAATTTTGTTCAGAATCTAGTCGGTCACAACGCAATTGTCAACTGTCTCGCTGTCAATCCAGAGGGTGTTCTAGTTTCTGGTGCCGATAATGGTACGATTCATTGTTGGGACTGGAGAACAGGCTATAACTTCCAGAGGCTCCAGGTAATCATCCATGCTCAAGCATTAACGATCGTTTATTGAAGATAAAGACCCTTGTTCATATTTCAAATATGTATCCTCCGTGGAGCAATGTCTGTCGAGTTGGATGAGAAATTGTATATTGAGTGGAAAATCTTTTTAGTATCCTATAGTATGAGTTGCTGGTAGTTCAATTCATTTTTGTGCAGATTAGAATGTCTGGTATTTTTGTATTGTTGACTATACCACTTAAAATTTTGAATACATAGCTTTTCTTCGAAATGTTTTCTGAACTGTAAACTTCAGACTGTTAGACGTCCTTTAAGTGTTTTTTGTCCAGAAAACTCTATTCTCTGGATATAATGACTCAATTTTAAGTTTCTGTCTACCACCGTTTCTTTTCTGTCAGAGAGTCACATTTAAAGACAAACTTTTCAATGTTCCTTATAATGACGCGCAGTTTTTTTCCAGTTCTTTCGATCTGCTTTCATTGAGGCTACTTATACTCGTAATGTTGTGACGGAATCAAAGGACTCCAATGATTATAGCATTGAAGTTACCAACCGGAGTTCATGAATCAGACAGGGCCTGACTGATGGAGATGGACCTGGCACTATGTTTGAACAAAATATTTTCTTCGTGGATGATGTTTTTCGTTAGAAGAAAATAATTTGAACGATGATTTTTGTTCTGTCAAGTTTTTAGCCTCTGTACTACTGTGAAAGTCTGAAACTTTTGAGGAGTCATTAGGAGAATTTGATAAACATAACTGATTTCATTCACTTATTTGAATTTTGATGGAAGAATTCCGCGTAATAAATTCAAACTGTGTACAAATTGTATCATTATCAAACTAATTTGCTTTTGTAATTTTTATGGATTTCATAGCCAATGCTTCTTTAATTTTAGGCTCCAGTTCAACCAGGCTCAATGGACAGTGAATCTGGTATTTTTGCGATGACATTTGATCAGAGTGGGAGTCGCCTCATAACTACAGAAGCCGACAAAACAATAAAAATTTATAAAGAAGATGATAACGCTGTAAGTGCACTGTCTGTTTTCCTAATTCTCATGTCTGTAAAAGCGCCGAGTTAGAAGAGGCTCAACAGAGTTTGTTTCATAGTCAAAATCATGTAGTGACTCAGCACAAGGTGTCAATTTGTTTAGAATGGTGAAGTTGTTTTTAATGAGAACACTGCGTCCATTGCCCACAATAGGTACAGATGGATTATGAGCATTTTTCTCTAAAAAGTCTCTAAAACCTCTAAAACAGTGAATGAAAACCATGATAATCATGGCAAAGAAAGTTTGAAATTCCGTCTGTAATATTCAGCTTGTAGTCTGCATCATATGTTTACAAATTTTCTGCGTCTGCAGGCTTTTTCTTCTTCATTGTCAGCAAACAGGTTTGCCCAGGGAGAGGTGCAAGAAAATTTGATATAAGTAGGCACACTAATATTTGGCAAACTGTTACGTATCATTGTTTGATGGTTATAATGAAAATAGGTTTCTACTAACCTCATCGTAAAACGTCTGCCGGAGTGGTCGTTTGGGTCTCAGTATTTTTTTAAAATTGAAATTTCTTGTGTCCAATGAGTTATTAATTGTTTTATGATTTACCGATGACACATTAGTAATTAACCAATACAAAAAGTAATCAATGTAGAATTTGAACTTGAGGTTATGTTTCATTACGTGAATACGAACCATTGAAATGTTGCTTAAGTACTTGAAAAAATGTCGAAGCCTCTAAATCAGTCTGTCCGTGGTACATACTTGTAAATTATTATCAGAGAGCAGAATGTAGTTGGTACACTCTCTAAAATAATTAGGAAAAAAATACCTGGATGCTTTTGAGTAGAGATCAATTTTTTAACTCTTGTTTTTATTTTTTCCGTTTCAGACTGAAGAATCTCATCCAGTTCAGTGGCGCCCTGATATTTTGAAAAGGAAGAAATTTTAATCTCCAGACTGTTTCCATACCCTGCAGAATATTTGTATTGTTTTGTAAAAATGAATCCTAAGTTTGTAAATATTTATGTTTTGACTATTTTTGTAAAGAGTTAGTCAATATATTCTGGCCACATTGGTCAAATTGTGATGATGTACTTGATCAGTAAATGGACTATTTTTAACTCTTTGTCTCTTTCATTTCTTTATTAAGTAGGGCAAAGGGCAGTAAGAACGGAAACACACCCTAATATCAAGCCTTTCCTCATCATTTGAGGGAGAAGGAGGGGGCGTTGGACTTTTTCTGGGCTGGTAGGTCATACAAACTTCTCTGAGGTACTTAGTACCATCAACGAAAATATTTGACAGAAAACAACACTAAAAAGAGAAAAGAAATGAAGAACCTCACAGTATTGACCAATTTCAGGCCTATCAAGAGTTGAGGCAACCATCCGATTTTGTGGGGTTTTTTTTCCGGTTTGATCTACTGTGTATCAATAAGTAATGAAAATATCAGAGGGTTTCATGTGAAAAATGAAAATTTTTCAGGGCAAACCATGAAAAATCATGGTCTCAAAGTCGGTGAGAACGAAAACACTTGAACTCGGAAACTTTAAAACGCTTAATTCTATCATTCAACATGGCGCATCTGACGTAACTTAGTCTATTACAATGTAGCCAAATATTTGTCCCTCAGCACCAAAAAGCTTTTGCTTAAACCAACTTCTTTGCCTGCTGCGCAGTTTTTTGTCTCTTGAACATTTTACTTTTTCTGAGTTGGTGTGTTTTCATTCTCTTTAGTTCACTTTCTTGTCATTAAGATCATTCTTCTACCGGTGAACATTACCTTGCAAGAGATATTTACATGTGACTCTAAGAATGGAATGCAGTTCCTAAGGGTGATTCTTCTGAAGTACTTCCTTAGCAAAGGACAGATGTAAAATAATGCAGTAAATGATAGCTATTCCCCCAGATGTTATTCATACTTTTCATGTTAATAGAAATTAGAAAGAGCCCTCACTTCAGAAATTGATTTTTATTGCACCAACATAAAGTAGAAACAAAGGGCCTTCCTCTTGAGAAACATTTTCACATGCCAAAATTTCTTATGAGATATCTTGAAGGCTAGCTTCGGCTCAAAATTAATTATTTAATTGGCATACTAAAACTTTCTACTCATTGTTCCTCTTTCTTCCAAGTCCATGTCCTTTGGTTCGGTTTCATGTAGCCATCTTGTCATTTCTAGGATGTAATATTGAGTTTTTTTACTATGATAACTTTCCGATTACATTTGGCAGTGGCCGATGTGAGTTTGTTCCTTTCAGTAGGGTGTGGTCTAATTAAAGTACTGCAACTCTTATATCCTCATAAAAATTCCACAAAGAGTAAGATTCACGTATGTAAGAAGTTCAAAATCAATTTGCAGGTGAGAAATTAAAGTTTATAGTTTACCCTAAAGTCCATGAATTTGGAAGTCCCTGTTGTAGAGACCATGATCAATGTACGTGGATTGGATTTTGTGAAAAAACTTGGTACATCTGTGGAAAACAGGGAGTTCTTTCCTACAAGTCTACTTCCTTCTTGGATACATTAAACTTTTTTAACTGTGAAGAAAAATTGAGCTCACTGGAGAGATTCAATAATTGCAAAGCACACTGAAATTAATTCTGCCATGACCAACTTGATTCAAGTAGATTTGATTTTATCCGCTAGCAATAAGTTTGATTTTCCACCAGTGGTAGAAAACGCTTATCCCTCACATATGAGTTAAATATGTTCACTGCGTTATTCCTGATGAGAAAATATGTTTAAAAAAGCTGAGTTACTGACTGTGTTCAGAAATACATTACTAAATACCAATAGATATGAATGGTAAGATGTTCGATGACCTCTAAGAAAATATTGATTTCTAAACGTCTTTCACTTCTTACAATATTTATTTATTGAGTTTGTCTTTATTATGGTGAGGTTCGAGGTAATCATCTATTTTGTGCAGTGGTTTTTTTTGGTAGGAACAAGAAAAATGCTTCCTTACTGATGATTTCGAGGTCTCTTTAAAGTGAATGCATGCGCCACTTGCGATGAACTAATAGTGTTCAATGAAAAAGGAAATCGTATGAGAACAAATGAAAGCAAAAATTTTTGTACAAGGTTTTTGTTTTTATTAAAAAATTAAAACAAACAGGAAGTCATAACGTAAGATTACAGTTCTGAGTTTAATCTTCTTCGTCTTCTGCTTCTCCACCGCCAGATTTCTGTGCTTTGGCCTTCTTACGCTGGACACGACCAGGTTTGCCACCTCCAAGAGGTGAGTTGAGGGAGAAATCGATGTGTTTCTGGGAGTCTAATCTTACAATGAAGCTGGGTACATTAACCAACTGCTTGCGGACTCTGAAAAAAACAACAAAAAAAAGCTCAGTAAATAAAATTTCGTGAGAACTAGAGACTAACTGATGATTGGAGTAAAAATAGGAGAGCTGGCGTGTAAAATAGTAAATAAAATACTAGCAAAAATTTAAATACAAGAAATAAAACTGAGAATCAGGACGTCTCTTTCGAACAGCCCTTTCTAGCACCGATTAATCATAAATTTGTTTTTATTAGAACTGAATTAAACAAGTGTTGGTTTGGAGATCCCTTTTAGACTAACTGCTGGTGGCATGAGCATTTAAAACACATAGCAAAGAGGTCCTAGGCATTGATCTGGATGTTCTTAGCTACATAGAGGCAGTTAAAAGGACAGAGTTTTTAGGGATGGTCTCAGAGAAGCAGAAAGCTCTTGGTCCTCCCCATTCTTTTGCTGTGGCCCCTCCATTAAAAAAAACCTCTTTTTCCGAGAAATGCTGGAAGTGAAGAACCCGCTCCCCACCCCCTGCTCTTTTTGCTGAAAACATGCCATTTTAAACCTAATAAATAAGAAAGCACAATTATGGACACTTGTCATGAAAAAATTAATATTTTTAGGAACTTTTAGAAAAACTTGAACTCATCCTGTCACATAAGCACCACCAAGAAGAGGCTGACATTTTACATAATTTCGGAAAATTTTGCAAGGCTCCATATTTCCCATTTATTTAAAAAATATTGGATTACTTGCATGCAAGTATATTGATTAGTTTGCAATTTTCTGAAAAATTATCTTTTCACTGTATTTCTTGTGAGAATGTACGGAAAAGGTGAACAATGCCTTAAAGAAGGACGCGCACTCTGTAGTGTGCGTTGGACTTTACTCAGGGAGCACCGAATACTTGTCTAGACTTCCTTGATATGAATGGCTTGGTACAGCATGGCATTTGCCGTTTCTACTTGAAACTGATGTTTGTAACACAAATCTGAGGGATTTTGCTCCTATAGCCAAAGATTTTCATACAAAAACAAGCAAATAGCTCCAGTTGCAAGTTGTGTGGATGAGACATTTGTGGACTTGCTCTCTATTCATCTTAACTCCTAAGTCTGTTGCCACGCTTGCAATTAGGCAAATGCAGCACAGTGAGGCACCACTTTAAAAGTAAATTGATAATTGCCAAATAAATGACGACTCCTCCAATTGAAAAATTTAAGTTTCTAACACACAAATGCTCATACCAGAGATATCTTTTCCATCACAAGGGATAGCTCAGACGTTAGGAGCCAAGGGTAGACCTTAGACTCTTAAGTGGCCTGAGAGGCTAGATCTTGCCGATCACAATCAGGTGATATCAGACGTTAGGAGCCAAGGGTATACCTTAGACTCCTAAGTGGCCTGAAAGGCTAATGAGGAAATAGATTTAGCCACTTAATTCCAACATTCTAAGAGGAAAAGCTTCCATCTTTGAAGTGGCAAGAAGGGCAAAATTAGCTCCTCTGGGATTATTCGTGGAATCTGAGGGGTTTCACTGCTCCACAGTTTGGGTAACTGAACAATGGATGTAAGGATCTTTGCAATGTCACCTTGAGGGTAGCCTGTTGACACAACATGATCAGTTATAGAGACCATCCATTGAAAAATGCTAATTAGAAATGCTTAGTATTCCTACTTGCTTACAGAATTTTCACTACTGAGTGCGGGTGATGGTGGTTTTAAAAACGTTGCATGCCAAGTCTAGCTTATGAGGCCAACACAAGCAAATCAATTCCATCTGCTGGCCACTGTGTACAAATGCAGGACAAAACATTTTTTTGACTCCAGTTTCAAAGTTTTATCAATTGATTTTCGGAGTATGAGCTTTTCGTCAGTATTTCTACATTGCACCAAATGTATGGACACATCAAAATCTATATATGAAGAAGTTTCTGTATTCTTACTTTCTTTTCTACCTTGGATATTGGTTCGTGACATGGTGCCTAAAGCTCCTCACAAGAACAACACAGTAACCTTACATAAAGACCACTGATGTCACAAGTTTCCGCAAAGAAAACCCCCTATAGATTAGGAACCTAACCGCTCAATTACAGAAATGTAGAGAATTTTTTACTTGATTCAGGTAGGTTTATAAGAAGAAATTGGGAATCATGGAGAGTAACAAATGGTCTTGAGTCTGGCATTAGTGCCTCAGCTCTCAAGCTAATTAAGAAAAAGTCTCGAGAGAATGATACTTACAAAATATGCCTTTGAAGGATGAGAACTCGGGCATGATGAATAGACTTGGCTAATCCTAATTTGAAAACCTGCAAGGAGAGAAAATGTATTTCTTAGTTAAATAATAAATCTTGAAATGAGGAAAGGGCTTCATAGAGAAGGCTGGCATTATCTTACAAATTTTAAGGAACATAGGGACAAATAACAATCAGAAAAGTGAAGATCACCACAGCTCATCTGACGAGAGGTGTCATAAGTAAAGTATTCATCATCAGTTTCATACAATGTTTTTGAAAAATCAATTTGTTTCTGAGAAATTAGAGAGATAGGATACAACCAACCATCAGAGAAAAGTCATCAACAAAAGTTATTCTGTCGAGAGGTGTCAGAAAAAAAATAGATAAATTTGTCATCATTCGATTGGTCATACATTCAAATAACTGCAGAGACAATTACAAATAATCGTATGACAGATAAGATTACACAGTAAGAGAGGATGCAGCTTAAATGAAAGAGTGATTGATGCCTGTTACATCCTGGCCTTTTGAAACTAGGAATTTGACAAGGAAAATCAGATAAATAAGACAGTTCCAATGTTCTGATTCTTATTCCATGCTGCTCTAAAGCAAAGAGAGGGAAATAGTGGTCAACTTGTCTCTTCTAATAGGTTAGTTGACTGAAATCTGTAGTATCAACTGAAATTCATTGACTCATTCGAGATATCTCACCTGGGTTTGCAATCTGCGCTCTAAGAAATCTTCGATCTTCAGACCCAATACGTAATCGAGCTTCATTTTGCTTTCGTCTAACACACCAATGCGTACTAACCTACGTAGAAGAGCATTACCTACAGGCAAAAAAGACAAAAATAATTAATGATTGTAAAAATGCTTTTCTCAAGGAAATATTGATGGAGTAAACAGAAAAAGTGTTCTGTGGTCCCTTTGATTAGGTATGGTCCTGAAAGAAACGGGACTGCTAAAAGTAAAATCCACTTCTAATCTTCCTCCTCCTGATGGGATACGAACTCACACTTGGTGGAGAACAGGAGCAGGTAGCCCAGTTCTAACATAGTTCCTTCTGGGCTGAATATGAAAAATAATATTAAGTCCCGCTGCTGAGGATGATCTCAGAGTATAAAATCACGTAATGCATCTTAGGGATCAGAGTATGGCACACGTAAGTTCATCATCATCGAATCACCCATTAAGTAACTTGATCATAGCATAAATTCTGTTCCTGATGGGGTCAAAAGCATGTAAGAGAATGGGAGCAGCTAATCTTAGCCTAAAAATCATTACTATAAGACAGCATGTAAACAACTCAATGCAGCTGGTCAGGATAATCTCAGAGTTAAAAATTACGCAATACATCTTTCGGATCAGAGTATGGCACACGTAAATTCATCATCATTGAATATCGAACTGGGCAGCTCCTGGTGTTAGGGTAACAATCAATAAACTGAGATTTGGGAACATTGCAAGTATCCCTTAGAAGCATTGAAGTAGTGAGAAAAAGCTGACAATTGACATCAATAATAGAGCTCTTTAAAAAGAGGGATATAGAATTTCTTGACAACACCGATTATACACGTAGCAGTTGGTACCCTGCGCCTCCAATGATACATTGGTCTTTCTTGAGGAACACAAAATAATTTTACGGCAATTCGGGATGCGCTTCTGAGTATTGATATTAAGAGGAGAAAAAATTAGCTATACCTTCGAACAACCTCTTGGGGTCTTTTTCTTCCAAGGTAAGAAGAGTTCGGGCTGCTTTACGGATTTTGGCCAGAGCGAATTTTACTCTCCAGACTTCACGCTTGTTCCTGAGTCCATATTCACCGATAACTTTCAACTCAGCATCCAATCGAGGCTTTTCGTATGGTCGCCGAGGCGTAGAGTAGGTCTTACTCAATACTGAGGGGACTCGGTTGTTCACCATTGTGGCTCACTTGCAACAACCTAAAAACAAGGAAGATAGGAGAAAGATTAGGCAAGCTATGGGTATAACTTCTTGTAAGGAAGAAAGTTCTTGATCACAGAAAATTATTCCACTTAACTAGAATGAGAACACAAGCATTAGAGGGGTGCAAACAGTGTCTAATAGGAGGCTCCACCACAGGAAGGCAGCACAAAAAATGAGAGAAGAGAATGAACAAACAAAGAATACATTAACGGTGATGCCTCCCAAGTTGGCAGTGGAAGGTGTGCTAAAATGGAAAACACCATGATGCAGCACACTTACTGGAACTTCATGATGTCTAACAACCTTCAGGCATTTCCTAAATGAGAGGATGGTGGTGCGATTCTGAGCCTTACTGGTATCAGCCATTTTACCTCCGCATTTAGGGTATGCTATGGTAAAATAAAGTGCTTTTTCTTCATTCCCACCATGAGCACATGGAACGGCCAAACAAATGACGGAAAGAAAACCTAAAATGAGGGCATCCAGACGCAGTCTTCCGATGGCCACTGATATTCACCTCCCAGGTGCATGCGTGTACGCGCTGCGCCTAGGAAGTAGGATGCCAAAGATGAGTGTAGAGTAAATGAGTGGGACTAAGAAATTAAATTCAGGTGAAACATAATGAGGTGAAAGGGTCAATATACAGCTAGGTAGCCAAGTGCATGGCGATTACGACAAATTGAGAAGGTGAGACGTGGACACGTGGTGGATGAGGGCCTAAGAAGCACATGGCCCGGAGATGGTGAGAAAAGGCGGTTCAATAGTTACCCATTTTGGAGGGTTACAAGATAAAACGAGAAAATTACTTACGCAATCGAAAATTAAATAAAAAAGAAGAGAATCACGACGATTTAATAATTCCACACATAAGACAAACGCGAAGACCCTCCTCGTTCCCGGCGGTCAAGAGAAACTAAAAAGAAAATGGCGCTGGGCGAAAATCCAGATGGCGGAATTTTGTTTACAATCGTGACGTCAGTGGTTTGATTGCACGGCACTTGGAGGTTATGTTTACCAAATTTCGTTCCTTTTCTTGCGTGGCCACTGCCACAATCTCACGTGTGCCCCTTGTGCCGTGAATTTCGTTGCACTCATCACAAATTTAGCACTTTTCTCTCAATTTTATCATCATTTAAAGGTAATAAAATTGGTTTTCTTTTTATCCGTAACTTTCCTTTAACTCTCACGTCCACCATCATTTAATTATGGGTTTCCATACTGGAAGATCAGCATTGCCATTTTCTGTCTTGCATTAGTTTTTTTTTCTGATCGTTATTTAGTATTACTTATTAGATAATATTGCGTGGTACCATTAATTATCTGCTCTGCCTGTAAGTAATTTACCATTACTTTGCTTTCCAATTCCTTGCATACTTAGAGAAATGAACAGACAAGCATGCGCCTTGTCAGTTGCCCTGAGTATATCTTTCTCTGTACTGTGGCGCATCTTATTCAATTACGCTAAATCTTCTCCTTCCTGTATTATTACTGTGACCTGTCTGCAAATTCTGAATAGCTGAATAAGCTGTCAGCTTTTGCACTGTCACCTTAACATCAGTGTAGTAAGTATCTTGACGTATTCAGTGCCTTCAGGGTCCTTGTGTTGTGACCTTGTTTTAACAAGTAATTATCCTATCTAGATGGTGTGAAGGATTATAATATCCTCATGTTGTCCACTCAGGAGTAGACCAGTATCTCAAACGAAAATTTGAACATCTTTGTAAATTTTTTGTGAATAAGTATGATGACTTGCAAGAGGAGTAGGTAACTCACCCCAGAAATTTCTCAAATTAACTCTCAAGCAAGAAATAAAATGAGTTTACCAGGCAAAGTCTCATCGACTTTTAAAGGGAGGGAGAAATTTACCGTTCGAAGGCGATATGCACTGTCAAATTCTGCCAGCATTGTTGCCAGCTTTAGACATGCCTTTTTTAACTAAATAACATAACATAATTTTAATTAAATTTCGGCCCATTGTCCTTGAATAGGCTCATTATTGAACATTTTTTATAAAATACTGAAAAATTGATTTTTCTGAACCCAATTCATTTTTTCATTGTTACCGAACAATTTCAGTTACACACTTGAAGGAGCCCCTCTGCCCAATTCCACCTAAATTAATTCAATGAATGGGTAAAATTTTGATTTCTCATGTATGAGTTGATTTTGGAAATTTTCACCATGTCTGCATGTCTCACTATTAATTTCCACAAGGAAATATGTATTTAACTCGAGTTTCTGTTGACTTATGTGATCCAACAAAATTAACTCTGAATTTTCAATATTGGCTAGGAGTATTTTACACCAAAACTGATATGCTAAGTTCCCTTTCATGTTGTTTTCTCCTCTAATGAAAATAATTCACTGTCTAGGAACAAGATGGGTGTAGCCGAGCTAGATTTTGAGACCAAGAAAAACTTGATCACCCGCAATCTGCAAGAAGTGCTGGGTGAGGACAAGTTGGATGCTGTCTTAAAGGAAAGAAATCTAAAAATATATTGGGGAACTGCAACCACAGGAAGACCACATATTGCTTACTTTGTTCCTATGTCCAAAATTGCTGATTTTTTAAGGGCAGGTTGTGAGGTAGATATATATGCCTTCTACATATTCTTCATTTATTTCAACCTTTTTTTTAAAAAAAATCAGTCTGTAGGCTGAAACACATCTTTTTCCTATACAATTTACATTGTCGTAGGGAATGGGTCAGTGATAGGAGTTGGAATTTTTACATTTTTTGTTTAAATTTAAAAATTACCTACTTACATATAATAAGACAAAAATTATGAATTATGATGAATTACATCAATGTATTCAAATACACAAGCTTAAGTAAGAAATGTTGCTCAGTGACGTTCAAGGGGATTCATTTCCTCAACTTGAAAGCATCTTTCCTTTGTGATCTCATGACATAAAAAAACTGTTAAAAATGTTCTGAACTCAGCTCATTTAATATTTTTACATGAGCAATAAAATTTCCTGAAGCCACTGACACATTCCTACTTATCCTTCAAGATTTTCCTTGTCAGCAATGATCTTGATAAAGCTTCACTGATGTCTGAAGTCTCTTCTTGTCATATTAGTAGCATTGCCAACAGAAAACAAAGCCATGCTTTGCCTCAAAATTTGTGAATCGACTAGCAAATGTTAGAATATTAGTCATGGCAGAAAAATACTTGCATCAGGGAAGATAGACAAGCTGACATAAATATAAAAGGAGGGGGAAGAAGCGCTTTTTGTTGCTGCAACTAAAATGAATTAAATTTCAATATAAGCTGTCATTTCATTTTGAAGGGAAATCAACGAAATTTTCATCAAGTTAAAGACAAGATGTCTGAGGCCCAGAAAATCCAGAAACTTTGTGTTTTCATCAAGTAATGAAACATCTCCAGGAATATCAAGAATTTTATCAATTTGACAGTTGAACTTTTTTCCTCCTTTTACTCAGAAACAATGTCAGTTTTTCTAGCGTCCGCTGATATATTAATAAATGCAAACTTTGGGTTTGAAAATTACTTTAACTCCCCAAAAAATCTGATGTATCGGATGTAATCGGATGTATATTTTTCAAGTGTTGTAAAATTTTTCTCCAGGTGACAATATTATTTGCTGATTTGCACGCATTTTTGGACAATATGAAAGCTCCATGGGATCTGCTGAAACTGCGTGCCCAGTACTATGAGCACTCCATCAAAGCTATGTTGACCTCTATCGGTGTGCCCCTGGAGAAACTGAAGTTCGTACATGGCACAGGCTACCAGCTCTCTGAAAAATTCACATTAGATGTTTACCGCTTTTGTTCTGTAATCACAGAGCACGATGCCAAGAAAGCAGGGGCAGAAGTTGTTAAGCAGGTAGAACACCCTCTTTTGTCTGGTCTTCTCTATCCATGTTTGCAAGCCTTGGACGAAGAATATTTGGGAGTTGACGCCCAGTTTGGTGGGGTTGACCAGCGCAAGATCTTTACCATGTCAGAGAAGTACCTTCCGCAGTTAGGATACGCTAAAAGGATACATCTTATGAATCCCATGGGTAAGTAAACCATTATTTTTATTAATTTTTGAGCAGTGTTTTTTAAAATTGGGTTCTTAATGCAATACATACCTATCTCCAAAAGGAAACAATCTCAAACCAATTCAATACTTAATTTTGAAAAAAAATCCACATTAACACAATTAGCAATTTTCTTGAAATAGCTGCTTCAATAATCACCTAATTTATTTATCGTTAGGTAAAAAAAAAAATGGTCATGATTATGTAATTTTCTGATAGTTTTTTATTTTTTCTTCTAAAGTATAATTTATTTTTATATTCATAGTAGAAGATAATATTGGTTTCAAAATCTGCTTGGCTGGTTGCAGCTTTGGTAGAGTGTTAGATGAACTACTATGCAACCTCATGGTTAACCTACATCTAGGTATCTTTTTAATTTTGCACTGTGATCGGCCATGTTCAAAGCTGCTACGGCATTACTGTGGCATTGGTTGGACACATGGACCAATCACAGAGCACCATATTCATCTCTAGCTGTCGGAGCCAGCCATGGAAGGGTTGCAGGACCAATTCTCGTGATCTTCCAATTTACCATAATTTCCTTAACTTTTATCTTCCTCTATTGTGACGACCCCGTTATAGTGGTAATAAAATCGTGTTTTCAACATATGCACATCTCTAAGCAAAGTTCTCATGAAGAGAGGTGACAAATTTTTATTTTAGTAAGGCATCTGAAGACCTAGTGCTCTCCTAAATTCTGTTCATTACTTACTAGAGTAAAGTAAACCTCATTAGAAGTGAAGCATAGTCAAACTGTGTTAGGATATCTATCTAACTAGTCAATGTAGCCAATCAGTTCATTGTAACATTTAAAATTACTAAAAGACGTCAATGTACTGTAATCTTTGTAATTTCAATTCAGTGCCAGGTCTTGCTGGAGGAAAGATGTCATCATCAGTTGAAGATAGCAAAATCGATCTGTTGGACCCACCTGATGCTGTTAAGAGGAAACTGAAAAAAGCATTCTGTGAGCCAGGCAACATTGCTGACAATGGAGTCTTGGCGTTTTTGAAGCATGTCCTCTTTAGTCTGTTGAAACCAGACGAAAGTAAGTTCATAAATAATTTCAGACTGTCTTTCATTCTTCAAAGTGATTATGAAGTGCCTTAGGGTCATAAGTAATTGTTAGATTTAGCTATTTTCCAAATTTAAGCCTTTGGTGAAGGTCAGTTTTATTTGTATGATTTCAAAAACCGCTACTTGTCTGTCTGAAAATTTCATGAAGTTTGATGGCCAATGAACTATCTTTCACAGTTTAAACTTTTTATGGAAAGTTTTTGTTGATTTCAAGGAGCTGAAACTTCAGTATCTGAGATCAAATTTCTCGCTTTTTATTTCAAAACAAGTTCTGTTCACAATTTCCAACACCTCAAATCTTTCAAGAATTTGAATTACTTCTCCTATTCTTTGAATACTTTAATTATCATCATAAAAAATAATTATCATCTTAAAAAATTCCTTTTAGGCTCTGTTTTCAATAGTTCGTCTTCCAATCATGTAGTCTGCCAAAATTAGCTTTGCCTCCTTTTTTCACCAACCTTTGAACCTCTCTCAGTATTAGTGCTTTGACTCAGTCATTGGATGTTGTTTACTTTTTTAACAACACTGAGTGAGGAAGGAATACTGCTTCTTGAGGAGCATGCCAAAACCGTTGAAGTGCGGGTTTGTTTCAGGGAGACTCTGGTTTCTCATGTGAACGGAAAATTCAAAATTTTGATAATCAATAAAAAAATTCATATTGATCTTGCAAATTAATGTTTGTGAAATTTTGAAGAGAAAACATTTGTCAGAATGGTTGAATTCAAACCTTGTTCAGTGGTTCGTTGGTTTTCTGTACTTTTTGAAAAGTTTGATTTCAGTAGAGTGTCCCAACTATTCAGATGAAGCATTATCCACCCTGGTTTTCCCAAGTATCCTCACCCAAATTCATAGCACAAAGCTACAATTACTATCAAGTGACTCACGCTCGGTTGTTTCTGTCGTACTATGTAATGTAGTTGCTATGTAGCATGACCTAGGTTGCTTTGTATTATCATTATCATTTTAATTAAAACAAAGTCTTATTTTATTTTTATTTTTCCGTGCTAATAACTGATGCAATTTTTTTGCAGCTTTTGTAGTGTCAAGAGATGAGAAAAATGGTGGTAACTTAATCTTTAAGAATTATGAAGAGGTTGAAGTTGCTTTTGCTGAGCAAAAATTGCATCCAGCAGACCTAAAGGCAGCTGTTGAGACTCAAATCAATAAATTACTGGCGCCAATCCAAGAAGTATTCAAGACCAAGGAAATGCGGACCTTGGTTACGCAAGCGTATCCTCCACCAGGCAAACAAAGTGAGTTATTCTCATCACTTTTATTTTTCTCTCTCTTTTTTTTAGCATTTCATTTTTGACTCTTTTGAGCAAGAATCATGGCCTATATTGAAATGCAATTTTTGTCTGAAAGTTCTCCTTCAGCTCTGTCGTTAAGCCATGTATCAGATATCATCTATAGTGCTATCTGTTGGAGAGATCATAGAATATAACCTCTGACTGTCTTCTTTATGTTGCACTGCAGTTTGTCAATATACATAAAAATAACCTTGTAATTATTGGTGAGAAAATTTACTGTAGCTCAGGGGGTATAGGTGGTAGATAAATAATGTATTGCTAGAAGGTTAATGAAAGCGCTTTGACAGTGAAATTATAAAAATAGTGCATCTCGATCTGCAATATTGCAGATTTTTTGACATATCTCAGATCCTCAGAAGGTGGTTATTAGTGCTAATTGCACAAAGTTTTGTGCAATTTTATTTTGTTTTGTTCTAGAATACTTTCTCAAAATTTTGTCTGAACTTGCCTTACAGCATTCTCTCTAAAATGAAAAATGAAGTGGAAATTTTGGAACATCCTACGAAAGATGCATATTTTTGTAGTTTCACTGTTGATCAGCAATCAGTATAATTCGATTTGTTTGATAGCAGTAACAGAAGCACCATGTTCAGCATTTTTCTGCCTCCAATTTTTTCATGGTGGGGTGTTCAGCAGCATGCAAAACAGGGAAAAATAGAAATATAGCTCAAATACATCTTGCATTATAGCTTTCTTTATCAAATCGCAAGTTGAGTTACCTTTTATCTTTTTTTCCCTGAGAGATTCACAGTTTTCACAAAAAAATTACCGACTCCACTGCAACCATTTCAGCTAATTTATTAGGCATCAGCAGGTAAAAATGATGAAAATCACATGAAATGCATGAAAATAAATAACAAACTAAAGCTAAGACCTTAGGAGCTTATCTCTGCACTATGGTCTGGAAGTGCCAAATCGTGTTCAAAAATCCAATTTTTGAAAGTGCGAGAATCTAGCAACCCAGCATACAGCCCTTATCTACATCATGTGGCAGTTGTGAAACGATCTATCAAATTTTATGTAAGCCTATTTAAGATCAAATTATGGTGGCGAACTTCACATGCTCCGAGGTAATTAAAGAAATGTGAGAATTCGAGGTGCAAGTCATCACATATTACCTTGTGCTGTGCTGTTAAAAGTCAGCATAGATCCTCGATCAAATATGGAACAGAAGGCTCAAAGTAAGCACTTTTTGATGGTTTAATGTTTTTAGTATTAAGATTAATTTTTCTGGCCACTACAAGACTCCAAAGTTTTGTCTGATATTGGGCCCAGAATGACCTTGACCTCAACTTTTCATTATCACTAGCTATTGCTGGTGCGTTCTTATCTATGCAAGAATGTAGCTCATATTTTCCTACAACCAATATGTCAAGTTTTTTTGCGTATTTTTACATCTGGGGCCTTTTTCGGTCATTGTAGCGAAAGGTTTATACAATTTTTGGAGCAATCTGATTTCAATGTATTAGGAGATAAAACACCAATAGACCAAAAACCTAATGCAAATTTTATCCAATGACGATAATTTCTTATCTTTCTCTGGGAATAATACCAATTTTTAAGGCTTTTGCCCTGGTAGACATCTTTGAAAAACTGAGCTGGTAGAGTGTAGTTTAGTAACCTGTAAAACACTAAACTGACATTTAATATGGTATCCAAATCATAGTTAGACTTTCTTCTAATTTTTTGGTTTTAAAGGTGTGTAGTTATCTTGGATTTCAGAATTTTGTAAAACTAAGATCTTATTTGAACTCATTGATTCAAAAATCATAGGCATAGGAAATTTCACGATATTTTGATAATTTCCTGATTTTTGGCCACATTTTGGGGCTCTCAGACCATATTGCACTGCTGGGACTAAGAGTAAGGGTGATAATGTCATCGTGGTTCATTCTTTTAGGAGCAGCTGTTCGGGTTACATCATGGGGTAAAGAGGAATACTCACATAATACCAAGATTTTTCGGCTACTCATAATTCGAAAACTTAAAAACGTAACTTGAAAATTTAATAATCCTAACATAATACTCACGTTAAATACTCACAGCTGAAGTTTAAGACACTATCCAAATTTGTAAAATTAGTAACTTTGAATTTCAGAGCCAGGTGGTGGTGGCAACAAGAATGCAAACAATGCCAATGTTCCGGATGAATTAGTGCCCAGCCGATTGGACATCAGAGTGGGCAAGATTGTTGAGGTTTCTCGACATCCTGATGCAGACTCCTTGTATGTTGAGAAAATTGACCTCGGTGAGTTGGAAGCTCTGCCTTTGAAGGAAAGCTTGCATGGTTATTTTCTATTGATTTAATGTTCATTATTTGTGGCTGTTCATGGAAGAAAGCATCTTAACTCTCAAACTCAATATCCGGTCATTGATATCAGAGCATGGAGGAGTGCTGTACTTTACAATCATTTTTGGATAAAATCCATGATGAAACAACACACCAAACTGAAATTACAGCGGTTTAAAGTTTGCCGTGTAAGTTTGCTAGATTACAATCCAATGACACCTTATGACGCTGTAATGAACTAGACCGTTTCCAGTGTACCTTTTAGGAAAACAAAGCGAGTTTTCTGTCAAAATTTAAAAATATGATTTTTCCCACGAATTGAACAAAAATCGCTAAACTGAAAACTTTGACTCCACGAATTAAGGTCTTTTCCCACGTTGACAGTTACATATAATATGTGCTACTTACATACACATATTATTTAACATTCATAAAATTTCAGTCAACGGAAAGAGACATTCAATCCTTAAAGCAACCTTCCATGTTGCTGTGCTGAGGTAGTACGAACAATGTACAAGCACTGAAAAATTGCCAAAGGACTACAGGCAAAACGGGCCATCTGGGGCTCGGGGCGGTCAGGACGATCAGTCAACTCAACTATTCTAAAAAATTTCTTATTTATAGGTGAAGAATCGCCAAGGACAATTGTTAGTGGCCTGGTTAACTACGTCCCAATTGAACAAATGCAAGACCGGTGGGTTGTCGTCCTTTGTAACTTGAAACCAGCCAAAATGCGTGGTGTTGAGTCTTGTGGCATGGTTCTTTGTGCATCTGTGTAAGTACCTCTTTTCCAACTTTATATTTTTAATATTTGAATATTTTGTCATTTGAGAATCATCCTAACATTGTGTTATATTATACAGTATTCTCTTGCTATAATGACACTCATTATAATGAAAGTCTCTTTTGCGAAGGAATCCCCCGGTCCCTTGAACAATTTTCTCGCTATAACTACACTCATTATAATGAAAACCTCTCTTTAGCGAAGGAATCGCCCGGTCCCTTGCCGATTCGTTATAGTGAAAGAGTACTCGAGTACTTGTAAATGCTATTCTGATATACCTTTAAGGTGCGTTGCTTCGTTTTTAGGTGCCAAAATTTTATTTTTAGACCTGGATGGTTTTTGAGCAGAATACAAAAAATAGGTATGTGAGGTATGTGGTATAGGTATAGGTATAGGTATGTGTCGTAGCTATGCTTTTTCATTTTTGACAACTTACTAGCAGCCGTAAAATTTTAACCAAATAAATGCAATAAAAGCCCATTTGAAAGCTAGTAAAACAAGCTGCTAGCCCCTACTAACCAAATTTTTTAGTAATTTTGTTAAAACGGGTCAACTCTCAATTATTTTAGAATAGCCTTTGTATCAGGTAAAAATTAAGAACAAACTATGGAGCACACAATTTTACTGGATTTGCATCTATATCATGATGTTACAAAAATGAAGTCCGCAAATTAAGCTAGCCAGCAAGGGCCTCTTGATGATCTTAATTTTTTCCAGTCATATCAGCTGACTGGGATATTAACTTTGAAAGTCTGTTGCTAAGGTTTACTGTACTGAGATTATTTTACAAGTAATCAATCAGCCATCACAATTTCCATGTTTCACTAGCTTCAAGTGTTAGCTAAACAAAATTTGTACTTAGACCGTTAAAGAGCTCAAACCTTATGTATTCATCGGTAGCTAGGATCTTTTGAAATTTTTTCTCTTTCAAATTTGTGTGAAACTTTTTCCTCTCCTAAATTTCAGTGATACGGAAGGTGCCAAAAATGTCGAGCCTCTAGATCCTCCAGAAAACTGCACCCCTGGAGAGCGAGTTATTGTTGAGGGTTACGAGACTGGGGATCCTGATGATGTACTCAACCCTAAGAAGAAAGTTTGGGAAAAGTTACAGGTAAGAAAACAAAATACTAACTCCTATCTCAAGCACATAAGTTGTTACTTCAGGAAATATATAGAAACTGAGGAAAAAGAAAATTTTGTCCTGAGGTTTGGTACTTTTTTTTGGAGGTTCTTTCTTCTCTTTATCATTTACTATCAACCTGGATTTAGTCTTCATCAGCTGGGTCCAGCGTGGATTGTTGAAATGTAATGAACATCAATAGCAGAGAGCTTTCTTAGAGAACAACTTTGCAAGCTAGGTTCAAATTAACCAATCAAGAACTTGGAACAGTCGCAAATTGGCAACATCTCCAAAGTGGCTTGAAATTCAAATAAAATGCACAACTGTGAGGGTCAAAATTTCAAACACCCTTGTCTTGGAAAAGTAATATTCTTGTTTGTAGGATAGCCAAAGTGTCGGAATGTGTCTCTAAAATTATTAGGGTGATTTTTCGATTTAAAAAAGAATTCCAATATCCTAGTTTGTGTATATGTATTATTTGATATCTAACATTTGCAGAGCTCTTGTAACTTAGATTACTGCTCTCCTGTAACATACACCTTGTTATCGTCCCAGCTTGTTTCATGACCAATCCTCAGCTTTTAAATATCAGCGCAAAATCTATTGCTATCAGCCTCAGCGATTGGCCTGTTTCTATTTTTAATTTATTTATTTATTTAATTTTTTTATTATTATTATTTTTTTTCCGACAGAAAATATTCAACTTACAAGAAGGGAATAATGTGCCACCCTATTTTACCAAATTCAAATAAGTGATTCTCAGCTTGTAGGAAACAAATTAACTTGTGATGAAAATGTTTGGTGCAAAGCTCTATATAGGTTGAAGCAGATCCTGTGTATTAAAATGTATTAAAAACAACTTTCATGGTTAAATTGAAAAAAAAAATCACAGATTTACCGCAGCAGAGCAGCTCTGGTCCAGTGGCCAAATTTTTCTGTGATAACTTTCACTTATCTCAAATTGGTCCAATTTAATTTTCTCTCAGTTTGGTTTAATTGTTTAGCTTGCCCAGTATCTCATCTTTACAATGTACAAATGAACTTGTCCTTTGTGATTGCAGGTAGATCTTAAAACGTCTGCTGAGTGTGAGGCACAGTGGCAGGGTAATATTCTTCGCACAAAAACAGGCGGTAAAATCACTTGCAAGTCCATGAAAAACTCCCCCATCAGATAATACCAGTGTCATCGAGTACATCTAATTTTTTTATTTCAAATCTCTAGCTGTAAGTTTTTTATTTATTTATTTTTATTATTTTTTTTTCTTTCCTTTTGCTGTGAATTAATACTTACAAAGAGGGTGAAGTCCAAAGCACCTGTTTTTCATAAAAACAGAAAAAGACTGTTAGAACTTAGCATACTTTTTGGATTTTAATGAATCTCTGTTCATTACTAAATGTTATCCAACATGAACAAACATTTGCTGGTTTTTTCCGGACAGAGGTCAATAACAACTCCAAAATCCTGGAAAAGAAGAAAGCATGGGACAGTTTCAACTCTTTGTGTGAGTAATTGTCCTTACATATGTCTGAATATCTTTGCATCAGAATGAGTCAGTGTGTGGATAATGAAACTGAGAGAAAATTTGTATCTTGGTTGTAGTGCTTCAGGGTGCAAAAAATACCTGATCTTGAATTGGGCAAACTCAAGACAGATCTTTGAATGTGAGGCAAAGTTATAACCTCATAAATGAGGTCTTGAAAAGTGAGAGTTCCGCAGAGTCAAAAGTGCAACAAACACTAATTTTCTGTGAGGTAGAGATGTCAGATCACAAGAAATGGTTCTTTTTTCGGAACTTTTTGCACCCTTACAGTGTTTTATTATTACAGCTCTTACTTACTTTTTTTTCCCCAAAGAAAATAAATATTTTCTGTATGCCATTTTTTGGCAGAGATCTTCAAATACCTGAAGAAAAATCGTGCACAGTTAAGTGAATCATTTCACCAAACATTATTCAATGTTTGGTGAGATGTTAGAAGTGAGTGTGCTTTGAAATATTTAATGTCCCAACTGAAGGTACATAATTTTTTTAGTTTTGCCATCAATATGTAACAGAATCTGCTTTAAATAATTGTGTAGCTCTTTTGAATGTCATATTCTCTTCAACTCAAGTATTTTTTTCTTTCGTATGAAGTTCCATCTAAAATTTGATGAATGTTTGTTTCCTAGAACTTTTTAGTCCCGACTTCTTCACAAGATAAAATATTCTGACTTGTATGTTTTTTGTTACATTTTTTGTAACTTTATCAGTTCAACAGTGTTTTTTGTTACATCTTTTGTAACTTTATCAGTTCAACAGTACTGAAAATTGTCCTGGTGTAAGACTTAGTGAAAGAAACAGCCTTTAATATCTCAGGAGAGGAAATTGTCAAAACTGCTTTTAACTAATTATATCCCTGTGATACCTCGTAACCCTTCAATGTTTAACTTGAAGCGATTGATTGAGGCCTAGTATTTTATCCGGTATTAATTTAGCAGTAAGTAAAATCTAATGAAAAGTGTGTCAAAACGGAGTGTGTTAAAACCAAATTTGTGGATTACATGTTGAGAATGTTTTTTGAACTATAATTATTTCTTTTCATTCATTAGGTTAATGTCCCTAAAAAAATTCGGAATGTGTACTAAAACCTGAATGAGACTTTTTTTATGCAGTGTACTGAAGTGTACTCCTAATTTAAAACCATAAGGACCAGGAATTTTTCAAATCGAGGGAGATTTTGAATCACAGCAAGTGATTCTATTGAAAATGTGAAATTTAGAGATTTAATTAAGCTCTGTAGTATAAAGTAGGGTGGCCAGTTGTTCTTCAGTTTGAAATTACATGCCTCTTTTTCTGAATACTAAAAGTAGCAGTACCAAAACGACACCACAAAAATATTTTGAAATCATTAAGCATCGGGAAAGTATCAAGGAAATGTTATAATTTAAGGTTCTCAACAAATCTGTAAACAATTCAGGTACTGTATTAGGAGATTTCTCATAAAGTTCAGTCATTCTGGAGGGTTCAAGGAGTTTCTAATCAGTTAGTCGTGACATCATGACGTGCATCGAACATCAATATGAATCCAATCAATAGGAATTTCAATGTAAGAAAAGACTAAGTACCAAAAATCAAATGAAAAAATTTTATTTTCTGGCAATAGAAAAAAGTATAAGCCATAATACTTTTCTTGCAATACTTTCTTACTCTTCCTAGTAATAAGGAGGAAATACATTGTGCATGGTGAAAACCAGAGTACTGTTTATCTGATGCCTCAAATTTTCATCATTTACTTTTTACCAAGCACAAACTACATATGTGTATCTGTAACATTTTTAGGATTCAAAAAATGAATTCTTCTTTTAATGTGCGCAGGTTATTGTATGCCCATTTATCAAAAAATTACTCAATTTCTCGACAGTAATAACAATTTTTATTCGAAGGCACTTAGAAATTTTACATTTCGTTCATAAATCACAAAGTATAACATAATAACAACCAAATAAAACCTATATTAAAATTAACTAAATCACTTTAAACAAGATAATAAAAAGCATTCTATTTTTAATGTTACTTAAAGCGCAAAATATCAGTTTTTGAGGTTGACAATTCTGAACTAAATTGAAGAGGATAAACAAAACAACAAGTTTATTCACAACAAAAAGTCAAGGCAGACAAAACATAGTGTGGCATGCTTGTAAGTGGGAACACATCCATTGCTTTATGAACTGTTCTTTAAGATACATCATCTCTCTATGCCAATATTTTTTTTACAATTTCAACTTGAGTATCTATTCCTTCTTTAACAACTAATTTTATGGAAGAATTTTTATTTATTTTTCTAAGCAAAGATCAAGTGAAAGTGAAGGTTGGCTCCTGAACGGGAAGCACAATCAAAGTAAGACCAACCATCGCAAATTATTGGTGCTTCTGGTAATGTACAGTAACTTTCAACATCTGCTAGGAAGTGAACTCTCCAGACTCAGTCGGTAATTAAAATCTCTTAGCCACCGACATATTTTGCGCCTCTCTTTAGAATTCAGTGCATTATGCACAGTCCTCAACATTTAGTTCATTTGAGTCTGAAAATTTTAAAATGAGAACAGACTCGAAGTCCTGAACTGAATTCATATGCATTCCTCGCTTTGAGTAAATCAAGGGTAAGGGAGATCTCTGTATTCTCCCTGTGACTCATACGTTAAGTCTAACTCCTACACTGGTATTTTTATTGTGTCTGGAAAAAGCAATTCAAATTCGAAACTGGCACCAAAAAATCAAGGCAATTTTTCCCATCAGTAGTACCAAAAAATTGATGTAGGGTAATTGCAGTTTTGAAATTACCATCCTAGCTCCATGATTTCACGCAGTCATAGTAACTTGATCGTATGGCTACATGAAAATTGTCCTTTTCAAAGGGAAAATGACAAGTTTTGGCACAGTGCAATTCATAATAACTCTTCAACAACCATGAAACGGGCTAACTAAACTGCGTTCCAAAGACAGGAACGTCCAAGCAGGTGTCAAACACACTAGAACTCAGATTGGATTCTATGAGATCCCGCGTGGAATCATCGGAATCATGGTCTGCAAAATTGGAGGTAGAAAAGCAGGAGTTGTAAGGCGAGGGTGTCTCAAATCCAGTACCTCCGACACCTAAACTCCCGACGGAGTCATCCAGATCAAAGGTTGGTGTGAGGATGTGGTCAGAAAAGGGGTTGCTGGTATTCGATACGGTGGTCAAAGTGTCAAATGGGGTCAAGCAGTCACTGAGGAGAGATTCCGCATCACCGTCCGACTCTCCTCCGTATCCTTGGTCACATCCTCCTATTCCAGGCTCCTGCAAAATCCTTCGAAGGGCTGAGATGTATTTCATTGCAGACCTGAGTGAAAGATAGAGGATATGAACGATTAATCAGTTATTCTAAACCAGGGGAAAGATGAGACTCATTATTTTTATCTGAAGGGAGAGAAGGAAGGCATGGAAATCTTGAATAGGCCATTAGGCCATTAGACAAGGGTAAATTTGAATATTTTTTCAATTGTGAAACTTTCCGAGTAGCACAGTGGACCAGAAATATCGAAGTGATGTTGGAATTCAATTCAATATAATTACAATATTTTCACACCATTTGATCCACAAATGCAATGTGAGAATGGTGGCAATTTGCGATGTAACAAAATTGCAACTTATTTCAATTTTATTGCAATACATTTCAATTAGAGGAGCTTCGTCAATTATTTAATAGACAACATACACAGCATTCGCCCTATGGCAATAATTTTACCATTTAGGATTACAATTAATTGCAATTCGTTTTACTTAAAAACGTACTTTGTTCGAAATGCAACTTGGCATTGATTTTTAGTAAGTAGGTAGAAGTTAAAATACATACAGATATATTGAAAGCAATGTTTCAAAAGCTCTGTATTGTTGTTTTAAATCTCTACAGGAAGACGAGTGAGCATTATTACATAATATCTCCACAGAATAGGTATTCCGTGTAAGATGGATGTAAATGATTGAAAAATCCATAAATCAATGTCTATCCTATATTTCTTTTGATCAATCAAAATCTAACAACGAATCCGCAATATTATACATTGAGATACGACTTTCGACTTTCCTTTTTGACTCTCTCTTTCTACTTGAGCTTTCCCTGGAAAAGGGGGCCTCAATGCACAGTGACAAAAATTTTTCAGGAAGAAAGACTCTGAAAAATTGCGTTCGAGCCACGTGTTTTTCAACTTTTACCATTTGTCAACGTCCTGATGCAACTATTCGCGCTTGATGGGTGTGCGTGTTGCATGTAAAAAAATTGAAGGCGCCCCACCATTTTTCTGCGATCAATCTGAACCAAGCAGCGATCCGTTCCGTGAAAAGGAACCGAATCGACAATCCAGATTCTTCAGAGGTGGAACTAATTTCACTTCTTTTTTTCTATTCTTTTCTGTTTTTTTTTAATATGAACTTCCACGAGGAACGGTACCTTCACCCTCGGACGTAAAATTTTCATCGAGTGATTCTCGTCGAGTGCGAGGTCGTGAAATAGCGACTGGAAACCTTTTCTCGCACATATTCTTGAACAGGGTATCCAACATCAGGAAAAACCGGAAAATATCAGGAATTTTGGCCGATCAGGAAAATATCAGGTAAATCGGAGAATCGGACGTTTTATCAGGAATTTTTCTTACGCAGATCTCCTCAGCGGAGAAAGTCTTATTGCGATTTGCCTACCGTGCCAGGAGTCGAGAAAAATCAGGAAAATATCAGGAATTTTCAAAATGAAAAAATCAGGAATTTTTTATAAAATATCAGGAGTTTTCAAAATTAAAAAATACTAGACACCCTGTTGAAGCTCAGTACAACAGATATCCCAAAATGTCTCGCTCGATTCCAAAATCGCTCGCCGAAACCTTTAACGTCTAGGGGTTAAGGTCCCTTTCTTCGCGGATATTTCAAGTTTTCATAGACCAATTTAAGGCCTTGTCTCCACGAGCCGTTTCACGAGATTTATCCCAGGGAAAAATCCCACTTACGAAGTTGGGAAAAATATTGAGTTAATCAATATTTTTCCCAGTACCAAGTATGGTACTTGTACCCCTAGGACCCACTGAGAGAAGAAGAAGAAGTGAAAACGAATTGTGCGATATTTTATTCATTACTACATTGTTAATGTTTGTTTAGTTAAAATAATGTGTCTAATTGTCAATTGAGTGCAATTATTATTTTAATCCCGATTAAATACTCGACTTTAACCAATTTATCTTCCCGCGAAAACTAGTCGCAGGACTGTATGAGCCCCGTCCCGTGGAGACGGTAACTAAGAAAAATCCCAGAAGTTTCATTCCTGCGATTCGAACTTGGGACAAATCCCATGAAAACGTCCCGTGGAGACAAGGCCTAGGGATTAAGGCCCCTTTCTCCGTGGATATTACAAGTTTTCATAGACCACTGTAAATCTTGAGTTTTTAAGTAGTTGGGTAGAATACCTGAGCGTGGAAATTTTGGTAAGCTTCTCGCTGTTGTTCTCGTGAGGGTGGGCGCCCCCTTTGACGGTGGTGGCCCCGAGGTGGGGGATGATGCGGCGGAGGGCTTCGAAGGCCTCGTTGATCTCGCGCATGCGGCTCCGCTCGCGGGCGTTGGCCGTCTTGCGCCTGTACTTGCTCAGCGGCTGCGGCTTCTGCTTGAGGCGCTTCTTACTCCTGGAGGCGTCCCCGTTGGCGCCCACCGCGGCGGCGGCGCCCCCGCGCGGCCGCCACGCGTCGTACGCCTCGAACTCCTCGTCGTCCTTCTTGGTGCCGGCGCGGGGTCGCAGCGAGTACGACTTCTCGCGCGACCGCAGCTTGTTGTTGTTGGTGTCCTGGTCCAGGCCGCTCACCCCGTCTAGTTCCATCCCTTCCTTCAGCATCATGCAAACGAGCTCGCCAACCAGTACGCTTCAAGCACCGTCAGGCGTGTCCATCTTCACAACTGCAACAGAGAATTTAACGCTTTTGTTAATCGTAGTATTTAGTGAGAAGGAATCACAGGGTGTCTACAAGTCCGGAAAGTCCGGAAATAGTACTGATTTTTCAAGGGCGGTCCCGGCACTGACCTTGAAAAATCCGCAATTTCCGCGAATAGGTCCAGAATTTTATTAATTTTTTTTTTTGTCCTCTTTATCGCAATTTGAGCGAGAAATTAAAATTTTCAATATTTTTCGAATTTCCTCAAATGGAGGCACTGAAAAAGTACTGAAATTGTATGCAGAGGAGGTACTGAATTTCTTGAGAATGTGCTGAAAAAGTACTGTAAAAGTGCTGATTTTTGGACAGTATTCCTCGCATAGATTTTCGGCATAGACACTCTGGAGTGAAATTCAATAGGTATCTTGACTTTATAGAAATGGATCCTTACCAGAGATCACAATGATTTTTCACTGCAAAAAGTAAAAAATACGGAAGAAAAATTCTATGATTTCGACAAAATTTGAGGTAGAGACAAATATACCTTGATTTTCACCACAGTCCAAAAAATATTTTGTAAATAATATTATACATATGTGCATTGACAGGCCCATTGGTTTACGCATGGCGCATTGGTTTAGAAAAGTTCATGATTAAGCAAGATAGGTGTGTGCTTTTCGAATACATAACTATTCGTGCTCCCCGGTCAGGTCCGGATTTACTTACTTGCTGCCTATGGGCAGCCTGCATTTTTCCGCCCCCCTCTCATTCGTTTCGAAACATGAGTTAGGACCATCAAATAGACGTGCCGGGAGGGGGCGAGGGTGCATAAGACGCGTTTACTCGTGTTAGGCACATTTTTGGTGAAAGTCCTGTCAACACTAGCAAAATTTCGTGGAGCTATGCGCGAAAGTTAAGTTCTGTTAAGGCCTTCTTTAAAAAGAAAGAAACGAAAAAATTGTGAAAGAAGAAACATAAATGTGGTTTGCGCTCCGACCGCACTGCGTTTGGCGCAATGCGTGAAGTATTCGTACAGTCTTGAAGGCGCTGATATGCGCCTTACGCCGACCACAGACCGCATCCGACCGCTTTGCGTTTGGCGCAATGCGTGAAGTATTCATGCAGTCTTGTAGGCGCTAAGACGCGACCGCCGCGGCGCGCCGCTCCGAGGGCTTCTCCTATTCATATCAAGTCCTCGTGATCATTGCTCTCTGCGCTGCGCCGCTCCAGGGCAAAGTCTCTCTTAACACAAATAATTAATGGTGCTGTCTATTGTATCACCGAAAGATGACAAAATTAGAATTTACTATATTTTTACTCTCAGGAAATGAGAGATTTTGTCGCCTTTTCTCGTTTGCAATTTTTTTTTTTCTGAATCCGATTTTTTTTTGAAACCTACATTTAAAAATTGGCCTTGGCCCATGAACTTCAAATGGATGATACCTATCAATAGGTTAAACAATTTGATTATTGGCTTTAGCATTTTCTAGCAAAGAATTTTAATGACAAAAACCTTTTTAGCTTGGAGGACAAGACACTTAAGTGCATTTTTTGAAAAAAAAAAGAAGAAAAAAAAAAAGAGTTATTAATGATTTCAAGTAAAATTAGTCTTAATGCATATTTTGTGAAAAATTCCCTTCCAAATTCCAATTTTCAAGGATCAAAAAGTCAGATTAAACTTTCTTTCCACCATGAGGATCCATGTAATTTTGGAATTTCAAACAAATATTCCTCGGAATAGCAAAAACTGCAACTTACGCGCCTTGTCCTCCAAGCCCCTCAAATTATGCCGAGAAAAAAACGTTGAAAAGTCCTGAGAAAAATAAGAAATTTTAGGTATAATTGAAGACCCTGGAAAGGCATTGGAGGTCAAGTAGGGAATTTTAAAATCCAAGAAATTCCGTCACCCTTTGTGTTAATTTCTCACTTATTAGTCAGGCAATTTTAAACGTCTTAAAAAATCATACACTGGAAAAAAAAACACATTGGATCTAGAGTCCAGACTCTTAAAAACATCGACAAGAAAAAATACTCTTGATTCGATCAGTTTTAAGCTTAAATCAAGAACCCAGCCTCTTAATTTGAGCGGATTTTCTTTTGATTTAAGCTTAAATCTGATTGAATCAAGTTGAGTCCTTTTTCTTGTCAATGTTTTCAAGAGTCTGGACTCTAGATCCAATGCGTTCTTTTTTCCAGTGTACCGAATCGTTTCGCATGAAAATTAGAACCTAGAACATGCACTATAGTGCGTTATTCTACCTTCTGGCTCCGATTCATTTGATAGCGTCGGATCATGAGTGGCAAGTCTACCGTGGCCTGTGTGCATGTTCTCCGTGCAATCACCTTGTCGCACACCGGACAACACTGGACGCTGCCGTCCGACAATGAGCGGATCTCGAAACCAGTTTGAAATACCTAGTCTTATACGGATGATCCGTTGCAGTCCCTCGTAGGAATTCGCCTCGTCCCCCGCCCTCTCTCTCTCTTTTCCTTTTTGGGAAAATTCAATCAAAACACTCTATGACGCTCCGTCTCACAACACAGATATAGGTGAAGGATGCCCTCGTCATGAAGTTCAATCGGACTCACGAGAGAGGGACTTATTATTCGAATGGAAAATTTTCGGGCAGCATTTTTTGTACGTGCATTAATTCATCGGGACCGACAAAATTGTGTTTCTCTGCAGCATCTTTGAATTTATCAGCGAGTTGATTTTTAAAATCAGTAGACAACGCCATAGTCAAAAGAAGGAAAATAGCAATTCTATTGGTGGAAGTGGCTGCCCAAGTAGCATTTTCCACTGTAAAAGTTGCAACAAGTTGAAATAATGTTGGTATTTGTTGCAACAAAGTTGCAACTTTCGGTCGACTTTTGGTCGATAAGTGCCGATTTTCGGCGATCTGATCGGAAGACAAAGTTGCAACCTGCTGAGATTGCACAATTGCTGAACCAAAGTTGTTTAAAATCTAAAGATGGGCAACCAGCAATACTTTGAAGTTGAAACATGTTTCAACTTAATTGCAACTAGTTCCGACAATGATAGCTCCTTCGGGGGAGAGAGTAGGCAATCTGCACATCAATTTATTAGTTGCAAGAATCAAACGATTTTGTTGCAAGTTGTTGCAACCTCTGCTACTTGGGTGGTTGCAATTGATAAAGAAAGTATAAGTAATAGACTGACTAACAGCAACCCACAAGAGACCCCATTGTAAGTTCATCATTTTCTCCATTAAGCATGTAACAACCATCCATTTCAACCAATAGAATCATTTCATTTACTGTTTGTCTCCTCCTTCTACTGCTATCGATTTCGATTTACAGCTATCGAGTGTACTCTGAACGTTTAATCCATGGTTGTTAAAGAGGGTTCAGGGGATGAGGGGAGGGGGCGAATGATTTCTTTCTGCTCGAACCATCTACAGTACAAATGAAGTAGTAAAACTTTTTCTTTTTCCGCTCAATTTCATTCAGTTTTCACTTCAGGCTTTGAATCAAGGCTCACCAGCTAAGAGACTTAAACGAATGGGTATAATAATAAAACGAAGCAGCATATCTGAAGAATCACAAAAAAAAAAAAAAAAAAAAAAAAAAAAAACTAAGAATAAGAAAAAGGAAGTATTTTGTCCCGTGTGTATGCTAAGCTTTTAATCCGTGGTTTTTCGAGAGGATTCAAGGGAGGAGGCACCACCCAACCCCACCTCCCTCTCTCCAGTCAAGATTGCCTCTGCTGAGAGTAAGCTGAAATGGCGCCTATTAAAATAGTGACAGATCCTAAATCGTTGTAAGAGCGTTCATTTCTCAAGCTTTTTATATCCTTTGCTATTTCTTCACGAGATCCATCGAATGAACACTAAGGCTGGGACGAATCTAATGTACTATAGTAACCGCAATAGCATTCTGTTTGACGAAGTTCAAATCGCGACTCGCAAAGACTGCGGCTGAAAGTGTATGGACCGAGTAAGTTGAAGCCAAGTGAAGCATTCCTGCGCGTCTTAATATGGACACTTGTCTCGGCCGCCTTTTTCCATGGGTATGCTCCTCTGCCCTCTGCAAATACCGCCGATCAACATGAGGTCTGCAGTGGAGCAATGGTCGGCAGTCAAGTTGGCAGCTCTGCCTTCGTCCGTTTAACCCCAGTCTGACAGACTCGGGTACATACGTAGGATTTATAATACTGCTGTACCAAGGAAGAACGCCGTATGAACCTTCGGGTGTTGCCACATTTTCTCCGATAGAACCTTAATTTACTGGGAAAATCGTGAAATTTTTTTTTCAATTTTTCCAGACAATTTTGTTTATAATTTCGTCTAAAATGTCTGATAATTTTACGCATACTTGTTCTCAAGAATACATGTTTTATACGGGGCAATTTGGCAACTCTCGAATGTTCATACGGCGTTCTTCCTTTGCACGGCTGAATATGTGCATGTCAGATGAGAATGTATCAGAAATCACACAAAAAGAGAGGTAGAGAAAAAAGACGGGGAGAGATAGAGCAGGATGAACAATAGGGAACGCAGAGAGGAAGGAAGAGAGAAAGAAGAGGAAGAGGTATGAGAGGGAACGAGAAACGTAGAAGATGCCGAAAAGTAAGGGGAAGAGGAGGAAGAAGAAGTAGAGGAGGAGGAAGAAAGATGAAAAAGAGGTGGAAGAGGAAAAAAGGGAGGGAGAGGAATAAGGGGGATAAATAATCAATGAGAATGAAGGAGAGGAAGAAAGAAAGGAAGAGGAATGAGGGGGATAAATAATCAAGGAGAATGAAGGAGAGAAAGGAAGGAAGGAAAGAGAAATGAGGGGGATAAATAATCAAGGAGAATGAAGGAAGGGAAGAAGAATGAAGAGAAGAAGAATAAGGAGAAGAGGAGAAAGAGGAGGAATAAGGAAAAAAAGTAGAGGAAAGTGATGAGAAGGACGTAAAAGAGGAGGATTACTATAGAGGAAGAAAAAGATGGAGAGGAGAAAGAGGAAAAGGATAAATAGGGAGAGGGGGAAGAATCGTTCATTATTCTTTTCCCTTCCTTCTTTTTCATCCTCTTCTGTGTCCTCCTTTTCTAGTTTAAAAGACTCGGACTAATGTTAAATGTATGTAAAACAATCCATATGGATAGAGGGATGCTGCCGAACCTAAAACTGATTATTTATAATGGATTTAACGGGAAGAAATACAGTGTTGCCGCGTACAAGATAAAAAAAAGCTCCTGCATCGGAGCCAAGGGCTTCTAATCTTTTTCGCTCTTCCGTCCTCTGCAGCCCTTGCCTCCTGAATGTTATCTGTCTCCTCTCTCCCCTCTTTTCTCGGGTATCCGTTTTGAGTATGTTGTGGTTTTATACACCGAGAATTCCATGTCCTTATAAGTATTGCCTCAACTCATTTAGCCACTGAGGCAAGGGTTATTAGCTTCGAGTCAAGATTCAGAGAAAGCTTTGCGCGTGAAAGACACACGCAAAGCATTTCTTCGTGGACGAAGGGACGAAATTTTACTCAACCCAAGAAGCATTTCCAACGAAAGAGTTCCGTTTTCTTGATATCAAGTTGCGGTCTTACTGTCCTCCTCCTCTTTACCGTGACACAAGTGTCAGAAAAGTGACGATTGCGCGATTTCACTCGATTTTATTGTTAATTTTCCCACTTAACCAAACTGCCATTTTACTTTTATTTATCAGAATTTCCGGAATTTCTACGCGGTAACATTCCTCTATATTCGGTATCGATAACGTAACGATCATCGCAACACGTTGCGATCGTTGGCTCCAATATTGCGATAAAATCAGGACGAATTGGCAACACTGGGTTTCTTTTCTTTAAATGTATCGAAACAATCGATACTTTATGAGTTGACTGCTTTACTGAAAATCGATTATTTTCGATAACTTTAAATGGAGGAAAAACAATGTTGTCAATTTTCAAGAATCACCATTGAATCAATTGTCATCGATACAGTCGTAATAATTCACAGAACGAATCGCAACCTATCCTTGGGGAAAAGGAATAAAGTTCGCCTGGTAAAAGAAACAACATGCATGCAGGGCCGGATTAAGGGGGTGGCCACATGGGCCGCGGCCCATGGCGGTAAATTTAGGGGGCGGCACATTTTGAAATTTTTTTGAATGTAGGTATAAAAAAATCGGATTCAGAAAAAAAAATTATCAATGAGAAAAGGGGACAAAATCTCTCTTCCCTGAGAGTTTTTAATTTCGAAATTTTCCGTTTTTCGGTGATACAAGACTGCATGAATACTTAACTCATTAGCGGTCAGGAGCGGTTGGCGTGAAACGCATAGCGCCTACAAGACTGCAGGAATACTTCACGCATTGCGCCAAACACAGTGCTATCAGCGCGGCACAGGCGCAGCGGTGGCGGAATAAGTTAAAATTATTCAACCACATTTATGTTTGTTCTTTCATCTTTTTTTGGTTCATTTCTTATAAATGGAGGACCTTTTCCACACAGAGACAGGTTTACGGAATTTAACTTTTGTGCAAAGTTCCGTGCAAATTTTACTAGTAGTGTTGACAGGGCTTTCGCAAAAAATGTATCCAACATGAGTAGGTAAACGCGTCTTATGCACCCCTCCCCCTCCAGCATGTTCACTTGATGGTTTTTATTGATGTTTCAAAACGAATGAGAAGGGGGCGGCAAAATACAGGCGGCCCATGGGCGGCAAGTAGGTAAATCCGGCCCTGCATGCATGTCATTGATTTCCATTTCAACGATGAAACTGGATAAACGTATATCTCATTTGCAGCGTTTTAATAGCTCCGCTCCCATTTTATTCTTTCCAAAGTAAGCAAACCAACACTATTGCTTGAAGTTGTCACAGAATATCCTCCGCACACGGGGAACAAATCCGAGATTTTTCAAAAATTGACATCGAATATTTTTCTATTTTGAAAATTGTAAATAGCAGAAGTTCTGTGGCGCCGCAATTCTGGATACGAGCTTTTGAAGTTTCACCATCGATTTGTAGATATGTGCATTCACAGAAAAGCCAGAAATGTCTCACTTTCATTTGGCAAAGAGCAATCTAAAAATTCTGAATGGTTTGCACTTTGTAGCTACAATACATCGAGAGATTTACATTTGTGGAACTGAGTAAGTCCTTCGGTTTTATTTAAATCAGTGAATCAAACCTACCAAGTCTACTTCCTAGTGATCTTTGAGCTCCAATGCTAATGTATGTTATTTAGGGTTCATCAGATAACGGACATTTTTAGTCTTAATATCGACCGAGTTTAGGTAGTTATCGCTTACTGATCATGCCTGCGACGGTTTCGATGGAAATTATTTAATTGAACCGGAATTTACGATAGGGAATCCAATCAAACAAAACGTGGATTTTTAGGTATATCATCATGATTATCATCATGATATCATCATCATCATCATCATCATCATCATCATCATCATCATCATCATCATCATCATCATCATCATCATCATCGTCATCATCTACATCATCATCATTAGCATCACATTCATCATCATCATTATTATCGACATCATCAAAAATCATCCCCATATAGTTCTCTAAAAGTTAAATTGTATGTTTAGTCGGTCGAAATCGTCTTTACACCATTCTAATCTTTCAATTCACACCGATAAACCAGGAGACTTTAACGAGCGAGTATAAAAATAAAAAAAAACGACGTAACCGAGAAATTACTAAAAAAAATAAAACTAAAAATAAGAAAAAAGTGTAAGCATGTCCCAAGTGTATGCTTAGCCTTCAATGCATGGCTGTTCAAGAGGATTTAGAGGATGGGGGAGGGGGTGAGTGCTTTTTTATTGCTTGAACAATATACCCAGTACCAGTATGCAATACACATTTTTCTTTTTCAACCCTCAATTTTCACTCATGGCTTTTAATGAGGACTGCTAAGTTGGGAGACTTGAACGAACGGGTATGAAAATATAATAAAGCGACATAACTAAAGAATCACGAAGGAAATAAAACTAAAAATAAGAAAAAGTGCTACCAATGTTCATGTCCGGCGTGTATGCTCAACTTTTAATTCATGGCTATTCAAGAGGATTTAAGGGAGAGGGAAAGGGGGGTGAATGTCAAATCCCCCCTTGAAACATCCACCTGGTACAAATGCAATAAACCTTTTCCTTTTTTCCCTTCAATTTTTTATCTGCCTTAGCTTTTTCTTGATTATTTCCGTGTGAGAAATAATAAGTGATGCGAATGATTAATTGATAATGCCGGATAAATTTTAGGACTGGAGAAATATGATGAATTCTGATAGGTATATATAGAACAACGGAAACTCAAATCAATGCCACATTGAAACCACTATTCTTTCAAAAAAAAAAAAAAAAAATTTAGTAGGTTTTATTGACTTCCTATAACAGCCCTCCGTAGGTTTATAATTTCAGTCAGCATTTTGATGAAATTATCTCTCGAATCAGCAGTTCATATAACTCGTTTGTTTAGACGATTCTCAGACCATGGACAATAAAATTCACTTAGGCTGTATAATAAATTTACAACAGAAGTTAGCACAAGGCAAAGTTATCGCTGATACGTATCTTGCGTTCAGAAACAAGTCAGGAGTTATAAGTTTCATTTATTAAAATCTTGAAAAATAAGTATCTAATTGCAAGAAACTGCACTGTTGCTAAGATATTGCAACTTCTACGTATGTATACAGCTAAATCACTGGAATCAGATCAATAAACGAAACTAACACGGTCATTTTTTCATTCAAACAGCAAGTGGTTCTTTACTGCAAATTACAGTCCGTCAATAGGTATTTATGGTTTAAGTAAAAAAATGCGTAACTGCATCCCAACTTACTAAAACAACCGATTACGTTAAAAAAGAGAATTAGCCAAAATATAATTTTCATATTTTCTGTAAATGTTTTCAAATGAGTGAATTTGCAGAACATTTCACGAAAACCTTTCCTCTAAAGTAAATAAATGAATAAAGTGCCAGCTTGGACTTCAAAGAACGTCTCAACTTTATCCATCGGTGTTCTTATTTACAAATCAATGAAACATCGCAAAAAACCAACAGCCCCCAAATTTGCACAGAAACGAATCTTTCTATACGCACCTCAAATAATCATCGTACTACAAAACATCTCGCTGAATCATATCACTGCAATGCAAAACAGTCACGCGTAAAGGTGTTCTTCGCCGTATCCTCACTCTTTCGGCAGCACCACGCGCAGAGCGTTTCCTTTTTTGTTATCCTTGCGTTGAAGTCACCACACAACGTTATTTCTTTCGACGGTAACCGCACTGAATCCACAACTTTTCACTAAGTCCCGAACGGGAAATCCGCTGATCAAGCGCGAATGGCCGAGTAGGGGCAGAAACGGAGAGACGGAGGAACTTTTCAACTGGCGGAACTATGGGACGGAATGGGATTAAGGAGTTTCGGGTGTGTACCCGGAGCCGGGCCGGGCCGGGGTTGTGACGAGTGGGTTGGCGCGAGGTGCGTTGAGCGTTTCCCGCTGCAAGAATGAAGTCTGCGCGGTGTCGCGTGGGCCGGAGCGGAGCCGCGTCGCGTCGCCCGCGTGGGAAGAACGAGCCCGCCCCGGACACCAACGCAGCCGCCGCGCCGCCGCGCCGCGCCGTCACCGCACGAGCCACCGGTCACCGGCTCATGCACCCGTCCTATCGGCTCCCCGCTGGAAGAAGGGCATGTAGCACCGAAAATAAAGTCGGAATTTCTCATTAGGTTTTTCGGAATGTCCGCCCATCACTGGAAAAAAACACATTGGATCTAGAGTCCAGACTCTTAAAAACATCGAAGAGAAAAAATACTCTTGATTCAATCAGAATAGTCTAGCTTAAATCAAGAACCAAGCCTCTCAATTTGAGCTGATTTCCTCTTGATTTAAGCTTAAATCTGATTGAATCAAGAGTCCTTTTTCTTGTCAATGTTTTCAAGAGTCTGGCCTCTAGATCCAATGTGTTTTTTTTTCCAGTGATGGATCACTAGGGTTACAGGCCTTGTCTCTACTACAGTACCCTTCTAGGGAGAGTGTGGACAACCCGATTTATATAGCTCTTAGCATAGAATAAACAGACTACGTTAGTCTCTTCAGTCTATGGGCCGCAAATTTAGACGCTCCCCAGACAATTAATTTCCTTAGGTAACCCTCATATTGTTTATAATGTGGCTAGGGTCGTTACGGAAGCTTTCAGTATACCTATCATTATGAAAGGACAATTTTTTCTAACCTTACGTTGAGTTCAGCAGTCTAACTTTAAAGATGGACCTTTGCAAGTGCTTAATATGATGCGGCACCGTGAAAATTACTCAATACCAAAGGAAAAATGCTACATGATGGGCTCGGAGGACACAGCGCATAAGTGCAGTTTTTTCTATATCGAGAATTACGTGTTTGAAGTTTCGAAGTTACAAGGATCCTCATGGCCGGAAGAAAGTTCAAACTGACTTTTTGATGCTTAAGACTAGTTTAACTTGAATTCATTAATATCTCAATTCTTTCAAAAAGTGCACTTATCTGCCTTGCCCTCCACGTCCCTCACATGATTTTGACAATCTTTAAGGCATAATATTTGGACCGCGTTAAGCAGAAAGGAACCAAGCCGCATCAGCTATTGCCAGATTTAACAGGGCAATTATATTTATTACATGAAAATGGTGAAGCGGATTCGTTTGAAAATTTCAGTGAATTTTCTGCATGTTACAAGGCAGATCCTCTAAAATTTTCAAAAAAATTCGCACAAACGTTCTCTTGTAGAGAACACGATACGTTTTCTTTTCCGCGAGTTCTTTTCCACTCATTGAAGTAAACTCACTGAACATTTTAAGAAGTTATTATGTTTTTTTCTTAATTTCTTTTTTAAAAGGAAATTTTGAAACGCTGCGCTGAAATTGTGAATTGTTGAAAACGTGCATTTTTCGACTTTCGCTATCATCTTGTCGAATTCAACCTTAAAGCAATCTCATGATATTCTTTAAGTATTCCAAGGAGTTTTCAAAATATTTTATAAATATTCCCGGTATCACCGGGCGTGTTCTGAGCAGGGCCGGGGCGTTGATGGACGGGCAGGGCACCGGGAATGCGTTCGCCCGCGATCCGATTTGCGTGGCCGCCTCGACGGATACAACCGTAGAATGTATGAATGAAATAATTTTCAATGAAATAGCGGTGCGAACGTCGGACGAAGGACGCGCGGCTCGGGTTCGCGCCGCACAGTGGACCGAGTCAACAGGAGAGGTCGGACAAAATTCGGAAACTTTAAATGCGTTTAACTCCGTTCATACAAGACTTTGAAGCTCTAAAAGTGAATCCATTGGTTTCCTCGTGAAATTTTCTTCCTTAAGCACCCCTTACAGTTTAAAATTTGACTATATTAACATCAAAATTTGCAGTTTTAGTCAAAAATTTTATGTCCGACCTCTCAAATTGGCTCGATCCACCGTGCGCCGGTGCGGAGGGCAACTTCCGCCGCGTCAGCCGCGTGGGATGGTGTGTGGCGGCGCGGCGAGAGCGTGGTCGTGCCATTTCGTTTGGTCACCCAGCCCCCCCCCCCCCCCCCCCCCCCCCCNATCCGTCGACCACCTCCGTCTCATCAATAATTTTACCTCGCCATGCTCAACCGTGCGATATTTTTTTTTTTAGATTTTTATCGGGATAGGGTAACCTAGAATCAAAGAGGGGAATTGGTTCCGGAGGCAGTATCGATGGCGCGACAACAAAACTTGATTTCAGATGGTTTTGACGAATCTGCATAAATGAGCTGTAGGAGATGTCCACACTGGAAAAAAAAAATACAGCCAAACCAAAGCCTTGATGGAACTATTCGTGTTTTACGGATGTGCGTGTTGCATGTTCAAAATTGAAGGCGTTTTCGCTTTTTTCACCTTTGGCGTAAGGTTTCTCCTTACGGGTTTTTCTGTGATTCTGTTTGATTTGAAAACTCGATTTCATGAATCGATACAACGATGCCTGACCTCGAGAGCACTCTTACATCATCCGCACACTGAAAAAAAAAAAACACATTGGATCTAGAGTCCATACTCTGAAAAACATCGACAAGAAAAAGTACTCTTGATTCAATCAGAATCTAGCTTAAATCAAGAACCAAGCCTCTTAATTTAAGCGGATTTCGATTTGATTCAAGCAAAAATCCGATTGAATCAAGAGTATTTTTTCTTGTCAATGTTTTCAAGAGCCCGGACTCTAGATCCAATGTGTTTTTTTTTCCAGTGCATTGTCTACAATCTACATATTTTACTCGAAAAAAATTGGGTAGCTACTCAAAAATGTAATGCGATTACCGAGTATCCCAGCCCGTAATGCCCAAACGCACACGCCGGCTTCTATGTGATTCTATTGACTGCATGGAAAATTAGTGTTGATAGAGAGACCAAACATAGTGACGACTCATCTGTATAGCTACTCTCACTGCTACCGTTGCACTATGTGAGCTTTGTGAATGCTATTTGATCAATAATTCACCGGAATAAGAGCCCAACATCACAATTTGAGAATTTTTGGGGTTTTCTTAAGGTGCTTCCAGGGCCGGATTAAGGGGGTGGCATATGGAGGGGGCGGCAAATTTTACAATCTTTTTTAATGTAGGTATCAAAAAAAAAAAGAGAGGAAAAGTCGGATTCAGAAAATAAATTACAAACGAGAAAAGGCGACAAAATCTCTCACTTCCTGAGAGTAAAGTATAGTAATTTCTAATTTTGTCGTCTTTCGGCGATACAGGAGACAACACCTTTAATTAGTCGAGTTAAGAGAGAAACCAAACACGCAATTTGACCTCAAACGAAGCGGCGCGGCGGTCGGCATGAAACGCATATCGCCTACAAGACTGCATGAATACCTCACGCATTGCGTCAAACACACTGCGGTCGGCGTGAAACGCATAGCGCCTACAAGACTGCATGAATACTTCAAGCATTGCTTAAACACAGTGCGGTTGGCGCGGCAGCGCAGCGGCGGAAGGTAAAGTCATTAACCACATTTATGTATGTTCTTTCATAATTTGTTCGTTCGCTTTTGTGGCGTAGGTCCTTATCCTTCATCACTTAAAAACAAAAGGGCATAACGTTCTTCTTGACAATAATAACAATTTAAGCAGCGAGTAACACGGCTAATTTTCACATAAATACCACCAAAACGTTTCGGCTGAAAACTCGGCCTTTCACAGTTGGATGAAAACAGTTAAAAAAATTTGAAAACTAAAAACTTAGTACCTGGCTGTACCTTTCAAAGCGAGAAAAATGTTGTTATGAAAAAAAAAATTGATAACACTTGACAATTTGAGGTGTCATCAAAAAATTTCATTCACAGCAACATTTTTCTCGCTTTGAAAGGTACAGCCAAGTACTAAGTTTTTAGAGTTTTCAAAATGTTTTGGGGGCATTTATGTGAAAATTAGCCTTGTTACTCGCTGTTTAAATTATTATTATTGTATATTTTGTCACGGGCTGAGAATCATCAAACATGTCTCATGTAAATTTCATCAGTGCAACTTTGAAGATGGATCCTTCCAAGAAAATTCAATGATTTGCCACTGGGAAAAATTGATAATGCAATTTTTCTTTTTAAATTTGACAAAGTGTGAGGTAGATGCGAACTTATACCTTAAAATTTTCAAAACTCCCAAAAATGCTCGCTTGGATTTTCAATTTTTCTTAGAGGCGAATCCCTTGCAAGGGTCTGTTTCCAAAGTTTTACTGCTGAATTTTACTCCAGGTTAGCATAAATTGTCATTTTTATGATCCAAAAAAAGTTTAAATTGTTATTAATGTATATCTTGTCACGGGCTGCGGAGCATCAAACATATCTCAGTTCCTCTCGACCCCCCTCCCCCCTGGAGCGTTGCGTAATTCATGGAGGGGCTTGGATTTGGATTATCGCTTTTGACGTAGAGTACCTGTATGGGGAGAGTACCGACAGATCGGTTCATGGAGGGCTTAGGGCTCAAAAGTGCAGCCACCCTTCTAACCAACTTCTAACGCACAAAATTTCACTGCCAGTCTGCAGATTCCAATTCTAACCAAGATGGCCAAGAATGTACAGAAATGAGCGTTCTCCCGCGAAATTGAGTAAATTTATGCAAAAACTGAGTCAAACACGTGCTTAATAAAGGACGGTTCGTAACAATAGTATCAGTAAATCGCTCTGGATAATTGAAATTCATAGGTTGGCTGCCCTTTTGGGCCCTAACTTTATTCGCGGAGGCATCGGTGAAGGCCTGATGGACTTTCGGAGTTTCAGATCTGCCGGTACTCTCCCTATACAGGTACTCTATTTTGACGGTAAGATTTTTGTATGTTGTGTTTGGGGACTCTAGGCTGGCTAGGCCCGAGTTTCACCTGACGGGGAGCCGAAGACGACGGAGCAAGAGCGAAACGCTCTGGCGTCTCGGTCTGGCAATGGGAGTAGTGAGGAAATCGTGGACTTCCATATAGGGTCGGTCGGTCGGCGCCAGCCCCGAGCCGCGAGCGGGGCTCTCGAGGAACAGTTGGGCAGAGTTAGGCCGCCGCCGCCGCCGTCTCGCATCTC